CTTGTTTCCATACTCGTTTTCAGTTGGTCCATCATCGACGAGCTTCTTCTCTCTTCTCTTCAGTACCTAATAATCAAACCACATTCCTTACGGTTTGCCTTTTCTCAGTCCCTGGTTGGACTTTTTTTAAGACAATTTTTAATAATCGAATCCAAAGCGAGTCTTTGCTGGAGGTCCCTCATTACCAACTTGTCTAACCTTTTTCACACCGAACCAACAAACTTTAATTCATCACTATGCCGAGCATAACATCCATACTCAAGGGTCTCGTGGCCGTGGCGCCTCTTGTGGCTGCCATCCCTGCCGAGTACGGTCGTCGGGAAATGGCCTCGATGCCAATGGCAATGCCCCCAACGATTACCGAGAAAGCTGAGCCCGCGGCAAAGGCAGAGGCTTCAGCAGCGGCATCCTCAGCGGCAGCCCCAGCGTCATCCCCAGCGGCAGCGGCAGCAGGCGGATTGACTGATGTTGACATCCTCAACTTGTAAGTGCATGGCTGGAGATTCGATGGTGGTGAGCAGAAGCTGACAGCAACAAGTGCCCTGACTGCCGAGCATCTCGAATCAAAATTCTACAGCATGGGTTTCGCCAAGTTCCCCATGAGCGACTTCATGGCCCTTGGTCTAAGCGAGGCCCAGGTCAAGAGTCTTATGATGGTTGGCCAGACCGAGGCCACCCACGTAACGACTCTTCAGTCGGCCATTACCGGTGCTGGCGCAAAGCCCGTCGAGCCCTGCGAGTACAACTTTGACGCCGCTCTCGCGAGCGCCGATGCCATGGTCAAGACTGCGCGTGTCCTTGAGGCTGTCGGTATCTCCGCCTATCTGGGTGCCGCCCCTCTTGTCAACTCTTCCGATGTTCTTGCCGCCGCCGCATCCATTGTCACCGTCGAGGCCCGTCACCAGGCTTTCATCCGTGTCGCCGCCGGTGCCGAGCCTGTCCCCGCTGCTTTCGATGTCGCCCTTGGACCCCGTGCGGTCTTCACCCTCGCCGCTCAATTCATCAAGTCCTGCCCTCAAGGCTCCAACCTCAACATCCAGCCTTTCCCATCCATTGCTCTCCAGAACCCCGAGCAGGCTACCATTGGGCAGAACCTCAAGCTTGCCGACCCTGCTCAGCCCTCTGGTGCCATGTTCTGCGCTTTCGTCGCTCCGTAAGTTTTCACATTCGCTCTTTAAATATTAGATCCAAAGACTAACATTTTACAAAGTACCGGTGCCCAATTCACCGACATCACCGATGGCAACTGCAAGGTCCCCGATGGCATCTCTGGTGAAGTCTACATGATGATCACCAAGAGCAAGTCCGTTACCGACGCCGAGGTCCTTGCCGGCCCCGCTGTCCTCCAGCCCTCATAAACGCTTTCCCTCGTCTTTAAAAAAATGAGCCGAAACTAGCGCTACGAAAGAGTCTTCCCATAGTCAATATTTCCCTTCTTTTTAACAGGGGTATGTGCGAACGACTGGAGCGAGCAAAACAGAATCTGGCACAAGAACATTTTTTTTATTCACAGGAGCGAGACGCGAGGCAGACGCGACTGGATCTACAAAGCGAAGTATGTGTATATGGACAACCTTTTTATGGGCTTTTTTTCTCTACAGTCGTTGAAATGCAAGTGTTGAATCTCATCTATAAACATCTTCTTTCTATTGTACTGTTATTTCCTTTTTTCATTTCTTTCCTTTTTATCCGCAATCTGTTTTCCTTTTTTTGTGTTCACTTTTTTTCTTCACTACGACAAGAGTCTGATTGGTTGTTGTTTGTGGTGGAAGAGACGAACACACATCAAGATACCCTTCGAGCAAAGATGCAATAGGTAGTCGAAGAAGAGGCGCAGGGTGATGAGGAGGAGCGAGCAAGCAGTAGCAAAACAGGTGTGTAACCGGGTAAGGCAGATTCCGTGAATCATCCTTAACTCCTTTCATACATGTAGTAGTATTGGGTTCGGTTAATGGCAGGGGTAGGCAAGTTATAAGACAAACTACGATAACGATTTCAAATATCATCCAAAAAAATTCCATGTTCTTTTTTCTTCTTTCACATATTTTCTCGAGGTGCTGATGAGACGCGGGCCAGACTTGTTTGGGGGTAGGAGGGGGCAAGTACAGCGGTGAATAACTGGTCGGACATGTGCATTATTTGTGACAAGTTCGGGTACGTTACTTGTATTGGAGCAGGTGGGGGTGGACCCCCCCTTCCTTGCAACGGGCGCGGTTTCAGTTCGCAGTTTATCGATGCTTCGAGTTAGGGCATTTAGTAGAGAGAACCGGGACAAGGCGCCCCCAAGTTCGACAACGTTTCTGACTTGCACGACGAACCTGCTCGCCCACACATACCGGTTTCTATGACATTGAATTTGTCATGGAGGATGTCGCAATATCCGTCGCGTACATAGTACATCTGTACGCGGTCTGGATATTTTTATTTTGTGAAGTCACGTGTAGGGAGAGAAGTCTATTTGTTCCGAGTCGGGCCGACAGCCAGAAAACCTGGGGAAAGCCTCCAAATCCACTCCGCCACCTCTTTTATTAATCTCCCGAACATCACCCGGGCGCACCGCCATTGACGCTAAAGTGCGAGATCCAGCTGCGACTGATTGGTTGACAACGTGCATCTTCATGTGGAGAAATACGACTAAAGTGTTGAGTCGAACAGCATGTCGATGAATGACTGAACAGCCCAGCCAGTGATCAAGAAGCCCGATAAAAAGGCGGTGCGAAAAGGGCGTTTGTGTTTCTTTCTTTCTTTTTTCCCTCGCTCCCCCCCACACACACACACCTCTGGAGACTGTGAAGTCGAAACCAACGTCATCGTGTAGTAGGTAGTGTATTTAAACATTCCGGGGATACGTACGATCGTTTTGTGCACGCACCCAATCTTTTGCTCACCGGTCTAAACACCATTCTTCCAACAACACAAAATGGCAGCCGCGATGCACCAAAACGGAAGCGCATCAACCTGCCTCGAGCAGCCTATCCAACTCCAGGACGTCTCCGAGTACCTCGCCAAGCCCCCAGATGCCAAAGTAGCTGGCTCGCTGCATTCCAATCATAGTACTACTGGCGGTCTGCGGCTGTCAGATACAAAGGGCGCGCAGAGTAGCGATCCCGTGGAGAATCTCCCCTCACCGACGACACAGGCGGCGCAGAAGCTTGAGCGATGGAATCATCCTCGCTCGAACTTTTTCCGTACTGCAGCTGCGTTTTGGAGCTTTGTGGTTATGGGCAGTAATGATGCGGCGTATGGAGCTTTGATACCATATGTATGTTTGACATCCCTTTCTTCTTTTTTCTCTCTAAGATATATTCTCCGAGGATGGATGAGCTGTGCTTGAAACACGGATCGGAAGAAAAACTCCCCTACAAACAATAAAGCCCGAAAAAGACACAAATGCGGAGAAATTGCTAATGTATTTTTTTCTTTGTTCGGAAATTATAGCTTCAGGAGTACTACAAACTATCTTTCGTCGTCATCTCGCTCGTCTTCCTATCCCCACTCGCTGGATACACGGCGTCAGCGCTGCTCAACAATTCCATTCATCTCAAGTTTGGGCAAAGGGGTGTTGCGATTATTGCGCCGAGCTGCCATTTGATCGCGTACATTGTTATTTCTGTGCACCCGCCGTATCCCGTTTTGGTTGTTATCTTTATGCTGGCTGGGTTTGGAAATGGGCTTGCTGATGCTGCGTGGAGTAAGTAATAGCCATCTCTCTCTCTCTCTCTCTCTCTCTCTCTCTCTCCCCAAAAAAAGAAAAAAGAGAGACGACGCTGACAACGAGCATAGATGCTTGGATCGGCAACATGGCGAATCCAAACGAGGTTCTAGGCTTTTTGCATGCTTTCTACGGCGTTGGTGCTGTACTTGCCCCGTTAATCGCTACGACTATGGTTACAAGAGGGGACAAATTGCCGTGGTATACCTTCTACTACGTTATGGTACGTCATATTCCCCTCTCCTCAAAGCCTCACTTTAGACCCGTCATTTAATACTAAAACATTTGCAGGTCGGTATGGCTGTACTTGAGCTCGGCACATCAATGGCTGCCTTCTGGCGCGAGACGGGCGCAAAATACCGTGCTGCTAACCCCCGTACTACGGATACAAAGGATAATCGCATGAAGGAAGCGCTTCTCCGCCTTCCTCAGGCTAGAGTTACTTGGCTTTGCGCACTCTTTTTGCTCGGCTACGTGGGCATCGAAGTCGCCCTTGGTGGCTGGATCGTCAAGTTCATGCTTGAGGTGCGTGACGGCGAGGAATTCGCGAGTGGAATGACTGCAACGGGGTTCTGGATGGGAATTACCGTTGGAAGAGTTGTACTGGGTTTCGTGACACCACGACTAGGGGAGAAGTTGGCTATTACTGTAAGTTTTGGTCTTGCTCTTTTTCATTGGTACCAGGATACGTATGACTGACACGCGGGAAATAGATTTACCTCCCACTAACCATGGCCCTCGAGCTGGTCTTCTGGCTCGTCCCGCAATTCTACGTGTCGGCTGTTGCAGTTAGTTTGCAGGGATTCTTCCTCGGTCCTCTTTTCCCCGCTGCAATCGTTGCGGCTACGAAATTGCTTCCGCGTCACTTGCATGTCGGTGCTATAGGGTTTGCGGCTGCATTCGGTGGGAGCGGAGCTGCTATTTTCCCTTTTGCGGTCGGCGCTATTGCACAGGCAAAGGGTGTGCAGGTGTTGCAGCCGATTATTCTGGCGCTGCTGGCAGTTATTCTTGGGTTCTGGCTTTGTTTGCCCAGGATCCATAAGAAGAATGAGTGAGGTTAATTCATGTTTGGACGCAGTTGAGAGAGGGAAGGTGAAGAAGGCTTCATACTAGGTAAAGAGCCACTATCTCGGTATGTCAGTACGGATTTATTGAATACGAACAAGTTACATTCACTAGGAAATGAATCCACTTCCTTAAAAAAAATTGTTCTCTTCTTTGACGTCCAGCGAGTACACTCACACGTTCAATGCGACACAACATCCACTTTCTCCTCCTCCCTCTCCTCTCCCATCACCTCCTTCACCTCTCCCACCTCCCTCATCATCTCCGCCATCCTCTCCTGCGCAATCTGTATCCCCGCCCCCGCCGCAGCCTTCAAACCCTCCGCCATCGCGATCGCAACCTGCTTCATCGCCACCATTGTATCCCCCGCCGCAAAACCCCCCCCAACACTCGTCTCATTAAACATTGCATTCACAATCCGAACATGCCCGCCCACCTCCTCCCCCACCGTTTCCACCCCTAGCTCCTCAATCAAATCCTGCGCCCGATTCACAGTCGCAGGCTTATGCACCACAAACCCGAAATTTCTCTCCTCACCCCCTTCAAACCGCACGGTCATGCCTTCCACATGGGTAGGCCCGTTATTCACTAGCTGTACAATCCGGCGCTCATCCAGCGTAGCCCCCAGCGCTTTCGCTACCGCAATCGCCTCTTTCACCTTGACATCCTCCTTCGGCGGCCCATTCGTCAATATAGTAATCGACTCCGGATCCAGTGCCGAAGCCATATACACGAAATGCGCATACCCCGGATTGTCAAACCCCAGAATGGCTACCGCGCTACCGCGCTGCTCGTACCCGTCGCACGCGAGACACTGGTATATATGTCCAGGCCAGTTTTCCGCGTAGCCGGGTATATCGGGGAGGATGTCGCGCGAGCCAGTTGCTAAGATGAGTTTTTTGCCTAGATAAGCGACGCCCTCGCTGTCCACGATTTCGAAACCTTGATACGCTTTTGGTTTATTGGGAAGGGTAAGGGCGGTCTTGCGGGCAGACGTGATGAGTGCCTGCTGGAACCAGACCGTGTCGTAGCGTGCTTCGATCTGCTCGCGGGCTATGTGTCGGAAATCTTGGGGCGGGGTGTGGTCGCGGGAGGCGACGGTGTGCATGTGAGATATGCCCTTGTTGCGGTATTGCTGCGAGTCGAGGACAAGGGCTGTGGTGCGGGTGCGGGCGCAGGTGAGCGCGGCGTTGAGGCCTGCGGGGCCGGCGCCGAGGATTAGGATGTCGAAGATTGGGGGGCGGGGAATGGGCATTTTCTTTTGGTTTGAAAGAATGGATGAGGGATAAGGTAAGAGAGTTGCTTGGAGAGTGGGTTTTGACGGTGGTCTTTCAGTGGTAGTATTGCTACACTGACTTTATATACCAACACTGTTCGATGAGTCCGCCATCAAAGTCTCCTAAAGCCTCCGTGAGATATCTGAGTATACTTAGGAAAGGGCATAACCTGATTCGATACAAAGAGGCTTGAATTTCTGGGAAGTATAGACGCCACTCAGCTTCGCGGGATGGGGTTAAAGTCACCGATTCGAGTGCTGACTTACGTTGCAGATGAAATGTCTCCGAAAAAGTTTCCGTACCGACGTGCAACGTGAGACACATTCAGTACATGCCGTTGTATCTTACTCTTTGATTTGATGGAGTGTAGTTGTTGTCTTAAAGATAAGTCACGAGATGGTAGTGTAAGGGTCGGTTGCGTACTACTGGCGCATGCATGCTGACAGTGATCTCGCGACTCTACGCCAGACCTTTGGGGGCGTAAAGTTTTGTATATGGTTCTCTGGGATATCATAATGTCTCTAATACGACGAATATGGTGTCACGAGGAGCGGTGAGTGAGCTGAGATGTCTGACTGTATATGGTGGTATGCGACCCACGATACGAAAACGTCTTACTAAGAACTGGACTGATAGTTACATCAAGAAGAGCAAGACAAACCCCATCTCATCTGACTACCAAACACTGAAAATTGGTAATGTTCAACGTCATACTGGCCAGAAGCATTACTAACCATCAATACGAGACTGACGCGTGTCATTCCTTCCACCCTCCACGGACCGAGCCGCCTAGCACAACACGAAGAGAACCCTGCTCCCGCGTCGCAAGTATATCACCCATATAATATTATCACGAACTAGCAATGACAAAAAGTTCTCCAGCATTGAACTGATTAACAATTAAAACTAAACAAAAGGCTATATACTACTACTACTGGCATTCATCCCCCATCTCATCATCCAGTCCTCCTTCCCTCTGGCCCCATCACCCTCAAGCCCAGCCCGACAAACACAAGACAAAAAACATTAACAACCAGGTTCTCATGAGGTATATCTCCCATCAAAACATGTTCGTGTCCGCCAGTTAAATCAAGCAAAAAAAGTTCAAAAAAGGTATAATGCGGATCGTTCCTTCTGGGGAAAAGGAGTAACAACATCGCGTCGTGAGAAAGGCGTTTGTGAGCTTAGCCAATAAAATAAAAAGCAATAGAGGCGCTGCCCTGTAAAAAAAAGGTGTTTTTACACTCTCATTTCCCTAGCTTCATGTCATGACATGAAGCCGGGGGAAGAGAGAATGCAAAACGAAGAAGAAAAGTAGTTTGCGTAATGAAGAAGACGTGTATCTTCTTTACAAAGCAAGAACACCTACCAGACCGATGACAGCACCAAGACCAGCGCTGAGCGAAAGCTTGGAAGCCGCACCGGTAAAAGCAGGGCTTTCAGGGCCCCTAGCACTGGGGGTAGGGATCAAGCTCAAACTAATAGTTCCGGTAGCGCTGGTCGGGGGCTTAGTAATGGCAGTCGTGCTGTTCAAGCCTGCAGTCGGGTAGGGTGTGACAACGGCGCTGGACGAAGGGGTAGGAGTAGGGCTGGGAGTCGACGAAGGGGTCGCTGAAGGGGTAGGGCTGGGGGTAGGCGTCTCATGCGGGTAAATCTGGGGCAGGAGACTCTGCACATCGGTCGGCAGCGCCTGGTACCACGCCGGGGTGCTGCTGGCAGAAAGGCACGAAGCCATTTCTGAGGCGAAGGCGGCGGGGCTGGCTAGGGCGTATGATACGCTTTCTGAAGGGATAGCGTGGGCGAGGACCATGAGGACCGAGGTTTGAATTTCAGGACTGGGGATTTCGGTTAGCCAAGAGCTCATTTGAGTGACGTTGGGTAGTTGTGTTTGTGGAGAGAGCGCATAGTAGTCGCGCGTTTTCGCTGATCATGGTTTGAATGAAATGTGGAGTTGACTTACGCAACACCAGCGATGTCCGCGCTGGCGCCCACGAAGAGCGCACCGAGCGCCACAGCAGCAGTGGAGAAGCGCATATTTTTGCTTTTGTTTGGTGTTGATTGGGAAATGAGCGTTTTTGGTTATCTCTTCGTTGGGAGATATGTGGCGCGAGCGATCCGAAAATGAGTGTGGGGATGAGCGAAAAGAACCTAAGGCAACCAAGAATAATGAGAGTAAGGTTTGGAGGGGAGCGCGAGAGAAACAGATTGATGAAGAGGATCCCGGCAGTATTTGAAACTGGGGAGGCGGCTCATCAACTCACGATAGTATGCTCATCCGCCTGCCCGTTTGGAGAAAGGGCGGCTAACAAGGGGTGCAAATTTAAGATTGCAGCAGCGCCAGTAGGATATAGCCGCGGGCGAGCATATTGGATAACAATCACGCGCTGGTCAAAATGAATCGTTGGTCCAGGACGCTGTTCGCATGCTCTCCATTGCCTTGATTGGCGGCTAGATTCGCGACTTGGTGTTGTGCTTTTGCTGTACCGGTCGCATACCTGGTGGGCGCAGACACTGTCTCGTAAAACCTGCTCTTCGTCAGCGCCGGCAGCCTCGCCGTATGACAGCACTCTACCTCGCAGCACCGCTTGGCTTGAGTCTCATTTCCCGTTGGCGTGGGGAGAGATGGCTGACCGGCCAATGGCACACCTATCAACGACGTCGCTAGCGTTGTTGTCGAATTTCCACTTTATAAGCACGACAGGGGTTCCATGCACTGTCTCCAGAACAGCCCACACGGTGTTCCACTGAAAGGGAATGCAGGGACGGATGAGGTGCATGCGCCGTTCTTTACAGCCTCGCCGTCAGTCACGATATCCTGCTTCTTGTTGTTTTGTGCGCTCAGCATACCAGTGCTTTGTCGACAATGCAACAAGGCATGAATCTCCTGAAAACATCGCTACCGCCATTACCAGAGAGTGGTCAACACTAACGATTGACAATACAGATTATAGTGCCTTCTCTTGACTCCAGCCGTCGCCAAATTTTAGCCGTACCAAGCACCTGTTGCCGTCTTCCGCATCAAAACCGTAAACTTGGCCGCCCGGCACTTTACGCGGGAAGATTTTTTTCCAGCCAACACTTTCGCATGAGGGGCCCTATATTTCCTACTAAGAAATAAACAGTAACCAATCTCCTTTCCCAAGGCCTTGTTCTTTTGCTCGGGTCGGCTCTGGCTTGTAGGTGTAAAGGAATAAGGGGCAAAGAGGACCGTGTCGTGGCATCGCATTATAGCGTGTACAGGTTTCGGGTACCGAACAGAGACGACCGTTATTGCCTCTATTTCATAGTTCATTTGTGCCAAGCACAGCAATCTGTATACTGAAGTACCTACCAATGAAAGATGACAAGACTAGGGCTCATGTGCGTATCTCTGCCATGATTGTAATGTCACGCTGGTCGCAATATGCTTTCGATATACCCCTTGCCATTACGAGCATAACAACTGCATGAAATGCTCAAGACTTGATGCTCTTCTTCTTTCAAGAGATTTTTGGTTCAAGTTGCATTGCGTTCATGCCACGCCCCTATGCTTTCTTGTTTTTTGTTTCGTCCCACGGTTGATGCTCGTAGGGAGAGATCCAGACCCAGAACGCATGCCCGCTGTTATACATTGGATTCTAGTGTGTCATCAGTCCAGGGATCGGTTTGATGAGAAGAAGTGGACTACCTGTATTGGGTATGACATCTGTTATACTAAATAATACGATGCTGGCGCTGGTCAGTGCTGCGAAAATCATACTGGCGGAGTTACTACCGGCACTTGCCCTTGTCAAAACTCTAGGTACTGGTGATCAAAACCGCAACGTTTCGGACCCTCAGTGAATGCTTGTAAAGAATATAGTCTAATTGGATAATTGCTCAACTTTTGTTTTCTCTTGCCATCTAACACAACAACAACATGGTCTGACAACATCGTAACTCGTTAGCAGACACAGACTGTAAATGCAAACAAATACAAAAAGCTTTTGTCATGAAAATCAGAACATCTAAAACTATCAACACATTACTCATCTCTGCAAACAACCCTTCATCACATCGACAACAAAATACCTAAAAACTAGGCCTTCTTAGTCCGTCCATTGGCCGACTTTGCAGCGCTCTTACCCTCAGCCTTTTCCTTTTGTTTCTTCTCAGCTGCTCGCCTCTTCGCGCTCTCTTTTTCAAGAATCTCAATCGTCTTCTCGCTGCTTTCCCACAGCTTCTTCTGCAGAAGCTCGTCGTCAATATCTTTCCTGGTCCAGATGGATCTTCTGCACTCCTTGAGAAAATATGCGCCCTCGCCTCTACCCCACTGGGCCTCCATGGCAGCGTAGAGGAAAGTTTGTGCACCTTGATCAGCACTCTTAAGGACCATCCACCAAAACGGCCACGTAATAGTGTATAATGCCAGGCCCCAAAGCGTACCAAAGGTCAGATAGCGTCGCATACCAGGTGTGCGTGTCCAGCCCGGATCTACTATGATGACGCGCGCGTTCATTGGTTTCTTGTCCGGACGGTCATACTTGGAGAGATGCTTCTGAAAGGCAACAGCAAACGTCATCAGGGCAAGCTTCGACGTTGCGTATACGGTCGATGGTGTGAAATCTAGTTGTCCAGGCTCACTCTTTGCATTCTTCTTCGACTTGTCCTCTAAGCCCGGCAGCTTTCCTCCCATGTATGAAGAGCAGGTACCAAAGATGATTCGAACATCGCGATCAGGAGGCTGTGCTCGGAGCGCTGGGCTAAGGATACTCAATAAATGGAAGTTGGCGATGTAGTTCAAACCCCAAGTCGACTCCAAGCCATCCTCTGTCTGCGTTGCTTTTTTCCCAGGGGGTGTCATAGTATTTGCACAGAGAACAATCATGTCCAGACGTCGAGGCGGTGCGTTATCGACCCATTTTGTTGCGAATTGGCGTATGCTGTGCAGAGATTCGAGATCGACATGCTCGGCAGTGATGAGCTCGTTGCCAGTTTGCGTGCGCAGGTCTTCGATGTAGTCGACGAGAAAGGGGTCGACGAGTGGCTGTCGGACGAGGAGGACAATTTGTGCACCGCGAGACGCCAGGCCTCTGACCACTTCAGCACCTATACCGGTTGTTCCGCCCTGCTTCCGTTAGTAGGGTTCGATACCAGACGCTAAAGGCTTACCGTGACCATGACCACCTTGGAGTGCATGTTCCTCTCGGAGCCGTTGTTGGCGCCATTGAAGAACCATTTCAGCGCATAAATGGCTGCAAAGACGACCGCAGCCTTGATTATGGTCCAGCCATAGGGAATGGAATCAATGCCCTCGGCGAAGGCCTGGGCGATGATGTTGACGGGCATGTTTCTTGGCGGAAAGTGGGAACGGGAAGGCTTCGGGGACGCGGCTCTACCGTAGCTCGCTAATGCCCAAGCAGCCCAGGGACGCACGTGGCGTCATATCACGTGACTACGCGTTCAACACGATCGCCGCCGATTCACCTACCTAAAGAAAAGCTCACACGCTGCACCTCCTTATTGCCTCTACGTGATTTGTCCGCCACAAAAAGAAAATGACGGCATCTTCTGCGACATACGCGTCCAGAGAGCAGCAGCCGGAAGATGAGCTTCCCGAAGATGATCCCGACATATCCACTGCACCGTTTGTCGAGCAGCGCGCTTTTGGCCGGGGTCTCTGGAAGAATCCCATTCAATTCGTCTCGTCTACCCCTGAGACACAGCCAGCAGCTGCATCGACGAATGGCAAAACCATGGCAGAGAAGTATCTTGCCATTATGTTCCCAAACGGCGAGCCACAGCCAGAGCCCGATGCATATCCTCGGTGTGGTATATGTGGCGAGCCTGTCAAGGAGTCAGATCAGCGCATTCACTATCTGAGTCCTGCGCATCAAGCTGCTCTCCCCCGCGCACCCATCCCCTCGGCCATAGACCGAACGAGGATGGGGCTCAAGTACATGGAGAAACACGGCTTTGACGTAGATGCGAGAAAAGGTTTGGGATCAAGTGGTCAGGGCATGTTGTTCCCGCTCGTACCCAAAGAGAAGCGCGACAAGTTTGGTTTGGGCATAGACAAGAAAGAGCATGCAAAGCAGAAGGCGTTGGGCGGTGCTAGTTGTGCAGATGTCAAGCAGGGTAGGCTCGATGCCGGCAAGGTCAGGAAACTTGCGCAGGTCGAGAAGAAGAAGCATGAAAAACTGCAGACGATGTTTTATGGCAATGATGAGGTAGAGAAGTATCTAGGGCAGCTGGGCGGTTGACCGCCGAAATGGGATGGCTTCGCAAACTGCTAGAAAGAGATATGCTTGTCACGACGGACCGAGATACACGGCGAGTAGTGATCACAAAAAACGACTTTTGAATACGCGTACAACGGATGACGACATACGGTTGCCGAGATTATTCACGTATTCGGCGGCTTGTCATCGCAACGGCGTTAGTCTTAGTAGATTTCGACCCCGTATTTTTTGTAATACCGACAAACGAGCATTTTCCACAACAACAAAACGCAATCTTAAACAACTACGCTTCGGAGCAAGCCAACCAAGCATGAACGTTGCAGCCGAGACTAGGCAGCCACCAGTTCTCGGTTCTATTGGTACCGCCCCACCACTCCGTACCAGGGAATTCCTCACCCACCAAATTACCAACGCCGTTCGAAAACGAAGCACGCTTTTTCCCAGTGCAATGTAATTTTTCTTCTCCCAATTTCTTTCATCAAAAACCAAATAGGTCGCTTAGCTCAGTTGGTTAGAGCGTGGTGCTAATAATCCATCGCTAGGAGCATAGCTCCTACAAAGGACCCTAGTAGACGCCAAGGTCGCGAGTTCGACCCTCGTAGTGACCATGTTTTTTGCGGGCGTAGCCTAACCTCGCGAGGTAGGGGTGGTCCGGTTGGCTTTTTTGTTGCTGACGGGGGGTTGTGTGGTTAGCGGGGACAAGGACCGCTACCAGCGAAAAAAAAACACCACGGGAAGCGGCAATTTCCATTTGCGCTGGGTTGTTTTTAATGAGGGATTAATGAATTCGATGATGAGAAGAAGAAGAAGGATAGAGAGTCTGCATTGGCATGACTGCGATTCCTGGGCTCTCTACGCATTTCCGGGTATCACTCTTTTTGGGCTTATCTTTTCCATGGAGTATTGGAAGATGTCACAGAGAGCGACTTGGCAGTTATTTCTTTCTTTTACAGCTGTAGTAGGAAAGCCTGGGATTCAAGAACACATCTTCATAGCTATGTCGTCCATAACATTTATTTTGCTAGTAATAGATACGGCCCAAATTTCAAGTTCGCCATCGAGTTCCTCTCATCCCAACTCAAGCATTGCTTGAATCGTCTCGTTGGTGTAGTTGGTTATCACGTGGGTCTCATATCATCACGTATGACTGCTTGATAGAAGCAGATATCCCAAGGCCGCCAGTTCGAGTCTGGCACGGGACAGTTGTTTGTTTTTGCATGTGTTGCTTGCTGCCATCATGTGTTGTGTGGTGATGGTGGGTCTTTTTTTGTGGGTGTGGGTGGGTGGTGGATGCCAAGGAACATGATGTGGTAGGAGGAGTCAGTACATCATGAACATGATAGTCGGAATAGCATGTACTCCTATTTCTTTTTAGACAATGCTTAGTTGTAATGTAACTTCAAGTGCACAAACATTCCAAGCGTATCCAAGGTCCATCGAGTTGACAGCGTCTCTCAGGAACTCGTTCCGCACATTCAATACACTTTGCATACTATAGCGGAAAGAAGATAAAGCAATAAGCGCTTAACTACATGGAAAACAGTCTGTCCAAACGCACCTCACATTTCACCAGATTGAACAGATAGTGACACGACAACACTCGCTTCTTTCATTATAATATTAACGTTTCCCAACAACATACGTCAATGGGGGTAGCGGGAGAGGGAGAGATAGCCAAACACGCAGCAAACATCAACCAGCCAACTACAGGCCTAGACCATGTACACCTCCCCAGCAACCACACTACCGCTGCTCCTCCCGCTCACTTCAGCTGAGCCATATACAACCCACACACAAGTGGCAAGACAGAACCAACGGAGAGAAAGACACAACGACACCCCCCTTATATCATTCCGTCTTGCCATACTACGCCAATGCGAGAAAAAAAGCAAAACAGACAGACAAACAAGGTATCATCAAAATCAGGAGATCAGACGATGGAGGCCAGCAACCGACCGAGGGGCGGGTGGGGAGGAGACAGATTTGGTTGGACACAGACCAATACAAAAAAGGAGAATATTGATAAAACAATATGAAAAGAGGGTAAAGAAGGAAAAGAGGTTGGTGTTTTATATACACTAGATCCCTCGGGATCGGGAGGGTACATTGACATGTGGATTGATGGATGATGATGGTGATGACGGCGATGATGAGGAGGAAGTGGTTGACGCACTTAGGATGGGGAGGTTTGGCGTCGGGTATCTGTAGCGACTGAATGCGGAAAGCACAAGGCCTCCTTTGATGTGGTTGGGTTGAATAATGTTTTGTGTCTCCGGAAAAAAATGAAAGAGACGCCCGGCGCTGAGAATGCTATGATACTCAAGAAAGGAAAATCTGACTGCTGTATACAGAGACGAGGACGAGATTCGGTTCGCTAAAGACGCTGATTTCCAAGACGAAAGAGAACGAATCATGTCTGCAGAGACGAGGGATGGATGGCGTGGAGGATGGGCTCATGACCGACGTGAGGGGGCACAGACCAAACGGACAGTGAGACGTTTATCGACTCTGGCCGAGATTCAGCCAAGACATATCAGATTGCTCCTTTTTCCCTTCGCCCACAGTGTGTGCAGGACCAGGAAACATGGTAACTGTGCTCTCATGTCCGGCTCGCGGTGTTGCAAAGAATGAGGTGAACTTGGGACTCGGCAGCGCTGTGTCTTGGTGCGCTGCGGCACCACCTGGGCCACCTGGGAAGAGCGTGGCGACGCTTTCGCGCTCATGAGGAAGACCAAGTTGCGGGTTCGCAGGGTACATGGAACTGAACTTGCTCTGTGGCACTTGCTCCGTCGGCGCAGGAGGAGCAGCGCCGGATGGGAAAGTCGTTGCTGTGCTGTCGCGGATATCGGGAATCATCGGGGTATTTCCCTGACCAGGGTAGAAAGAACTAAAGTTGCTCTTGGGGTAGAACGAGTCAGTTCCGTCAGGATAGTATGAGCTGGTACCGTCGAATTTTCCATGGTCAATCGCCACACTGCCCGTGTAGTTGCTACTGCTCCGTCGACCATTGCCCATTGGAGTCCAATTGTCTACAGGCTGGTGGGCGTCGTGGTGACTGAAAGCGGATATCGAGCTAGCATTGGAGTTGGCACGGGCAAGTTCTGCTTGCATAGGTTGCATCTGATGAGGCAGGACGGATGTGGGTGTGCCAAGTGTTGGGCTTCCACTAGCTACACTACTCAGACGCTGTCCATCACTGAACTTGGGTATCTCCAGCGGTGCAATGTGTTGGGATGGGCGCAAGCTGTGCATGTTGGAGCTTGTGTACTGTGACTGGCTGGCTGTGCTTGTTCTATCTGACGCGAATGTGGACCTGTCCGCAGGAGGAGCACTGGCGAGATTCGTGGCCTCATTGTTCGCAAAGTAACGACTCCAACCTGAGCTGCGAGCTCTTGGTGCAGGCTGGGCTGTTCGGCTCGAGTTTTGCCGAACCATGGGTTCGACAGGCTCTGGCTTCAGGTCAAACTTGGCAAGTTCGTAAGGCTCAGAGTATTGCTCAGAGTAACCAAGAGGGCTGGTCTTCTTGACAAGACCGGCTGTGCTAGCATCGCTTGCCATGTTCTTCTTGTGACCACCACCTCGACCTTGAATGATCGCGAGTGACGTAGTAGACTCGTTGTTCTTTGGATAACTTGCTACAGATCCACCAGCTTCCTTCATAAAAGCAGCTCCTCGATCAGCAAAGCTCATGCGGTCATTCTTCTCGACGTAAGCGTTCTTCTTGCTCTTGTTCTTCCTGTACTTGAGACAGAATAGAATCAAGATGAGGATCAACGCAATGCCGAAAATAGTTCCGAGTGTGGCACCGAGCACGGTCAACATACGTCCCTTATTGTCAGGAGGTCCTGCAGGTGACGCGACAGCTCCTGTGCTGGTGGGGCTGGCAGACGCAGATGCAGATGCGGATGCCGTTGCAGTTGCGGTTGTTGACACGCTTGAAGAGGAAACAGAGTTTGCGAGCACCTGTTGCCCCTCAAATACCGCTGACGCGTTCATCCAAGAGTTTTGCTGGGCATTGAACAGAGCGATCGGTTCCTGATCGTTACCCCCGCTTGCAACAACGGTACCATCATTGCTTTGCGCCAATGAGTAACTTGATCGTGTCGTCGTAGGTGCGAGTGTTTCGTTGTACGGCGACCAGCTGTTCAAGGTCACACGTTTCGTCTTGCTTCCCGTCTTGCCTCCAACTCGAGTTCCTGGGGCTGCAGGGGATCCGTCCTTGTTCAATAGTAGTATTCGTTCCACGGTGTTTGGGGATACGCTCATGTCGAACTTCTGCAGGGCCACACCTCCTTCCTTGTTGGAGATTATCGAGCATTTGACAGCGTCTTCGTTGGTGATGGGCTGTTGCAAAGCGACACCAAGATCCTGCCATCCAGATGATTCTGTAAACTTCCAGACGGCTGTGTTTGATGCACCTCCACCCACCAGCAAAGCGGTGTTCGCATTCGACTCCATCAACATCGGATTCACAGTGAGCGGCGCGCCAGCCGATGGCAGACCCACGACAGAGTAGGGAGCGACGGTAGAAATAAGAAAGGTTTCAGCTGACGGGCCACCGCCGTCGGCCTGCGATCCAGAGTATACGAGAATCTTTTGTGAGTCCTGGAGGTATGCGGCGCCATGGTTGATTCGTTCCTGAGTGTTCCAACTCTCTGAGCGTTGCCAGTCCCATTTCTTCGTGGAAAATGTGTAGTGCATCAAGCCAGGGTAGTTCCAACCTGAGGCTGTCGCATTGACTCTTCCTCCAACAATGAACAGCTTGGCGTCCTTAGTGTTGCCCTTGGGTACTGCCTTGACACATCGTCCTCCTGTAAGCGATACATCCATGGGTAGGGTCTGCCATTTAGCGCCTTCTTCAAGTTTTAGCGATTGGAATCCAGCTGGCGAGTATACGTAAAGCGTCTCTTCGTAGATGATTGAACAGTGCTCTTTGAGCGGGTAGATTGGTTTTGGTGTGCCCATGATGGTGTAGATCACGGGAGATCGGGGATGAAAGCGAATGGAACGAGCGTTTAGTGTCGACTCGGGACGGAAAAAGTAATGAATAAACCAATTATGTGCCCACCCGACTTCTCATAGCGATTTGTGCGAGTCACGATCGATTAGGTGTCCAGAAATGGCCAGGAGTTTTTGCTCGATTGGGTGACACGACGTATATTTGACGGCGGAGGGAGTGATGCGATGTTAGTCTGCGTCGGGAATCGCAAGGGCAATTGACTGCAAGAAATACAACATCAGTATGACTGAGTATAGAGCGCGACCAATGGGGACGTACTCGAATCTGCGACAAAAAAGCCGTGAGCAAGTACGAGGGCGAGGTGGAAGGGTTTGTAGAAGAGCAACGGTGTGCTTTGGCGAATACGCGGAGAGCGACGGGGTTGCGCTCTCTCAAAGAGGCGTCGACGTATGCGAAGGGTAGAGCGAAAGGAGAGGCAGCACAGCTCAGCGGTGTGCAAGTGTCGAAGGAGGGGAAGGGGGGAAGCCGTGCAGGTGAGGCTGTTCAGGCACACAGCAGCTGAAGCTGGAGAGAGAGACAGGTGAGCCTGAGCCTGGGCTGAGCGAGGGGGAGAAGGCCAACCGGCCGCTGCGAAGGGTCCGTCCACCCTTCACGGTTGTGCAAGGGCATGATTCGGAGTGGGCCTAGGCATGATGCCAAAGGGCCTGAGCGGCGACGGCACGAGTGAGGACACACCATGCACACAGGGCCTGTCAGGGGCACTTGGTGAGACAGGCCAATCATGTCCGGGGCCTGTCGTTGATGTTCGCCAACGCCCCTGGCCTTGACCAAGTATATTTAGCGTTCTTTTTAGCCAAGAGACATGCCTGCAGCGAAGAAACAGCCCAGTGTCGGAACCTTTCCAGGGCATCTGCTGGACCTGCAGTGCAGACTCTGCTCTGGGTGGGTGAGAGGCGAAGAGCGTTGCGGGGTTGCCGGCGAGCAGGCCCTTTTTTGGCCTACATATGTAGACGGTGTGCTCCCACATAAGCCCGTAACTCTTTGTGACAACATGCTTCGACGATCAACAGCGGACGAGAGGGCAAATGGCGAGCTTCACAGGGCGGTTGTTTGTGGCGCGCACTCAACCCTCCGCGCGTTCCCCCCGCCGTAGCACAACGGGATGATGAATAAGGACTCTCTGATCATTTCCGCTCTTTTGAGCACGTCACGAATCAAGCCAGGCCGCTTCCGTGCTTGCCTCTTCCTTCCGTGTATAAGAGGGGACGGGCACCGTATCTAACGGTCTGTGTCTGGTGCCAGATGGGTGGGTGGCAAAGCTCGTATGTATGCCTAAAGATACATACATGCGGTCGTATATGCATATGCATGGTAGCCCCTATCGATAGTTCGTGTCCAGACGAGGGGTGTTAACATGGCGAATACCTCGCGGACGGCTGGTCATATCTTTGTGCTGCTTCTCCCGTGTGGCTGTGGGGGTGTTTGCGCACGGCGAGGTGTGGTCCTTGGGCAGCCAAGGCTTCCCATCACACTTCCCGATCACACGCTGGGGGCACGGGCGTGAAGGTCGTTGGTCATTGTCAAGCGTACGTAAGTACACAGGCAAATAACGCGACAGCGATGGAGAAGCCCAAGAGGCGCGCGCGTTGCAGTGGGCGGTTTGGTGTTTCCGCAATTTGGTGACGGGTGGAGCAGCAGCACGAAAGGCTCCCATGCACACTGACGTCTGAAACGGAATCCTCGGTCCCCATGCTGATTGGCGTGCCTGATCCGGCCACCTGACTCAGCCGCTAGCCACGCGCTGTTCCTTACCAACGACGCCCGAATGCACTAACTAGCCGTTCCTCTTTTCAACAAACAACACCATCATCTCCCATTGACGATGACATCGTGACAGCATTGGGCTACCACAGAAGCGCCCTCGCCGTACCACACTCGACGCCCCTGCTGATGATGGCACTGGCTGCACACAACCCTCACCGACTAGTCGGTACACTACCCCGCAAGCAGTGCCCTAGCTTCGACTGCGACTATGGGAGCCGCGTCCCGGGCAGCGCTCCTAATGCTTGCGGTTGGTCCGTCATCAATCTCCTACGCCTTGGAGACGATATTCCTCTGCACTCCTGCACTGTCGGCTAAACACGTCCCGGGCGACTAGTGATGATGCACCACCCAAGCCCACTTCTGAATGGTGGCAAGAGCTGAGTCAGATTTATTGCGTCTCTTCTCACAACAATCCAATACAGTGCAGCAAACACAGCCCTCTACGAGCTTTGGACACGATGGTCGGGCACAATGGCTCGTGTTCTGCTCTCCATGCGCCCAGTCACCCTCATTCGAGTAACCGGCTTGTCCCGACCCACGCCTTGTTTTGCATAAACTCACATCCCGCTTTCCTATTTGGCATGGTAATCCCGCTGCCGTAGCCCACAAAACTCGGGTCTACTCACTCCACTCTACCTCATATGGTTTGTCGTGCCATTCTAAATGCTCTGAGGGGCAAACAAGTGGGACCAAATATGTCTTTATTGACCAACAGTGAGGTGCTCAGCTGAGATATTCGAAACACCACCATCTCGTCAGCACTTTGCATTGATCGGGCCCGGATCATCGGGCCTCGCGGAAAACAAATCTTGGGACATTGACTCCCGTTTGGGAACAAGCAACCTCGGAGCGTTAGTGAAGATGGTGTCAACGGTCAACTCGCCTTTGTTTTATCCCGACAACGTTGGTGTTACATATAACAAAAGCAAGAACTGATCGTCTCAACAACCCCCTTCAGATTATCTCCTTGACCGTTGCACTGGTCTTTCGGAACTCTCCGTGCAGTTCATGCGCACCGTTCCGATCACGAATCCACGTCTTCGTTAGTTAAGAAGCAAATATGCTTATCCTAGATTCGGCACAGATTGACTTTACACTACACACTGTTGACTGCACCTTCTGGAACTTCTTAATGTCTGATATTCATAGTTGGTGATATGAAATCGCTTCACTACTTCCGTACCCTATATCTCTACGGAGTACGTACAGGGCAATCTTCCTCGAACCAATAACATCAACAGTGTAGGCTCTTGAAGCTGAAACGACGCAAGACAGTGCACAAACACACGATTGCGTCAGCCGCTGGTGTATCAAAGCAACATGCTAGACACAAGAATTACGTCTGTCAGTCTCCTGAAACTTTTACATTGGTCTTTTGAGGGCTTATTTCCTCCAGTCATGATGCTTGCTATGGTGATAGACGGAAGATCACCATACATCTCTACTTGTGTCATGACTCCAGTGACGCGTCACGAAGATCAGCCAATCGCGATTGCATATCAAACCTTATAGTGCTAGTACAATTGCTATCGAACCCAGTGCTTTGGTATAGCTAGAAAGCGTACTGAATGAATATCGAGGTACAGCAAAATGTCGCATACGTGAGATACGCGAGCTGGCACCTATATCATGTCAATCAAGCACTGAGCACATTACAACTGAAATCTGAAAATCAGTATGATCCGGACCAGTATCGCGCACAAGTACTCAGCTCTATTTCCTCAAAACAATAATTATAGTAAGACTATATTGATATCCAGCAGAAATACTCAAAGCCAAGCATGGCAATTCTAGTAAATCACCATACCAAGAATTTGAACCCTCTCCGCCCAACCACTCTTTTCGCCCAACCACATCTACAATCCTTTCCCTCATCAATTCTCCCAAAAACACTTCCCATATTACATCCCACAACTACCATTCTACCTGAATCACCGCCAACCCCCCGCACCGATCGCACATAACCGTCCCTCCCTCATCTAACTATTCCCTCATCGCCCTTTCTTCCCTTTTGTTCTTAATCTATACCCGCTTCGTATTCGTCATCACCCATACATGCATACACACGAGCCCTCATTTTTTGAACAAGGTTGTATATGTTCGGATCGCCCTTTTTTTTCCTCCATAGTTATAATTAGGTTTTTTTTTGATTGGGTTACTGTTCTTTACCTTATGCTTCGAAACACGAATACGAGGAAGACATAGACTATTTGTGGTGGCGGATTTAGTCTTGCCTTTTTGACGTGTTTCTTGGGGACTACTTGGGTTTTGCGCACGGAAGTATTTGAAACGTTGATGCTCTTTTGCTTTCATGGGTTGCTAGTTTGATGTTGATGAGAATCAAAGTGGGTGTGGACTATTGGGGTTTGGACTCTTGGGGGATCGTTTTGATTGTCCCGTATCACGAGTGCACGCAAGCTTCTGTAGTTACAGGTAGAATAAATGTCATGGCATTGGCTATAAAAGATTGTGACGAAGCTACGCATCAACATCAACAGGCGTTTGAAATAGAAACCAAGCAACGTAGTATCTGCTTCTTCTAGCAGACCGTTCTCACCATCATCAAAAAGCATACGCCAACAACGGATAATCTTGACAATCATGGGTCAAAGACTACAAGTTACGCAGCGGACAATATTCACTCTTCGTTCACGGGGATGCGATAGACATCAATATCATCTCAATGCTATACACAAGAAATAGCACTTCGTGAAAAAATGTGTCTCACCATCAAACCATCTTCTTCATCGTAAAACTCGAAGACGGTCTGCAGGCGAGTAGTGACGCTTGTCACCTGGCATTCTTCTCCGCTAGTCGTATAGCTCACGGCAACCATTAGGTAAGGTCGATGAGTAGATATTCTAGCGTGGATGGGAAAAAATTCTTCACGTGCCTTTGTCTCACGGTGACGGCTGGAGTAACAAATATCATTCGTTGCCAAACTCCAAATCCATCGTGGTATCATTTCGAACAGAAATCTTCGACGGGGCCGCATGGCGGCAAGTCCATTGTTGGAGCTAGTAGCCGGTAAAACGCCCTGCTTTTCCATGCGCACATCGCATGCCCAGACCGTGAACCCATGATATGCATTTCATCCACTCGGAGGCGGTGGGACAGCCCATGCCCATGTGCCTCGAAGCCGTGGTGTGTCGTCAAACAAAGAAACAAAAGCGAGACGCTTAAGCCTCCCTCTGCTTCTTCTTCTCCTCGCGACCGGCGCTCTTGCGCTCCAGGATAGACTCGCGGTCCTTGTCGAGCTTGAGCTTGGTGATGACGACCTTGGAGGGAGCGATGGGGGTGGGAACCGACTGGCCGTTGCTCTTCTCGCGGACGACTGTGTGAAAAACTTAGTAAGAATTTGTCGGCTTGAGGGAATCGAGGGCTACGCACTGCCGTTGACATGAATGCAGTACTTGAGGCGGTAGACGGAGGAGACCTTGCCCTCACGTCCCTTGTTAGAACCGCGGACAACGGTGATCTCGTCCTTGGAAAAGTCAGCACACTACCAAAGTCGATGGAAATCCAGGTATACTCACATCCTTACGGATGGGAATGCTGCGCACTCCGTGCTTCTCGCGGAGCTCCTTACTCAAAGGCGCCTGAAGGTTGTTAGAACATGTCCACTGCAATGTTCCAAGTCTCTTCATACGCTCATGATGACCCGACGCACACTACTCGGCGCACTGAAGTGCGCCTTTCGCGATTTGCGGCGAGAGCTCGCGACCATTGACTGGACCTTGGTCATTTTTGCTGTGGGATGTGCGGGTTGTCGGGTTAGTAGACAAAGTTCGTGTCGCACCTCGAAAATTAGGGTGGTGAGAATGTGCAGAAGCCAGACCAGCTTCGCTTCGCTAGCGTCGGCAAATATTTTTTCCGATGCACTGTAGCCACCCCGGTTCGCGCAAGTCAGCAACGCGTGCGTCGCAGGTAGGCCGTCATGGGCGCGGCGTCACTTTGCTACGCGTCGCAGTCTATCTGCCCCTCGATCCAGCACATTTATTGCGCGTCAAGACCGGCATACAGTGTGGAATATTTGAACATCCGCTGCCTTCACTTTAAGCGACGCCTGCGACATCTGTCGCTACAGAGGCACCCCGAAAACTGTAATATGGTTGGAGAGTGATCCGAAACTCCTCGGCCAAGAATCGCAATGTCGACGAATGGCTATAACCCATACAACCCCTCCTACCAACAATCTTCCGCCCAGCAATATGCGTCATATCAGACTGCGCCCGCTTCGAATAATGTCACCCAGTCCGCCCGCCAGTACCAGCAACCACCACCAACGACGCAAGCCCAACAATACATGCCCTACCCAACACAGTCATATACAACCCAAAACAGTGGATATGGAACTGGCGTCACATGGAACAACGGCGCATATGGTGCAACTCGCGAGATAACAAACCGGGCTGCCGAGGTTCTGCACAATATGAGTAACCCCTCGTATGCACTCAGCACCACCTCTGCGACCACCTTCACCACCAACACTAGCACGTCGTCGCATCCCGCTCACTATGCCAGTTCCAATGCCCCGCAAGTCCTAGCGCAGCAGAGTCATTCTGTTTATGGACAATCGCAAGCACACCCACAGAGCGTTAACAATAATCGCGCTCTACCGTCTCCGGTCACAGCATCAAAGAGCTATCTGCACGCAACGCAGCCAATGCATAACCGGCAACAGCAGCAGCGCTCTACCAGCTCAGCTCAGCCTCAATACACTACCGCGCAAGCCAACAATGCGCGGACCGTAACCATGATGGCTACAACAAATCAGCAGTACGGCGGTTATGGTAGCCAGCAGATTGCTAGCGTCGAGTCCTCGCGTGGCTCACAAAATCACACACCGTCAAACGTCAATAATTACGACACTGCGCCAATGCCCCCAGCTGCACCTTCTGCACCCACTGTCAGCATGGCAGATACATACCATACACAGGGTACTACTACCGTAGATCCACTGGCAGTGTACGACCCATGGCCTGAATACCAGCGAAAACAGGCAGCAAGGAAGGCGATGGAGGACGTGGCACGCGCTGAAGAGGAAAGGATTGCAGCGGAGAAGCGCCAAACAGAAGAGGAGCGCAGACGACAAGAAGAGAGAGAAAGCTTGCGACAACCACAGCCAAAATCCAATGCGAACCAGAGTCAAAAGGAGCAGCAGTCAAACATAGCCGAAGTGGCTGCTGCACTTCCGGCTGACGAAGATAGTCCCAGTGATGCGTTGGAAGCCGAGATTCGTGCAATGATGGCGAAAATGCGTGAACTCAATAGCAAAGACCCAAGTCTCCTTGCGCGCATCTGGGAAGAGGAACGTAGAACAAAACCAAAATCACAGACGGCACAAAGCAAGCCTACGCCTCCAGCTGCTGCACCTCCAGCTGCTGCAGCCAAGTCTACACAACCTGCTCATGCTAGTACTCCGCAGCCTGCAAACTCGAAGGAGAACATCTCACATAGAGAAGCGGCGAACACAAATGTATCTAAGCCGGCGACTCCCGTGGTCGCTCATGCTGAACCGGTCAGGCGAACCCAGACGCCGGCCAGTCGACCCGCCGGCAACACTGTCTGGCCAGCAGAGAAGAAGGCACATCTAGCAAAAGCAGCTGCAGCATATCTCAATGACTACAACACGTTTCGCAAAATCCAACCCTCTCGCATAATAAGTCTGCTCAATGACAACCCTTCTTATATCCAGCTGTGTGAGCAGCTTGAGCAGATGGATTTTAAACTAGATCGCGCAGCCTTTGCTAAATGCTTGCTTACAGCTGTGCCAGACGTAAACTCAAAATCCCGTCAATCTTTGCCTCAACCACCAGCTCCTGTGCAGACACCGCCTGTCCCACCTGCCGTAATGAAGAAGGTCATTTCAGCTTCCGTCGTACCTAGCCCACAAGACGCGCCAGCTTCAGGTCCACCAGCAAGTGCAGAACAGTACACGCCATTTCCAAATGACGACTCACCGGCAGGTCCTCCAGCACATACGCCTGCACCTGCATCTGCACCAGTCGCCGAGATGATGCCCATCAAGCCTGAGTTGAGGAAGCCTGCTAATAAAGAAGAGGCTGCCCGAAAGCGCAACCTGAGCGACCTTGTTGATTTAACGCAACTTTCAGAAGACGAGGATATGGGTCCACCACCCAAGAGGATGAATACTGGTGTCATGCATATACCTGATCCTCAGGGTACAACGGATGGCGACAAGCAACTGTCGACTTCTATCACCAACGGGCCACCGCAGTCTTTTATACAACAATTACCATCGCTACCTAATAGTCTTGAATACACTACTTATGTTAAGCCACTAGATCGGAACAAGGCACTACGTCGCAATACTTACAATCCTGCAACAATTGCACGCGATGTCTTGATCGCTTGTGGAAGACACCCGTCGCAGCGTAATCTAAACCAGCATTTAGACCAGCTAAGAACAAGCTTGCCTAACGTCACGATGGAGTCAGACCTTAGTACTATTAGGTGGGATCTGATCGATCCTGGCAACCCACCTCCGGACTACTTCAAGGAGAGAGTCGAAGATCTCACGCAAGATGCAGATGAGGAGGATTCGGGTGATGATGAGAGACTGCGTCCCCGCTCTCCGTCGAACGCGATTGGTGGTGATGGTGGGGCTCAGGTAAAGGTCCAAGCTTTACTTGAAGCTATCAATCCATTCATCAAGAAGAAGCGACGCGGTCGACCTCCGCGAAACTCTTTACCCGACACCACTGAGCCTGTGAAACAGCCTCCTCCCATGAGTTCAAGTGACCGCCCTGCCTCAGGTGCTAGTGGCGTGGGCTATTCGGCATTTCGGTCTGCTACACAGTACAACCCTGACGGTACACCGATTCCTAAGAAGAAAGGTCGCCCTGTTGGTTGGAGAAAGGCTATCCATGGATCTGCTGCCACACAGGTTCAAACGAATCCAAAAAAAGACACTGGCCTCTTGAATAAGCATCAGCCGCCACAGCCAAGCTCCATGCGCAATGTGCGCACAGATGACGCAGTAATTCGTATCGACTCGAGGTCGCCGAGTGTCATGAACCGTGTCTTTCAGTCGTACAAGTGCAAATGGCTAAACTGCAAAGCAGAGCTACACAACATGGATACCCTGAAGAAACATGTGTTCAAAGTACACCGTAAAGATACAGTCGGCAACACTTTGAACTGCCTGTGGGATGATTGCATCAAAGATACCCATTCACCTTCTTTTGACCTGGAGAGCAACTGGCGCAGCCATGTACAGCAGGCGCACTTTGATCCGCTGTTATGGGAGCTTGGCGATGGACCGGCCAGTGGTCTCTCTGGTAAGGAAGATGATTGAAGAAGAGCTTGGATTGACATGAGAGAAAGGATCTGACAATGTGCAATCTAGACTCGCATGACTCTGATGCTTATCTTAGCGATGCGCAAGGTCGACAAGTTACTCCACGCATTACAGTTGACCCCGAACGCCTAGAGGCACTTAGTTTGTCTCCACCAGGTTTACTATCACGAGGTCGCGGACGGCCTCCAAAACGCACCCTAGAGCAAGAAGCTCGTGACGTGCACAATAGGCTTGTGTCGCTGAAGATGCGTATAGGAGGACCGGGCATGGATCGTGGAGGGGCAACACTTGTGAATGATAAGCGGCGAAGAGGTCTTATTGATGTCGATGAGACAGAAGAGGAGATTGTCAACGTGGAGAACTGAATCAGATGACAGCGCTTTGCGCGGTTTATTTAACACTACTCTCTTAGGGATTTTTTTTCTACAAGTACGTGTATACCCAGTAGGAGCACGATGTTGCATTGTATTGGCAGTGGGTGTGCATTAAGGAGACTGAGAGCCACGCTTTACTTTATGATAGCCAAACGAATCGAACATTCCGGCGACTATAATCGCTTGAGAAACCAAAGTTATATACGCCTGAACGCCATGCCCTTGGACTAACAAGCTTCGCTTTTGTGAGTCGGGTATTATCTCTAACTTGCAATATGTGTGCAATTGCATGTCTCTTATCAATGGCTAACCATGTTGTACTCTTCATGCCTTGACCTTTGCTCCCGCAGCCCTTGGCTTCTCCTCAACCTTGTGATCGTCGGAGTTGACTTCCAGGAAATGATAGACGACGACAAGCAGCATGGCGGCGCTTCCAAGGAAGATTGCGAGCGAGTAGAGTTGGGAGTCTGTAATCATCTTGAACGTAACCGCGCGTCGAATCGAGCTGGATGGCTAGTGGAAAGGCGCGGGGACGCGCTGCGGAGTTGTTAGTTACACAAACTAGCAACATAAAAATATAGCAATATCTCACAAAAACTAGGTGCAATGCAAGGGCTTAAAAGTCGGGAATGTCGGGGCGATATTGGTTGCGTAGTACGTAGTGATTGACTATTAGGGCTCATGTCAAGGCCACCTTGAAGCTTCGGGAATGTCGGCGAGGGCCAGGGCTGGCTCTAGCGCAAGGTCCTCCGCCACTTGAAAATCCACCCCACACAGCGTCATTCTCACTTTGACGCCCACAAAGCCCAGGCACCATATCGCCCATCAGCCATCTACCATCCACCGTCGCATTTGGCACGAGTCCGTCCCCGAAACTACGTGAATCTACCCATCATCTCTCCAACCCCCACCGTCTTTACAAACCAACGCAAACCAAGTAAACATGGCACCAAAGGGCAAGGGTGACCAGCCCAAGACGAAGAAGGTCGTCGTGGACAAGACCTTTGGTATGAAGAACAAGAAGGGAGGAGCCGCCCAGAAACAAATTGCGCAGCTCAAAGCCACGCAAGCATCGGGTGGTACGCCTGATGAGAAGCGCAAGGCGGCGGAGAAGGCGCAGCGCGAGAAGGAAAAGGCCGCGGCCGAGGCGGCGCGCAAAGAAACCGCTGAGCTCTTCAAGCCAGTACAAGTTCAGAAGGTCCCATTTGGAACCGATCCCAAGACAGTGCTGTGTCAGTTCTTCAAGAAGGGCAACTGCGAAAAGGGCAAGAAGTGCAAATTTAGTCACGACCTGGCTATTGAACGCAAGACTGAAAAGAAGAGTTTGTACACGGATAGCAGAGATCAGGAGAAGACAGAGGATGACGAGCGCAAGAAGAAGGACAACATGGACGACTGGGATGAGACCAAGCTGCGACAGGTCGTCCTGAGCAAGCATGGAAACCCCAAAACCACAACAGACAAGGTGTGCAAGTACTTTATCCAGGCCATCGAAGACCAGAAGTACGGTTGGTTCTGGACGTGTCCAAATGGTGGAGACAAGTGCTTCTATAAACACTCTCTCCCACCTGGGTAAGTTTGAACTTTTGCTGTTGATACTAGGATATTAACTAATAGGCTGTAGCTTCGTTATTAAGACCAAAGAGCAGCGCGCAGCTGAGAAGGCCCTTATGGCTAACTCCCCTCTCAACACTCTCACGCTCGAAGACTTCCTCGAGTCGGAACGTCACAAGCTCACCGGAAAACTTACGCCCGTCACACCAGAAACGTTTGCCAAATGGAAGAAGGAGCGTATCGACAAGAAACAGGCCGAAGAAGAGGCTAAGAGGCTCAAGGAGGCCACTGGTAGGGCTATGTTTGAAAAGGGTGACTGGGCTCAAGACAGCGACGAGGATAGCAGCGACGGTGAAGACGACGACGAATGGAATCTGGAATCCATGAGGAGAGAGACTGAAGCCGCACGGCAAAGGAAGGAAGAAGAGCGCATTGCTGCCTCCATGGAAAATATGACTGTTTCTTGAATGTCGTCGACTTATTCCGAGTCAGAGATTCGTCGAGGGGTCGAGAAAGGAAGAGGCGACGAGAGCTTGCCGGCTGCCACACAATGCTGAAAAAGCTTGCAGGGCAGGACGAGTATTGCCATGGCAAGAAACCGATTGGTTGTCCTTGTACACCTATCGCCGTAGCTTTGGGATGATCCTAAGCTTTGTCACTCCATGTGCAATCCTGCCTAGAATGGCGGATCATCAGACTGAATTGGCTTTTGTGTCATTTGGCGCTGGCGTCTCGGTTTGTTGGGGGTTCAGGTATCATTTGTATGGGGTTACGAAATACAACTACGCTTCCATGAGCACCATACTATGTTGATTTACAAGATGCATTATTGCGAGGGAATTTGTCGTAATGTTTTTGTAAAGGGAATATGGAATATTTCACTAGCAATCTCATATCAATCCGAGTATCTGTAGTATGATATCGATCTCGCACATATCAAGCTAACGGCATGACTTTCTGAGGGCAATGAGTCTCTGTTCAAGGATGCTTATTCTCATATTTTGAATGAGTGCTCAGAAAAAGCGTGTAAATACTTAATCGATATCATACTGCTATCTCTACTAAGATGAAATGACCCCACTACCCGTGCGTCTTGAAGACTATTCCAACGAGATCTTCAGGCATGCATCGGTCTACCCAATGGCGGTGAGCGTATTGCTAGTCTACAGGGAAGCACATGCTATCTCGGACCGAAATGCGTATCAACACATTGTACATACAAACCCTACCAAGAGAAGAAAGTACACCACGGATAGTAGAAACGGTAACTGAAGTAGTGAGATCGGAAAGTGGAGGGCGTTTCATTGTCTATTCCTTACCTGGGTAGTTTGTGATCTCTAGTTAGTCATAGATTGGTATTTCGGACAAGCGATGAAGACAGATCATTCTACAAAGCCAGAACATACAACTGACACATACTACAAGTCCAGAGCACCTCAAGGGAAGTAGATACGGTAAGTAGAGGCACCGAGAGTGGAGTTTGTACTATGTGACTTGTCATCAAAGGATCACTCGTAGGTCAGCCAAGTCCGAGGTTTGCGCGAGCAGCCCAAACCACATGAAGCCACGCTAGACACCAAAAGGGAAAGGCCGGCCGTATCCCTGGAACTCAATTGCCGCGCTTCTGTTCCGCCCACGTTTCTAGTCGTCCCCGCAGCATGACGGCACGCGTGCTCGGCCATGCTGCCGTGGAGTACCAAGTCCCAGATACTGGGGCTCTTTAGCATCCGATTTTATTGCCGGCCACCTTGCAATCCCGATATGCGTTGCCTTGAATGCCGTCTTGCACTAACCCAGCTTGGTCATGGATGGCGTCGGTGTAGGGACAGAGCGAGCTTTCTTTAAAGACCGCTGGGCCGGCTACACTGGATGTTAACTATTTAGCCAATATCCTCGCTATTCTCCCATCTCCTCTTTCTTGCACTTTTACATCCAGCTGTACTGGCAGTTTTTATCTCAGTATAGTCCAAGTGCAAGGGGCTTTCTTCTGATTTCCATCTTACATCGCGGCGGCATTCTATATCCCCTTATCTATACCGCCACGCTTTTTTAATATCAAAGTCACTGAAGGGGAAAAGAAGCCATGGTGGAAAACTATGACGTTGTTATTGTCGGCGCGGGGCCCGTCGGTCTTTGTCTCGGAACCTGCCTGGCAAGATGGGGTTACAAAGTCAAGCACATCGACAACCGACCAGAACCTACCGCTACTGGCCGAGCCGATGGTATCCAGCCACGCTCACTGGATCTTCTGAGAAATATGGGCCTCAAGCGCAAGATTATGGAGTATGAGCCAGCAAAAGTGTACGAGGTCGCTTTCTGGGATCCAGCACAAAAGGGTATCCACAGGACAGGCACATGGGCTAGTTGCCCCAAGTTCATCGACGCACGATACCCTTTTACCACCTTGCTCCACCAAGGTATGATTGAGCGGACTTTTATCGGGGATATCGAGAAGAATGGTGGCAAGATCCAAAGACCGTGGACGATTACCGGGTTCAAGAATGACGGCAAGGACAAGACATATCCTGTTGAAGTTCAACTTGCACATGTGGATGGCACAGCTAAGGAAACCGTTCGAGCAAAGTACCTCTTCAGCGGAGAGGGCGCGAGGAGTTTTGTCAGAGAGCAACTGGGTATCAACATGATCTACAAGGATCCCATTGCTCACGTTTGGGGAGTCATGGACGGCGTTGTCAGGACAAACTTCCCTGATATCAAGGTATGTGCTCTCAAATTTTTGCTGATATCAATTCTATCATATACTAACAGTATTCCAGATGAAATGCACAATCCACTCTGACGCTGGATCTATTATGATTATTCCCCGCGAGAACAACATGGTACGCCTGTACATTCAAGTAGCATCCTCAACCGACAAGGACTGGAATCCCCGCAAGACTGCTACTGCGGAAGAGGTTCAAGCCCGCGCCATTGAGATCTTCAAGCCATACACCATCTCTTGGGATCGTGTAGAATGGTACTCTGTCTACCCCATTGGCCAAGGTATCGCGGAGCGTTACACTCTCGACGAGCGCGTATTCATGGGTGGTGACGCATGCCATACTCACAGCCCCAAGGCCGGTCAAGGCATGAACACTGCATTCCTCGACGCTGTCAACTTCGCCTGGAAGATCCATCACGTAGAGAGCGGCTGGGCAACACGCTCACTCCTCTCCACTTACGAATCCGAACGCAAGCTCATCGCCGAAACCCTTCTCGACTTCGACGCCCGCTACGCCAAACTCTTCTCCACCCGCATCCCCTCGGCCGGTGAAGTCGCCGGCGCCTCCGCCAAAGAAGCCCCTGAAGACAACGAGTTCATCAAGACCTTCAAGGCAAGCTGCGAATTCACAAGCGGCTACGGCGTAGCCTACAACCCCAACCTCGTCAACTGGGGCCCCCAACACCCCGCACAGCACCCCCTCATCCTCTCTTACCCACAAGGCACCACCCAGCGAACCGGCCGTATCCTCACCCCCGCAACCGTCACCCGCGTCGTCGACGCCAACGTCGTGCACCTGGAACAAGAAATCCCCTTCAACGGCTCCTACCGCATCTTCATCTTCGGCGGCACCCTCGCCAAATCCAGCACCGCCCTCAAAGACCTCGCCACAAACATGTCCTCTCCCAATTCCTTCTTCAATGCCTTCCTCCACCCAGACATCAAAGACAAAGACCGCTACCACGAGAAACATAACCCGCACTCTGACTTCTTTTCCCTCGCCCTCGTCTTCGCGGAGCAGCGATCAAAGATCCAGATTGACGAGCAGTTGCCCCAGCCGTTTGCAAGATATGCCGATCATGTCTACGCGGATGATGTGTGGGATCAGCGTGTCCCTGATGCGAAGGCTGCGGCGCACGCCAAGATGGGTCTGGATCAGGAGACTGGAGGTGTGGTTGTTGTGCGGCCCGATGGGTATGTCGGTGTTGTGGTAAAGCTTGAGGAGGGTAAGGGTACGTGTGAGGCGCTGGATGCGTGGTTTGGAGTTGTTACTGGGAATAAGTTGGGGGGTGAGCGGGCGAGTTTGTAAATGATTGAGGTTAATGATGGGATGGATTTTGGAAAATGATGTTTGCATAGCGTATCGTTTTATTCTTTGTATATTTTCAATAGTGATGGTTGGATGATTAAATGTGTTCGGATGGAAAACTGATATCTCGATGTGAAGTCTACGTGCTTGAGGGAACAATGAGGGAATATGTTATGAAGACTAAGTCACGGCATCGCCCGTGCTTGGAACGAGATTGAAGTATGTAATATAGAATATGAATAAGATAAGGGAGCAGCAAATGACTATCAGTCAACCGTCCAAAATCAATCCAACCCCCCTCCCCTGCTTTACTTCAGAACAAAATCTCATCATGCCACCGCCACACATGCCATAAATCCTGAGAGTATCCAAAAACTCGCAACTACGAATTAGTTGCTAGGGCGATACTTGAATTTTGCAACGTCAATACTACCCCATAAGGCAAAAAGATTGATATCAAACTTCCAAAGTCTATGGTTCCAAAAAATATCTATGCACACATATCTTAACCATCCATATAACTTTCTACCTCCTAAACGCCCCCATCCATCCCCATCTTTCTAATTCACCACCCTCTTTAAATGCGCCGCCTGTCTCGGTTCAATAAACAGCGCCTCAGCCTCCGTAAGCACAACCCTATCCTTCTTGCCCTGATTCCACTCCTCCGCCTTGGGCAGCGTCTCGAGCCGTCCCTTAACCCACGCCTTCCTGCCCTCAACTTTGGTCGTCTCAGCATGTAGGACTACAATCTGGCCCGCCATGCATGGCGCCTTGTAGTTTATCGTCAGACTAGCCGTGACACCGACTTTATTGGGGAGCGCGGGAAAACAGCAGCGTGCAAGGCCTTCGTCAAGAAGCGTGGCTAGGAGACCTCCGTGTACGATGCCTGGGTGTCCGCATAGCGCGGTGCCGAGGTACTGTATTGAAATGAACTGTGAGCCATCGGATGTGGAAAATTGGAGGGGTGGTGAGGCGATCTTGTCGGGTCCGAGGAGTGTTCCTCCGGTGAGGTTCTGGGCCCGAAGTTGCTCGGGGATCTTGAGAACGGGGCGCGCGGCGATGAATTTGGGGTCTGCGAGTAGGCTCTTGGTGAGCGGGTGCTCGAATATGATCTTCTCGATCTCTGCGACTTCTTCAGTGGAGGGGTTGAAAAGTTCGAGGGTCTCGGCATCTGTCGGTGGGTTGGCGAGCTCCTGGAGGGACTGGACTGCGGGGGCGCCAGCCATGATGAAGCTGGTGGTGAAGGTGAGGAGCGTAAGCGCGAGGGCAATGGGCAAGCGTATGTAGACAGGGCGTTTGGTTACAGGACTCGGGTTAGGAGAAGGTGGTGGGGTCAATTGAGCAGTATGCGATTGTTGGGGCAGCGATGCTACAAGAGTTGCTTAGTTAAGGATCTATAGAGTGCATGTTGATTATCGCAAAAGATAGTGCGAGCAGACTTACCAATATTACTCTGTTGCCTTATCTGTCTCGAAACGTTTGCCCACTTTGCCTGCGAGACAATTCCATCTTTTATATCAGGCCGGCCGACTTCGCGCCGCGCCAATGGCGGCCTACTACAGGTACCCCGATAGCGACCCACATGCCTAAATATGGCCGATCTTGCGGATAACATGGCTCTTCCGTGCCCAGAAGCAGAGAATTTCCGGCCTAGTCGTTTGTTGTGATCTGAGTCGGTGAGCGTATGGCGATAGAAGGTTCCGCCCTCAGCTCGGACCTTCGGAACGATGTGCCTCGGCTCAGGGAAAGTCCGTGGTCATGCATCCTTTGTCAGGCAATTTCCTCTGTGGCTGGCCAAGACAAACGATAGAACACTACCCGCCATGGCTGTTCAAGGCTCGGCCGATGCCATGGTGAACAACCTGCTTTTTCCTTCGTTGAAAACCCCCTATTTTTTTGCGGGATGTCGTCGATGCCCATTTACACACATACTGTTGGAACTGATGGGAAAACTCCAGACTCCAGACATCACCTATAATAGAAGCAATGCTCAGCGCGAATTCATCTCATGCATATCGATTTTGGGATTTTTCCCCACAGCCTTCATTTTTGCATGCTTCAGGCTGACCATATCCCCTTTACATCGATCCACTCAATCGTCATACTATACATACAGAGTTGAGAAGTGTGTCATGTCGAACGCCGTGTCCATCTGTAGCGCTCGTCTATCCACTTCCATGACCCAGGGAACAAATCAAACTACCCAGCGTACAGACTGGGTTCATAATAAAACAAGATAGCATAATCTTTTGGACGCCAAAGATGCCGGGAGAATGGAAGCGTAAATGTGAAGATGTGAACGGGGACGTAGTCGTACAGCAGCGAGTGCAAATGTAAGGAAAGGAATCGATGTAGTGAGTAGCTCAGTAGTAATCCCTGGCACTCTTTTGCAGCTCAATCAGTCGCCATCCTCTTGTCTCAGGATTGTTGACATCTTCTGGTATCCTGGTAACACCAATGGCGTATGTCACCTGTTGGACTTTGTCGTCCATTCCAGAAGCCAGCTCTCCGCTCTTTGCGTTGCGGTAGACATGCACCTCTTGGGTTCTGCACGTGAGGATGAAGACAGGGATCTCTCCAGGCTCCAAAAGTTTTGCGTTGAGAACATCAACACCGCGGATATCCACAATCTTTCCGTCAGACTTGAGACCAGCGGCTTGGTATTGCTGCATCAGTGCAGCGTAAACGGAGTATTGGGCTGCCGACAGCCACTCTTTCAGAACAGCGACGTCGCCCTTGACGTAAGCATCCAAAACCTCAGGCAGGATGTATTCGCGCATCTCAGTCAGGAAAGACTCCATCTGGAAGTTGGGGTCTATTTCCCGGAATTTCTTGATGACCATTGCTGTTTCGTTTTCGGCGAAGAAACCAGTAATGCGGTCCGAGATGCTACGAGCCGTCTCAATGAGCGGGTTGTCAGACTCCCTGTAGACAACTTTCATATTGAAGAATCCTTGGGCGAGCTTGGAGTTGTCCTTCCATTCCCTCCAGACCTCTTTGTACTTCGCGTCCTTGTGTAGTGTTACATTGGTACCAGCACTGTATAATGTTAGTCAGGAAGTATCAAGTTGTTCAAGACGGTCTCACTTTGGATCCTCTTCCATTGGCCCAAGAGCCTTGCCACCAGTTCGCTTGAGCTCGTTGAGCTCACGCAACTCTCGCCTCTTCCTGCGCTCTTCCTTTTCGACCCAGCCACCATATCTTGATGAGCTGCCGTCATCAATGGTCTCTTTTACAGCCTGGAAAGCCTTCGTCTGTCGCACTGGTCTTGTTGCATATTCAATACCACTTCCAGTAACCCTAGCAGCAGCACGAACACCCTTCACAGGCATGGTATCCCACGTCCAAGCCGCACCCTGACCCACGGCTGATGCAGTCGCTTTCAGTGCCTCGGTTGTCTTTGTCTTCGCAGCCTCAGAGATTTGGCCAGCTCTTTGGACATTTGGGTTCTGTTGAAAATCGTGCAGCGCGCCGCCCAATTGCTTTGTGCCCTCGTTCCAGTCTTTTGAAGCCTGGAATTCCTGCTTCAGCGTCTCAGTGAAGACTTGCCAGGGAGTCTTGTCACCGTGGGGTGGGGGTGGAGGTGCATCCTGCTTCTCCTTCTTCTGGCCTTCCTCACCTTCCTTTTGCTCGCCCGACTCCTCCTCGCCCTCCTTCTTTTCCTTTGCTTCCTCGCCCTCTTTTTGTGTGGCTTCCTCTGCAGTGCTGCCCTCGGAGGTTGTAGACTTCTTAGCCTCCGATTGCGGCGCCGGCTCTTCGTCCTTTACACCCTTTTGCTTTTGTGCTTGCTCGTACAGGGCGGGCCGAAAAGAAAAGTGGCGGGCATATGCGGAGGATGTGCGGAAGAGAACATCGTGGGGCAGGAAATTACTGCGAAGAAATGGTTGTGGTGAAGCCAAAGACGCCAATGGCACGGAGGTGCGTGATACCGAGCCTTGCTGGGCCCGAGGCAATGTCGATATCCGTCTATAGGATGTAGCCCTTGCGTATGCGGTTGCTGGTGTTGCAGCGGCAGCGGGTTGTATGCTCCATCGCGCACTGGCGGCAAATGTGCTTGCAGTCGGCGGTCTCATGCTCTGGAAGGGATTGATGCAGAATCTCGAGTCTCAAGCTTCAGCGTCTGACTGGCCCAGGAGTGGTGCGATCAAATCGAGGCCGCGGCAAATGTTGAGTGAAAACGTCAGGCGGCATTGCCATCTTTTTCCGCATCGGCCATTCGGCAATGCCAAGCATCGTAACTTCGCAACTTTCTTTGACCTTCTAGCCCACCAATGTTCCTGCAGTCTTGATTGGGGCGTCTGTCACCACCACCAAACATGGCTCACAACACCGCGTTACGGACGTTTCGATCCCTTACAAATACAATTGCTACATCATGCCGACATGCGCAATCGCTGCGACCCTTCACCCACAGTACACGAGCCCTCAATGCAGCGCCGACCGACCGCAATAAACCAGACCAGTCAATGGACTCATTGCTCTCAAACGTATCCCAAAATTTTTACCAAGCGGGGCAAGATCAATTCTCGACCCTCATCCCAAACGCAGACGGCTTTCCCAGAGTCGGCAACCTAGTCCAGCGCGAATGGGAAGAAGACGACAAGCACAAACTACACGTCTACGCAACCAAACATAACACACATTTGTGCCTTACCAGACCCAATCGCGATCCATTGATATCGGTATCATGTGGTAACATTGGGTTCAGGAAAGCGGGGAGAGGCTCGTATGACGCTGCCTATCAGTTGGCTGCATTCTTGATGAACAGAATCCAGGACAAGGGCTTGTTGCCACAAATCAAGAAATTAGAGTTGGTGTACAGAGGGTTTGGCCCAGGAAGAGAGGCCGTCACAAAGGCGATATTGGGCGCCGAGGGAAAGAAGATACGGCCGTTGATTGTCAAACTGGCAGACTCGACGAGGTTGAAGTTTGGCGGCGTGAGAAGTAAGAAGCCAAGGAGATTGGGTTAGAGACTCTGGCTGGTATGGTCAGGCAACATGAAAAGAAAGACGGAAACTGTACGATGAGATGTTGGACCTGGAAAGCGTTCATGAATAGAGGCCTTCAGCGCTAAAGTGCGAGCATCACGAAAGCGCAGTGCATGTGCAAGGACGACGAATTAGACCAGCTTGAAAGTCATGTTAAATTCCTCGGGAGGGGCGCCCTTTCAGCGGGCGGCATAGTCCTCCCACTAGAATCTGTCTCCGCGATGCTGACAAGCCTGGGCGCAAGATTTCTGGTCTCATTCCTGATATGCCCTCTTGCGCCTCCCTGACCACTCCGACTACTTCCAGCAGAATTATTCGTGTTCTCCCAGCCCCTTGTCTCCTGAGCTGTCCGAGCGCGTTCTCGTTCTCGATCATGTCGCAGCATCGACGACCCTTCGTCTTCGAATTCTTCGTCAAGTAACTCTCCATCCGCAGTATCATAATCCGGTGGTGCTATCCATTCCCGTGGTACAACGCATGGTAGAGCGACGCCGATGCTAGCCGCACGATTCAAATAGCCCGGGGCTGGGCGACCAGTAAGTTTTTCGCAGAGATATGATGTGAAGTGATTGCAGTTTTTTGTGAGGAGATTGTATGATGTCCCCTGGAATTCGTGTGAGGCCTATAATAGATTAGCTAGGCCCTCCTAACTCGCTCGGCACCCCAAACCTCTTGTATAATAGCATCTAGTTCTTCGGCAGGGCGGAATGAGAAGCCGTGTAGAATCGCTTGCTTGAAAGTGCCACCCGGAGGCTCCAGTCCGGGCTTAGTCCAATAGACTCCAGTGAGGTCTCTCCGGTCGTGTCCCCCGTATGCGTATTCCTTATCGCCGATGACCACACCAGAGTGTAAGAGAGAGCTTCCGATTGCCCAGAGGATACTCGAGATCTTGCCGGGAGGCAGCAGATCGTAAACGTTGATTGTGATTTCGGTTCTCTGCATGGATAGCGTATTCCTATGGTGGTTGGAACTTGTGCGCGCAGGCTTGGGACGAGTAGTAGACGCCATTTTGTGCGCCTGTGTGCGTATTATTCGAATATAGTATTTACTGTCGCAGCTATCTCTGCGCTGGCACCAAAGACGAAGAGTGGGGTATCATAGACACGAATAAAACAACGCTTGGTACTGAGGATGCGGCCCGGCGGATGGCGTAGGGTGATAGGGTAAGATAGATGAGGGCTGTAGACCGGGGCCTGCCCGTGAAGATGTGCGGAGACTGAGGTGTGGGGTTTGGAGATGGAGGATAGGGATGTACGTAGGGTTCATGACAGTAGACGTCCAACACCGCTGTTTGGCGATCCGAGGTGCAGCGGCGCGGCTAGCATGCACCCTGGCTGGGGAGGCCATTGCCTCTTGCAGCCTAGCTGCATATCTGCGCCAAGCGAGCGCCCGAGGTGGTCCTAGCGCCAAAACTTAAGCTGTAAAATTCGATTGGACTCCAGTCACCCAACCAACCCAGCAAACGCAGGAGAGCGGCTGCAAGTCACTCTCTCACCCCTCTATTTCATCACGCCCCCCACCCGGCTTCTCACCTTTTCTTTCTCTTCTTTGATACCCACTTTTTACCGTCCGGCAGCAAGTACTGCCAGCCAGTTTTCCGTGCCTTTGCTCTCTTGTTCCTCCCCCGCCAAATTTTTCATCACCTTCACAACTGCCCGCACCTACGCTTCGGCGCCCAAGAAGAAGAAAATGCCTCCCAAGAAGCAAGTTGAAGAGAAGAAGATTCCGCTCGGCAGGCCAGGCAACAATTTGAAGACGGGTATCGTGAGTGAGAGCCCTATGTAGGCCTGTTTTGTCGCCTTCTCACATTAACAGTAAATGCCAGGTCGGCCTAGCAAACGTCGGCAAGTCGACTCTCTTCCAAGCTATCACCAAGTGTTCACTTGGTAACCCCGCCGTAAGTCGCCCGCAATTCCGCACCCAGAGCTTGCGCTGATACGCCCAGAACTTTCCATATGCCACCATCGACCCAGAAGAGTCTCGCGTCCTCGTTCCCGACGAGCGCTTTGACTGGTTGGTAGAGCACTACAAGCCCAAGTCGGTCGTGCCCGCCCATTTGACCATCTACGACATTGCTGGTCTGACGCGCGGTGCCTCCACTGGTGCTGGTCTCGGTAACGCCTTCTTGTCGCACATCCGTGCCGTCGATGCCATCTTCCAGGTCGTCCGATGCTTCGACGATGCCGAGATCATCCACGTCGAGGGTGACGTAGACCCAATCCGTGACTTGGACATTATTGCCGAGGAGCTACGATTGAAGGACATTGAGTTTGTCGAGAAGGCCCTCGCCAACCTTGTCAAGGAAACTCGCAGAGGCGGTCAGAGTTTGGAGATGAAGAAGCTCAAGGAAGAGCAGGCTACAGTTGAGAAGGTCCTCGATATGCTTAAGAATGGCAAGGACGTCCGAAAGGGCAACTGGTCACCTAAGGAGGTACGTACGCCTTTTTTATTCGCATCCTTTCCCATTACAAGATGACAAAGAGCGATTGCTCTATAATCCCAGCTCTCTGATGGCCCATTAACGCTGGGCCGTTCTGAAGTGACGTCCTTTTCTGATATAAGATATTCTTACTTGATTCGCATTACATGAATTCTTTTGCGATTCTTGCTAACGATTTGTTAGGTCGAGCACATCAACCCTCTTTTCCTTCTCTCCGCTAAGCCTGTTGTATACCTTGTCAACTTGAGCGAGAAGGACTACATCCGCCAGAAGAACAAGCATCTTCCCAAGATTGCTGAATGGGTCAAGACTAACGCCCCTGGCGACCCAATCATTCCCATCTCTGTGCAGCTCGAGGAGCGCATTGCTGTCATGTCCGATGAGGAGGCTGCCGAGGAACTCAAGAACCTCAACACCAAGTCGGCACTTCCCAAGGCCATCCAGACGATGCGCAAGGCTCTCCAGCTCGGCAGCTTCTTCACAACTGGTACCGACGAAGTCCGACAATGGACAATAAGAACAGGCACCAAGGCGCCACAAGCTGCCGGTGTCATTCATGGAGACTTTGAAAAGACATTTATTCAGGCAATTGTGTACAACTACCAGACTCTGAGGGAAGAGGGTGACGAAGCCACTGTCAAGGCAAAGGGCAAGATCATGACCAAGGGCAAGGATTATGTTGTTGAGGATGGCGATATCCTGCTGATCAAGGCGGGTGCTGCCAAGGCATAGATTGCTTTATACTTGTATGCTTGAGAGAGGCTGTGTCGAGCCAGGAGTGGTTCCCGGCCATGTGTGTATGTGCCTATGATTTACATGCGCGTCTCGCGACGAGGATGATGATGAAAAGCAGCTAGTCTGTCTATGAAGGAATGAGAAGAAATGTACAGTGAAAAGTTGTGTTTTACTTGCGGTGCGATGATAACGTTGCTGATGTATATTTCATTTTTGTTCTACCTAATGTAGGACTTGGACGACTGGTACTGAATATGGTATTTGCAGACAAAAAGGGAGAGGTGATGGTTGACAGCATTTTGTCTGGCCTTACTTCAGAGATGGCTTGGTCTCGACGAGCATCCAACTGTTGCCACAGACGCAGTGCTTGCTCACGCCTACCAACCACTGATAGTGGTGAATGGTGTAGCCTTGCAGACCGGGCACAACATCCTCCATACAAGCACCGCATCGCACACACTGCCTCAGCATGTTCCTGCCCTTTCTCTCAGAACCCGAATCTCCATTCGCCGTACCACTAGCACCACCACCAGCACTCTGCAAACTATCACTCCTCCCCCTGCCCATCAAATGGTGTCCTGCCGTATTAACAGGATGCACCCACGTCCCAATACCTCGAATAATCATCTTCTGACACACATCCACCACATGCTCCTCATGCCAAACCCTTGCACGCTTCGAGTCCGTGAAACCTAACCATGTCGTATCGAAGAACATAAGCTTCCCCATATCCAGCTTATCCGCCAGACAAGCATTCTGCTGGTTGGAATTCCACAGCGTATCTGTAACCAGGCGTTTAGCTACTGGAAAAAGGATATCGGGGATTTTACCGAGCAGGATCTCGCGCTCGATGCTATTGCGCTGTGCGTCGTTGAGATTGCGTTGTTTGTAGATGGCGCGGATGTGGGCTGTGGTTTCTGTGACGAGGACTTCGAACCAGCGCCATTCGAAGGGGAGTTCGGAGACGGCGGAGAGGAGCGGGGTGTATAGGCGTTTTGATTCTGGGGATTGCACAGGAACGCTAGCGGACGGGTTGGTGGTGGTGGCGGCTTGGGATTCGGCGCTGCGTTTTACCCATTGGATTGGCTGGGCCCAGAGTTTCATCATTGCGCGGGGGAAGGCGGAGAGCAGGAGGAGGATGGCGGGTTTGTTTGTTTCTTTGATCTTGGATTCGAGGACATCGCGGGTTAGGTCTGCAGGGGGGATGTCGGATAGGGCGCGACCGAGGGCGAAGAGGTCGTCGAGGATGTAGGCCATGAAGTGCATGGTCCAGCGGATTGTGCCGATCATTTGGGGGACGGCTTCGGGGCGGAGGTTGATTTTGGATACGTCGCCGTGCATGCGGACGATGGTTGTGAGGATCTGGGTGACATACTTGATGTTGAGGATCTGCCATGCGGTTTTACTGACCAAGGTGCGGTTGATGGTTCCTTGGAGACCTAGGAGATGCATTGCTGAGAGGGTTTTGACAAAGAAGGGCGAGCGTCCGAGTAGGATGAAATGGTTCGTGGATGAGTCGTCAATGCCGCAGTCAATGTTCACTTGCAGCCCTTCGAACAGCAGGGTGATAAAGTCTTGCTTTCGTTTGTCGCTCATGGAATCGATGATGGCGAAGATGTCGTCGCTAGAGAAGTATTGGTTGGCGGCTGATGAAGATTGAAGAATGAGTGCTGCAAGCGCAGCAGAGTGGTGTGGGTCATCATCGTCTGTGGATAAGGTACCGTGAGTGTATTCCATCAAACGAAGCTTCGTGGTACCATCTAGTTGCATCCCAACAGCTACGCAATGATTCGGAGAGAAGGCGACATGTAATGAAGGTTCAGCGTGCTGGAATACAAAACCGGCCTGTAGTAGCGAGGTTACATTGTCAGTATTGTCGTCTGGCATGATGACCTCCATTGTGGATCGCTTCCTGAACTCGATCGAACCATCACTGTAGCAAAACGCTAGCAGCATGTTGTACCACATGGGGTAAAAGTCCAAGACAACTGAGTGAAGTGCAAAATCTGGTAGTCGTTTTAACAGAAAAGTGGTCTGGGCAGGCAGTGAGCTGACACTTTTCTTCTTGGATGTAACCTGTTCGAGGCTAGGGTGTAGCTGGTTCTGCTGCTCTTGATGAACTTGCCACTTGACAATGATACTGTAGCGAGTCTCTTGTGGATTCATGTCATACGAGATGGGATTTGGTGGCTTGCTAAATATGGCCTGAATTGTTGGTACGGAGCCGTCATCTTGTTGAGGTGTGACGGGAAGGAAATCAAGATGGGTCAGTTGTGCAGCAGCAGTAGCGGCGCTTTCTGAGGTCCCACCATTACTTAGTTCGTCGTTGGCCATGTCAACAGGATTGCAGGTGTCTTCTAGAGCAAGGAGTGAGACCTGGATTGTGGGCTTTTCAAAGGGGCCGGCATTTTGGCTTCTTTTGTCGGCTGGAACATTCCAAATCATCTCAACGCGGTACAGGTGCAGGCGTCTCTTGACGTCGTATGCTGCTAGAAGAAGGGTATTGTCTGTGCTTGTTAGTAGAGAAAAGAGATGGAGAAGAAAAGAGAGATACCATTGTTGGAGGCGAAGGCAGCGTGGGTAAACGACTCTTTGGTGGAGATCATGGGACCCAATTGGGTGGATGCCTCCTGCCAATTGTTGTCGTTTTGTTGGAAGCGGAGTTTGAGTTCACCATATCTCTTCAGATAGATGAGTGAAGCTTTGCCGTCGACGGGGTGGTGGGCATTGTTGAACAAATGTTGTCGAATGTTCCATTTCCACTTGTTGCCTTCTCGTGCAGCTGACCAGGCAATCAGATTCTAGGAGAGTGTAAATGACTTTGGCCATGGCGAGATGATGGGAATGCTACCTTTTGTGCATAGGGTAGGATTGCGAGCCAATGCATGCCGACGACGGCGTCGACTTCTGATTCTGGATGGGCAATCTCAGCTCTGGTGAAGTGCATGCGGTCCAGGGCCATGGCACAGGAAAAGATCATGACACGGCCTGCTTGGTCCATGATGGCCAGGTCGTTGCCCAAATGGCTCCATGACAGGTGAATCAATGGGAATACTTCGGATCCCTGCGGCAGCTCGAGAGGAACTGTCTTTCCAAGAGCCCATTTTCCAGTTTCAGGGTTGCGGGAGAAGATTTTGAGGTTGACGGAATAGCCATCTGGAGTTATGTAGGCGACACAGCCATTTTTAGACCATGAGATCTTTCTATCACGTGTTAGAAGAGGTTGGAGAGGCAAGGAAGGCTTGGCCTACTGGCAACAACCGGTAGAGCCCAGCTCGTCGATACGAGCATCCCGGCCTTTTACGGGCGGTGTGGTGTTTATGGTCTGGATGTTGACATGCTCTGAGTCGCCAAAGAGATCATCCACGTCCATGTTGTAGCTCGCGCCATCCATGATGACGGGCGCTGAGCACTGGGCGCGGCTAGAGCAAAGAGAGACTAGGAGAGAGTGGGGCCAGCAGCGGCCGGGTATCACAGCAAAACGCAGGAAAAGAACGAGGGACGATGTTGCAAGGCGAGCGGCAGAGGGTTGCAGAGGCTCTCGCAGGCTCCCGAGGCGTGGTTGGCACGCAAGAGCAAGGGAAGCACAAGCATGGATGGCGGCAGTAAGCGATGCGCTAACGGCGACTAGCGCGCTTCTACACTAGCTCGTGCGCTGTGCGTTGGAGCTGGTGCACTATCGTCATGGCCAACTTTTGACCCCAACACGGCCCTGGCCACGACGGATGCAGGCGCTGCAAGACACGGTGTGCAGGCTCAGAGGCACAGTCATGGCCCAGATGAGGTGCTGCGACAAGAGAAGCGCACGCTGCTTGTACGATCACTTTCCCACAGGCCAAGCACCAGAGTTGGGTGTAGGCAGAGTGAGAGAGACATGTGATGTCGCAAAAACAGCTAATGCTTTGCACATACAGAGCACACATGTACACATGTACTTAGCCGGCCAATAAGTACATGACCAGAAAAACCACTCTATGACACGGACAGCTGGCTGTGGTCAGGCTTGCTTCTGCTGAGCACTGGATCGACTCAGCACGAGCCCAGGCCACAGGTATCGACGCATGTCCAAGTATGTGAACTGTAAACAGGTGGGTGTTTGGGTGGTCGCTTGGCGGCTCTCTGCAGCGGTGCCCCATGGTTGTCGAGGTGAACCAGCGCTGGGCCCGTCATGGTCGCAACCTCCGCCAAACCTCTTCAACTCGCCCGCTCTCCCTCGTCCACCACCACCTCGTCCACCACAACCACCGCCCCGGCAGCCACTGCAAACGCGTCTGTTTGCGACGCGCACCCGTCCTATTTTTTATCGCGCCTTTTACTTCCGGCGCAATGACCTAGCGCTCCCTCTGCTATTCGCACCCATCTCCTCGACGGGGATCCAACGCCCAGCGGTGGACAGCAACCACAACCCACACATAGCCCTGCTCATTCTGCGCTTCCCACACGCCCGCCCTCTGCACACGCCTTCTGCACGCGGCATTTCTCCACGGCCCTCTACACTTCTCTTCGCTTCCCCTATGCGCGCCCTAGCGCGATAATTCCAGCTACAACTCCCGTTGTAGCTCCCGACGCGGCCTGCCGTTGAAGCTGCCGTCGCTTCCTTTCACCATCGGATCTTCTGCACCGCACCCGCTGGTCGCTGCCCACTGCTCGGCACCCCACACCACTCGCGTCGCGCCTGCCCCCTTCACAATGGCTTCTCCAACCCCAACAAACGTGCCTAGCTCGCCTTTGACCGAAATGTCGGATTCTGAAATCTCGCTCCTCTCTCGCTCACCCACTCCACCCCCGGAGCTGACCACGCTCGCCCACCGACGCGCCTACATGTCTCCCTCGTCCTCGCAGCGCTCGTCCGCCAAGACAACGCCCGTCCCCGAAGACATGCCCTCGCCCCCATGCAGCAGCAACGACGACAACCCGCGTCCACCAAAGAGGAGGAAGACAATGGAACCCAAGGAGCGCACAGCAGAATATCTTGACCTGTCCAAGCCCAACATTCCCCTAGAACATCTGCCCCAGCTACAGCGCTTGCTGACCGTCCTGCACAAGAAGCGCAAGATTGTCGTCATTGCAGGGGCTGGTATTTCCGTGTCAGCTGGCATTCCAGACTTTCGCTCTGCCACTGGCTTGTTCAACACGCTCAAAAAGGAGCACAAGCTCAAGTCGTCTGGCAAGGACCTGTTCGACGCTTCTGTTTACCAAGATGACACGTCCACATCAACGTTCCATGACATGGTCCGTACCCTTTCTCACCACACCAAATCGGCACAGCCCACCGCTTTTCACCACCTCCTCGCCACGCTGGCTCAGGAAGGCCGCCTCATGCGACTCTACACCCAGAACGTCGATGGCATTGACACGTCGCTGCCTCCTCTGAGCACCCAGGTTCCGCTACCAAAGAAGGGACCCTGGCCCAAGACCGTGCAAGTCCATGGCGGCCTTGACTACATGTCGTGTTCCAAATGCCAGGCGATAACGCCCTTTGATGCTGAGCAATTTAATGGCCCTAGCCCACCTCCTTGCCCGAGCTGTGTGCAAAATGATGAGATTCGTCAGGTCGCGGACAAGAGAAGCCATGGAATTGGCCGTCTGCGTCCACGCATGGTCCTGTACAACGAGCACAACCCTGACGATGAATCAATCGGTTCCTGCGCGTCATACGACATGCGTATGAGGCCTGACGCTGTTATTGTCGCTGGCACCACGCTCAAGGTCCCAGGTGTACGACGTATCGCTCGCGAAATGTGCAATATTGTCCGTGACCGCAAGGATGGTGTCACGATATGGCTGAACAATGACCCTGAACCGGTTGGAAAGGATCTGGAAGACAAGTGGGATTTGGTCGTCAAGGGCCCCTGTGACGAAGTTGCTCGCCACGCCAACATGCGCCGGTGGGACGACCCAATGGAGTACAAGACGGTCACGGACGAGCACTTGAGCAAGATCAAGGAAAAGCAAAAGGCGGAAGTGGTCATTGGTACCCCTCGCAAGCCAGGTGTTCTTCGCAACGCCGGCCACCTGACACCTGGCCAAAGCCCACGTATTCTTGCCCACTCGTTTGACAAGGAGGAGCCAGAAACACCATCGAAGAAGGGCACAAAAAGAAAGGCGGATATTCAAAACGCTCAATTAGATCTCTTCGGCAAGGTGGCAGGAAAAGCACCTACAAGAAAGCCCAAAGGACAGACAAAGAAGGCAACAGCAGCAACCAAGACCAAGGCAAAGAAGGAGCCCAAGGAGGTTCCTGCTATCAACAACGTCTTCAAGGCTACCAAGGGTGCTGCAAAAAGTGGCTCCAAATCTTTGGCCAAAAAGTCTGATCCTGCTTTTCCCCCCATTGAATCCCAGTTCAACCCACAGCTCAAGCCAAAGGAAAATGTCGCCGACGTGATTGCTGTTGGAAAAGGCCGGCCTCCAGTCACTCCTAGGAAATTGGCAAGACTGACGAGGATCAAATCGGACTACGTCTTCCAGCCCGTGTCAAACGTGGACGGTCGCAACAATCACTCGCCAAAACGGCCACCTATTGAAAGCTTTACACCTACCAAGGACCGAACACCCAATGCTCAGATTGAGGAGGAAATGGCATTTGCACACGCCACATGTACGAGTGAGTCTCGTCCTTCATCATCTGGAAGTGCACAGCGGCATGTAATCGAGAGCCCTACAGGTGCTGTTCCCAAGAACATGAACCACCTTCTTTGCTAGCATCCATCGCATTTTCTGGCGCTGGAGGTACGACATATTTTATTCTTCTTTTCGCATTTGTGCGCGTGCTATGACTGGTTTGAGGCGTTTGCTTGTGTGTACAGATGTATTCCAGCTGTATCATTACCTTTTTTCATGTTGGACGTGCATATCCTACTTGTTTCGGCTGCATGATACCCGGGCGGAGCCCTGGTCGAGGCAGAATAGGACTTTGGAGTCCCTTGGGTCCTAGTACTACGTTTTAAGGAGATAGAAATAGCGCTCTTGCCCCAATTGATATTCGTTGATTACGATCTCAGTCAAGCCGTCTTATTGCGCCATTTGACATGAAGTCGTATCAACGTTTTACTTTTTTCATGTACCATGTTCTTTTCTCTCGCTCTCGATACGTGACTGTTGTTTACAGTGGGTTACGCGTCTTTGACACGCCTTCGGAGGCTGGCGCGGTCTTGGCGCTTTGTCCACACGGCATGTCTAGCTGACAACTTGCCTTTTGATCCTTGCACTCAGCATATTCCACTTAATGTAGATGCAACCTTTTTGTCTACTCGTGGCAGTTTGCTACTAACGTCTGGTTGTAATTGTATGCGATTCCAGCAAGCTGCTCAGCCTGGCGTTGCAAAACAGAACAACACTACATACCTATATTTCGACTCAGCTAGACTGGGCGTGAAAATATCTTTGGTCTACCTTGAGCAACTTTGTCCTTGGGCTATAGACGCTTGAGAGTGAAGCAGAATGTCTTCTCCGCTTACCGTGCGGAATCTGACTCCAACCGCTATCTCTCTGCTGCGTGTTGAGCGGTTTGAAGATCCAAACACACTACAATCAAAATCCCATGGATACTTTTTGAGTCCTAAGAGTACTACGCCTGCAACACCTACATCGCCAGAGCTCAGTGGACATGCCCAGAGCTTCAATCACCAAGACCTTCAAGTTACGTTGCAACCTTTTGAATCCTATACGCTCAGGTTCCCCAACCAAACTCAGCCTAGCAATGCAGCTACACTGTCGAGCCCAGTGCACCGTATTACGATTCAAACAGCCAAAGCTGAACGCTATCGCATCGACTCGAATCCTTCATACACGCAAAAGTCGACACAAGCCTTTACTGCACTCTCTGCAAACCCCTCTGCAAACTACAATGCCATCTTCCACCCTTCTAAGCCAATTCCTCACCTGGCAATCCAAAGCAACCATATTGCTAGTTATGCATCATGGATGTCCACACTCCCAGACAATCTCCCTCTCTCAGCAATCAGTATACCAGGAACACACAATTCACACACGCACTACCGCGCACTACCATCCGTCAGATGTCAAGTCCACGACATAAAAACCCAACTGGAAAACGGAATCCGCTTCCTCGATATCCGCGTACAACCCATCCACTCAACCGACACCTCCAAAAAAGAACTCTACCTTGTCCACGGCGCCTTCCCCATCAGCCTAACCGGCCCCAAATACCTCGCCCCCATCCTCCAAACATGCTACAACTTCCTCGCCGCCCACCCCAGTGAAACCCTCCTCGTTAGCCTAAAAAGAGAAGGCGTAGGCAGCGCAACGGACGAACACCTCGCCGCTGTGCTGCAAAAACACTACATAGCACCCAATTCCTCGCGCTGGTACACCGAAAACAAAACCCCCTACCTCGGTTCCGTCCGTGGAAAACTCATCTTACTCCGCCGCTACACCATCTCCTTACCCTCTCCTAACAGCGACGCCGATGAAAAAGGCGGCCTCGACGCAACAGCCTGGCCCCACAACTCCACTCACGCCGTCTTTCCCTCCTCCTCCTCCTCTTCTTCTTCCTCCGCATCTCCAACACAAACTTCCTTCTGCCTCCAAGACTACTGCGAAGTCCTCGTCCCTTCCTTGATCCCTACAAAGCTAGCTCATTGTACCGAGCACCTCGCTCGCACGGCGGCAGTTACGCATCCGATACCGGGGCTGACGACGGACGCAAAGCATCCTGTTCCGCCGGCGCCGCTGCATTTGAATTTTCTTAGTGCGAGTAATTTTTGGAAGAGGGCGTGTTGGCCGAGTGCTATTGCGAAGGTGGTGAATGAGGGGGTGGAGAAGGGGATGTGTGCGGGGCATTATTTACAGAATGTGGGCTCTGGGGGGGAGGAGGAGGAAGAAGAAGAAGAAATGGGAGGGGTGGTTAGAAAGAGGGCGGAGAGTGGGGATGGAAGTACAGGAGTAGTAATTATGGATTGCGTGGGAGAAAATGGAGATTGGGATTTAGTTCGGTTAGTGGTTGGGATGAATATGGGTGTTTTACTTCGATATCCTTCTGTAGCTTGAAGAACAGGGGTTTTGTTTGTACAAAGATAGATAGTTAGATATACACTACATTCGACACAAACATGTCCTCTTACTTCCCACTACCCCCAAAACTCTGCTTAACCTCCTTCATCCCCTCCCTAGCAATAGCCCCGACATCCACCACCTTCTCGGGCGTCCCAGCCCAAGCCTGAACACCCTGCTGCTCCGCGCCCACCGCAACCCTCCTCTCACGGAAGCCCGTCGCTCTCAAATACCCCGCCGTCGCCATCCCCACGGCCATCCCCCCAAAATGACTCGCATGATCCATCGTCGTCTTCTTCCGCATCGCCGAATGAATCTCCAGCACCACGAACGCCGCGAACAACATCTTGGGCCAAAACGCTACCTCCTGATCCTTCAATAGGGGAATCCTGATCTTCTCCTGGTCAGTAAGTAGGCAATACAACGCCGAGATACCCCAAATCGCCGCGGACGCGCCTACAGAATGCGCCGTGATATTGCCCCGGCCGAGATTCGCCCAGTACAAGGAAGCCAGAGTCCCGAGCGCGCCCGCACTCATATACGTGCCCATGAAGACACCCCTACCGACGAGATCACAGCACACGGGGCCGACGAGACACAGCATCATCATGTTGGCGAGGAGATGCTCGTATTGGATGTGGCTGAAGACGTTGGTGACGCTCTGGATGGCGCGCGGGTAACCCGGGACGTGCATGAAGTAGCGGGTCATTAAGGGCCATAAGGGCATGATGCGCCAGCCTATGGCGACGACGCAGTTTGCGACTACGAGGGCGCCGATGGTGGCAGTTGTAGGGGAGAGGTCCGGGAAGAGGCGGTAGGAGGGCGAGGGGGGCGTGTAATAGTGTGCGAAGGCCCAGGAGAGCGCGAGGGTGATGAGGACGAAAATGGTCATTGGGGTGAGACGTTCGGACTTGGAGTGTGTTGTTAGCAAACATTGTTAGGTGTGTGGAGATGGAGGGTGGGAAAGACGTACGAGTGTTGTTTGTGCCAGAAGCTCCTCTGGTGTCTTTGCGTCCGTTACTTGAGCTGCTTTGTTGTACTTTTCCATTTCCTCCTTGCGGCGGCTGACTTGCTCGCGGCCAAAGACGTCGATATAAGTTGTTTGGCCGGGCTTCATAAGTTGCGTGCCAGTTGGTGTGCGCACCCATTCTCCGCTTGCGAGTTTCTCTTCCATCTCCCTCTCCTTCTGCTCCTTCTCCTCTGCTTTGCGCGCAATCTCTTCTAAACGTGCCCGCCGCTTTTCCTCGATGTTGAGCTCAAACTGACTCTTGCCTGCGTGAAGAATGCCAATCTTTTGGTTCTCGGCCTCCTGACGTATACGTTCTTGCTCTTCCTTCTCCATTTGTTCACGAAAGGCGCGCGCGGGGTCTTTGTACTTGGACTCGGTTTCGGGGTCAGCGAGCCATAGCTCGTAGGCTATGCGATTGGCTTCTTTCTCAGCCCATTCTTCTGCTGCTCGCGCTTCGTCTATTGGATATTTCGCTCGCAGCCATTCTAGCCCTTTGAGTGCGGTTTCACGGCTCACGTGGGTATATTGCTTGCCCAGATTGTCTACGCCGTAGTCGGCCAGGGAGCCTGCGGTGCGCCGGTGGTGCAATATGCGCAGGACATTATTGCCGTCTTGCGGTGACAGCTTGCGGCCAAAGATGCGGTGTATGGTTGCTTCGCTGACTGGTCCTTCAGGCAGTGGTCCTATGCGTACGGTGCGCTTGCGGGATTGTGGGATGGCGGGGTTCTGTGGTGTATCGATGACTCTGGCGCGGTAATGCGACGTACAGGCAAAGAAGCGACATTGTGGTCGTGATTCCCGGTGTCGCTGAACGAGAGCCAGTAGCGGAGATGTTGATGCTTGTCGAGGGTGAGGTTGTGTAGCACAGAGGCGGCGCGCGAGTGAGGCGCATGTCGGGCGGAGAAGAGACATGGCGAGATGTGCACCTGTCCAGCCCCAGGCGTTTGCTATACCAAAGCAAAAAGGGGCTCAAACTGCGAGCCTATAACTACCTATAGTTATCTAGAGTCTGTCAATGCGCCGGGGCGACCATTGCATGGTGAGTGAGCTGTGAGCGATGGCACACTCGATGAATGCATCATACATCATCTTCCACAAAATGTTGCTATGTCGGAGTCTGTGCTCAGCCCTATAACATCACCATGCATCTGCATCCATAATAGATCCACACTTCACTTCTTCCTTCATCACCGAGAGCTTTCAAAGTCGCTGCCTTTTGCATTCATAATTCTTAATCATAATGATATATACATTGCACCTCTGCTAGTTTCCCCCAATAAACCCGTTACACTATCAGTCTACACATACGCGAACACATACTCGCCCTTCTCCAACTTATCCGCAATATCGTTAATAGGCGATAAATACTTCGTGCTCAACTGTATCAGCTCTTGGTTCATGAGTAGTGCCACCAGATTGCCAAAGACAATGCTTCCTCCATTGTTGAGATGGGTATTGTCCGAAGGCGCCAGGTTATACGTATGCGCTTTGTCAGGCCCAATGGCATTTAGGTACTTTGTGCTCGCCGCATTGAGATCAATAACTTGCGCGCCAGTTTGACTCGCTACCTTTAATGTTGCAGCCGTCACGTCTGCCAGGTCCTCCTTGACGTGGCCATCCGAGTCGAACTTGCGTCTGCTGAGCGGAGTCACCAAGACAGGCCACGCCTGTATGTCCAGCACGTCGTGAACAAACCTGGCAAGGTTGGCCGAGTACTGTTCAATTGAGATATTCTTGGCCGGCTTCTGATCGTTATGTCCAAACTGACACGTCACGTATACATCGAAGTCTTTGCTCGCGGCTTTTGCTGCTGCGAGAACATTGGCCCAGTCACCTCCCTCGCGGAACGACACTGTTGTTGCGCCGTTGTGGCCAAAGTTCTTTGCTGCCGCCCCGGCGTGCAGAGTCGTGTTGATGAAGCCGGCGCCCCAGCCACCTCCGTTTTCCGACTGCGGCGCCGTGGTTGAGTCGCCAGCTAGAGCAAAGAACGGCGGTCTAGGCACTATTTCTGGGGGAGTTTCAAGGGCCCTAGCTGTGACCGACGAAGCAAAGAGCCCAAGGTACGACAATGTTGAATAAAAATGCATTTTGACTTGCTGGAATCTTCCGAATCCAAGCTGAGATTTATATAAAAAGAATTCTTGGTTAGTGCTCCCTCAATGACACGGAAATCTGACACCTTTTATGCATGTACCCGCCTCGGGCCTACTATTCCAACGATCTTGAGCAGGGACTATTCTTAGTGACGCACCCCATACTCCTTCAATTGACTCTTGCTGCAAAGGAGCGGTCTAGGTTGTTTGGGTTCAAAACAAATGGGTAGGTTCAACTTAAACTGCGCTTTTCCACCAATCGGTTTAATAGCTGACGGCATGGCCCATGGCGCTCCGTGCCATTCATAGTCATCTAATTAACCATTTCGCTCAGTAATGACATAATGGGATATATTCTTGAACACGCGATTATCAGAGTACATGGGTCATTTATCTGACTACCATATGCCCTGTTGAGCTTGAGGGCTAACTGGCGACATCATAGTCATGTTAGACTGTTGCCTGACTGCAATGCAATGCTCACGCTCCCGCATCTCCCTTGTCTTGACGAACCACCACATCCCCGTCCACGTTGTTTTCCTTCTTCATCCTAATAAACTCTTTCTTCATACTTTCAAACTCCTTGAATCCCTGGAAATACTTTCGGCGAAAGTCGTTCAACTCACTCGCTCTCGTCCCCTTTTCATATTCCTTCTTGACAGCCTCCAACGCGCCCTCTGGCATCTCTGATTCACGGCGCCGCTGGTAGGTAAGAAGCCGGCGCGACCATTTGTTGAAAGCTTGCACGCACACCGATGTCAGTTCCAAGCCGGGATGAGAAGGTATTATAAGCTCAATGTCTTCGTCGTTGGCAGTCGGCATCCACATGCTGAGTCGCCCGTCTTCTACTAGTGTCGCAACAGCAAACTCGAGTATATCGTCGAGCAGGGCAGTGAAGGAGTACGGCCGCTTGGGTGGAATATACCCCGGTTCCTTGAACTGGTCTTGATGTGACTTCCGCTCTTTTTCGAGAAGCTCCTGGCGAGACCCGAGTACCCTGAGGCCTTCCCGGATCCCGTAGGGTGGATCGCACACGATGCCGTCGAGATAACCTTTGCTGTTTTGACTGCCCGTTGGCAGAATCCTCAGTGGTGTGTTTGTGAGATCGGAAACAAAAGCGCCTAGATATCTCGATTCAATGCCGTATTGTTTGAAGTTGCCAACCACGTCGTACTTTCCCGTTTGCCCTCTTCGAGCACTTCCTCCCGTACCCCGGATAGTGCGACCGTCGATGTCGCTTCCGAATACCACGGCACCAAAATGCGCACATGCGATTGGAAAGCCGCCGGTGCCCATGAATGGGTCGTAGAACACCTTGCCGGGCGCCACATGTGCGATATTTGCTGTGACAAGCGTGAGTTCCGCATCCATAGACGTGGTGCTAATATAGTGTCTTTTCTTGAGATCGAACGTCTTCTTCGCCTCATTACGACACGAATCCGCGATGAAGCGACCATAGTAGAGGTACTTTGGTTGTTTGGCATCTAGCTCGTAGTCTTCAAATACGCGGAATGCCACGTCTGGGTCGCGCATTCGTGGAGGTCCCTTGAATGCCATGTACGAGAAGCTGTCGATAATTTCACGCTGCTCATCGGTTGATCTGCCCCCGCGATAGCCCTCTATGGTGAAGCGGAATGAAGACGTCTCGTACTGAGACCATTTGCTTGCAGTCAGACTGCGGACGGATTCATGGAGAGCGTTGTACTCTGCTCCCTCGCCCCATAGCTCATATATGCCTTGAGAGAGAATGCTACGGGCGATGAGTTTTCGTGCTGCTGCGTCTGATGCTAGTTCCACAATACAGTATGGAGACTTGAACTGTTAGGATGTGGAGTTTTTTTTAAAAACAATGAGATGATTCTTCAGTGTACTAGGATAGATACTCAGAAAGACGAAATTCACACACGCTCGGTCAAGCAGAAAATAAATCAAAAGATTTTAGCATGGACTGGGAGAAATAAAAAACAAACTCACATCTTCCTGATACTTGACAAACCGCAGTGTTATGCCCGCAACATCCGCCAAGGCCTGCAACTCGGCTCTGCGGAAACTTTCGTGTGCCTGCGCCAGCCGAACCAGGTACTGCGGCATGGTCGCTTGTAGCCTTCCCCTCTAAAAGTGAAAATAAGAAAAAAAAGTTCAGCAGCGGGATTGCCTACAACCCTCACAGTATTGTACGTCAAGAAAAACTTTCTGAATACGGCATCGACTCCACAAACCGGGCGATCTTCCAAACCGTTGCTTTTGTCGTTGCCGTGGTGTCCGTGTCAAAATGTAGAGGAGTCACGAGTCCGTCTATCGCGCGCTAGCAGATTGGAGTAAGGATCTGTTTAGTCATCCGCTTTTTGTCTAACTATCATTTTAAGGTTTTAACGAGCTAGATCTAAATTACACTTCAGAAATAACGACTATTGAAGAAAATCACTAGTAACCTCAGTGAGATACCTTGCAATCTCAAATAGATCATAGAGGAAATGCATACGGGCCAACTCTTTCAAAAATAATCAAACTTCTTTCCTTCTTCACTATCCGCCCACAAAAGTACATGCAAAACGTAGTAGCCGACAGAGATACCACTGAAGAATCCTTCAAAAGCTACTTCGCCAATAGCTTGGGCTTGTTACTAGCAATAATGCAGACAGAGAACATAAATTCTTGAAAGTATTCTACGTGCCTACGTGAAAGTTAGTATGCTGAACGTAAGAGTGATAAATCACTCGCAAGACGTCTTCAATAGGAGAATACACTGTACTGCGGCCTACATGTCTGACGGAGCACTTACAGGGTCCGCTAGAACACTTTCTCAGTCATTCAAACACAGCCGCTTATCCTACATAGCATCATTTCCAAACCGTTATCGCCTTTGATCTCCCCTATCTTAGCTCAAGAGTCTACTACTTCTAATCATCGAGTCACTCGTTGTTGAGCTTGTTTTTTGACCTTGTTTTGAGATTTTATCATGTTTCATTAGACGTGGTAATGAACCGCAGTAGTAAGGCCTGTTGTAACCGACCATGCAACGATCAAGGGTCCTAGTTCGATTTGACGTTAGCTACACGGTCCACCTCGTACGAGCACTTCCTTGCTCCCACGTGAATGCACTATCCCAAATCGGACGACAGCCTTTGGTATGATATGATCTAGACCATTTCGCGCCTGGTTCTCGACTATCTATTGCGGTGAGCCTATAGCTGGCTCATTGCAATCCTCTTAAGTCCGATGTCCGCAGCTAGTACCAGAGGCATTTTCGAAAATATGGAGCAGATCGGCATAACATATCAAGCTACTCACGTGTGAAACTTGGTTACGCTCAGTAACACGTACAACTTGCCTGTTTGAGGCGGCATCCATACAGTCGGGACCAGCAATCAATCGATGTTACAAACTTATGTGTCTTGGGTGGAGATGGCACCTCCGACCCTCCGCTTAACGAATTGTGAATATAAATCATCAGTTTATTGCACTATTCAACACATTCTTATGCATTGATTAAACAATTTCAACATGATCGATCGTCTTCACAATAAGACCCTTTCCCTATGCAGCGTCCCGCCAACCATCTATATCTTTGTTCTTATAGCGGCAATCCCACTTATCTTATGGGTACATCACTTGGCCACAAAACAACGGCCCCTTCGCGGGGTTCCTATCCTCAATGCAGATGAACAGACGCCTGGGGAGAGCTGGCATACCAAGCCACGAGAGTTGCTTAGTAAAGGAAGAAAACTGTATCCCAATCAGCCTTTTCAGATCCTTACCCATGGTGGCCCAAAGATTGTTCTTCCCCAACGATATCTTGAAGAAGTTCGCGACTCTCAGCAGGCATCCTTCCCTCCTTATGTCATGAGCGAGACACCTTGGAACTTGCCCGGGTTCGACGGCCTAATGGTGAGCCACAAACACGCATGGCTCCTCCGAGAAGTTATCAGTGTTAAGCTCACACAGTCCCTGGGAGTTATCACTGAGAGCCTGGCAGAAGAAGGCATTCTAGTTGCCGAGGAACTTTTCGGAAACCTCGCCCCTGGACGGTGGCACACTGTTACATTGCTCCCTGAAGTAACGAAGATAATTGGTCGCTTCACTGCTCGCACTATGCTCGGCGAAGAGCTAGCTCATAATCCGGAATACATCGACATCTCGATTAAATACGGTGTCACTGCTTTGCCAGCTGCTTTGCAGTTTCGTCCATGGCCTCGTATCCTATGGCCAATCGTACAATACTTTAATCCACTGTGCAAGACGGCTCGATGCCAAGTTCAAAGAGCACGTCAGTTGATTACAAAGGAAGTTGAACGCCGAGAGAAGTTGGCAAGAGCTGCTATCGCTGCTGGTACAAAAGTCCCAAAAACGCACGACTCCGTAGCGTGGGTTCTCGACCAAAGTAAGAATAAGACGGATCAAAAGCTTGATCTTGTTGGCTTTCAGTTAACTATATCTATGGTTGCTATTCACAACACGGGCGGGGTACGTACAAAAACGCATTTTCTTACATCCGAATTGCTTGATTTACTGAGAGGTTTTAGCATCTGTTCACCGCTCTCTGGTGCCTCATCGCGTATCCCAAATACATCCCACTTCTCCGAGAGGAAGCTATCTCAGTTCTCAAGGAGTACGGCTGGACAAGACAAGCCTTGGCCCAACTCAAGTTACAAGATGCTGTGCATAAGGAATGCTTGAGAATCCTTCGGAGCAACCTTAGTACTGCACGCCGACAAGTCGTCAAGGGAAACTTGACATTCTCAGATGGATTCACTATTCCCAATGGTCGAAGGTTTTTCGTTATGCCTCCCGCTGATTACCAGGGTGAAAACGAAGAGTTTTATCCAGAGCGCTGGCTCAAAAAGCGAGAAGGAGAAGGACAAGCGAACAAATACTCCTTTGTCACGGCAAATCTAGAGAATCCAGAGTTCGGAATAGGCAAGCATGCCTGCCCAGGGTGAGTATTTTTGTCTATTCTCTTTCCGTTCTCCCCTCTTGTTCATGCCCCCGCCCTTCCCTGTAGGGTACATAGAGACACGCAACAGGTTCGCTGACTCATCACGTATCCTAGCCGATGGTTTGCAAACGACGAAATGAAAATCGCACTCTGTATACTCTTGCTGCGCTACGACTGGAAAGCTACACCCGATATGCCAAAGCCACTTTTCGATGCGTGCGAGGACTTTCCCACATTCAAAAGCTCTCTCCAGGTCCAAATCACACCTAGAGAACCCGAAATTGATCTCGCGTCCCCGAAGATGTGAGAATCTTGCAACGTCATAACCCAACACTCTGGTTTCTATCACTTTCACTCCAGATCACATTTCGTAAGAATTCACGGCTCATTGTCTCCTTAGATAGCTGTATTTGAGACACATAAGAGACACTGAAGAGTACTACTTAAACAGTTTACATTGCCTGGTCAATATATATCCCTTTCATTTAAAGAAACACCGCTATGACAAACTGAATTTACCGCCCAAGTCGTTCATACACCTGCTCTTTAAGCAAGGCATCCCTCAGCTCCCCCTACAAATAACGTCCGTATCCGCCTCCGCCCACGTCATCTCGCACACAAGCCCCTGCACCACCTCCTCCTTATCCTTGCGCCCCTCCGTCCACCTCTCCCTAAACCTTCTCAACTCCCCACTCCACCCATCCCAAAGATAGTATCTCTCCTCCCTATCCCTCAATATAAACTTATCCCCCTCCGTAGCCTTGACCACAGGGCACAACCCCTCGATACCGTAGTCAGTGGCGAGATTGACAGGGGAGTTGGGGTCGAAGCAGCTTTCGAGGTAGAGTTTTGTGGGGTCGTTGGTCCAGGATTGGCGGAGCGTATGGTGGTAGGCGCTGGTGAGGGAGATGTAGGGGATTCCATTGTGGAGGGCGGTGTCCGGGGGGGAGGGGGTGGGGAGGATGGGGCTGGGTGGGATGGATTTGAGGAGTGATTTTAACGAGTTTAGGAGGTATAATGTTAGATGCTTGAGGCGGAAGGTGCATCGTAGCCATGGTATGGTGTGGAGTATGAGAAAGCTTATGAGAAAAGAGTGAGCGAGGGTTGGATCGGGTTCGTGTTTTGTGGAATGGATTCGGATCATTTTGGGGTTGTTTCTTTGGAAGTGGTTTAGCCAAGTGTAGTGTTGTATTTATTTCGTGTTCTGTGCGTGCTATCACGATGGGATGTGTAGGGTGATTTATGCCCTCTGGATTGCAAATAGACCGATGTTGCGCAGACTGCTATGGTAAAAGCAAAGCCATCACCAGACCCTCTTCATCCAAGCAGGACTATCTACGTAGCTGTTCTCTACACCTACACACCAGTATAGTTTGTGGTCTTGTGCTGCCCAGGGTGCAGGGATGGGAGAGCTACTGTGATGGTGTAGATGTGCCTAGCCGAACGTCATCCTTTTCTCTGCGTCAAGACGCGAAAGCCTTTTCTAAAAGGACATAACCCTGACTGTGTGGAAGTGACAGTTGATTTTCTGACCTCTAGGGAAACTGTTGCTCGTACAAGTAATTCTGTAGCAGCTATCCGCAAAGTTGTCTAGAGATATGTCTTAGGTCCTCGTCCTCTGCCAAAGTCAGTTCATAATGAAGTGACGTATGTATTTCCCTCCAATTGTACATAGCCAACCTACGCAACAAGCCAAGTGATCACGCTGAATGAGGCATAAAGAGATTGCGACATCACTTTTTGTAATGGTGTCATCAAGTTTGGTTCGCTTTAGAATGTCTCTATTAGACTTAAATTGGGCAAAAAAGGCGATCTGGTGTAGCCTTATCGTCCTCCACATCAAAATCCATATCATATGTATCCTCTAGGAAGTCCTTAAGCTAATACATAAGCCCAGTCATCTCAAACATGTCATGTTCTCTACTCTCCACTTGGATATTCCAGTAATCCCAAATCTGCGTACCTGAAACTACCATACCTTGGACGCCCAAACAAAAAGGTACAAAAAGCGATCACTCACTCATGTCGATCAAATCGCAGATCAGTACAAAAAGCTAATAACGTAATGTAGGTACCACAAGACCCTGCATGTTGCTTAGTCTCGTTTTGGAAATCCGGGTCCTGACGATCACGCAAATGTGTATGAATCTCAGTGGTTGGGCAATATAAAAGCAAATATATTCCGCGCGGCAGCCTTGCCGCAAGGCCTTGTTGCTTTGCACATCGACTTATGTTTTCTGCTTTCTGGTCCCTTAGTGTATCTACACACAGTGCATCATGCTGACGCAATGCTCTTCATGGGCGCTACATATTGCTCAGCGTGGATTGTAGTTCCCGCGCATCACTCCTGATCTGACCTCTTTCATACCATCTTCATGCATCAGATTTGTTCACCATATGCAAGGCACGCAGTAAGAATATAGTTACAGAATAGCTACCTCTTGTTTCCACCCCAGGTTCTATTTACCCCCTTGGTTAAAATTCATACTATACCCCCCACTCTTCTCATCCTTTGTAAACTGAAAATTATCCGTGCTCAACCCAAACGGCTTCAGTATCCCATTCCCCAACTGTTTCAGCTTACCCATCATATCCGCCATCTCCTTGTTCTTCGTCTCTTCCAACTGCGCCGGTAATGTTCGCAACGCCGCTTGTACCGCCTTCTGATCGAGGCTCGAGAGTCGGTGCGGCGGTTTGAGGAGAGCTTGGTAGTCTTCGAGGGAGCCTTGCAGAGAGGCCCAGCCACCGACTTCGTGGCGGGCTTTTGCGCGGCGGAGGAGTGCTTTGGTGCGGAGTTTGTGGACGTCGTCTATGGTGTGGTTGGTGCGCGTGAGAGCGTCGAGGTAGGTTTCAGTGGTGTCATCGATTTCTTGGACGGCGCCGCCGCCTATTACTGCTTTCTCTCCGTCTTTACTCGTTTCTTTTGGGGCCGGAGGAGGATCTATGCGGTCCAGTGCCTCCAAGGCTTTTGTGGCGGATTCTACGGCTTGCTTCCATTCCTCCAGCTTCAAGTGACATGCTGCTATGTTGGAACGCAGTACGGCGACATCGTATTCGAGATAATTCGGGCAGACTGCAAGTGCTTTCTCGTATCCCTGTATCGCGCTGTTGTATTCGCCTGACGCAAAGGTCTTGTTGGCTAAAGCCTTTTCCGCAGTTGCTTCATCGAGTAGTTTCTTCTCATCATCTGGTGGGAATATTTCGGGTGTCGCCACTTCAGCTGCCTCAGGCTTTAAGGAAGGATCGTTTTTCAATGACATGTTCGCCAGTGGTCGAAAACGTATCGTGTTGTCAAAAGTCCTGGTTCATCTGTAGTACCTGTTGATCTGTTTGGAGAGTGACGTCTGTGGCCAAGCCGGAGGTCCGACTAGTGCCACACGCCTCGGTCCAGTCACTAGGCGTGGGGTACCAAGATCCATTCACCTAGTTACATCTTTTGCGAACCCTACCGATTAAGTACCTACGCACTCTTCTACGCGCCTTAGAATACATCCAAAATGGGTTCAAAGTACGCAATCCCCACCCAAAGTATCTATCTTGAATCCAATTAACACGAACCAGCACGACTACCCCACCACCCCGCATACGGGCCGCCCTCTTCGACATGGACGGCCTCCTAATCGACTCTGAAGACATCTACACAATAGTCATGAACAAAATCCTCGAGCGCTACGGCCGCCCACACATTCCCTGGTCCATAAAAGCCCAACTGCAAGGCCGACCCGGCCCCCAAGCCGCACTAATCTTCCACGAATGGGCCAAACTCCCCATATCAAATGAGCAATTTCTCGCCGAGCAATCGGAACTCCAGCGCGAACTCTTCCAAACCACGAAACCGCTACCGGGCGTCCTGGAATTGCTGGAGGGCCTGAGGAGCAGGGGCGTACATATTGCTCTAGCAACGAGCAGTCACAAGGGCAATTTTGAATTGAAGAGTGCGCATTTGGGACATTTGTTTCATCATTTTGCGTCTGAACACCGTGTGTTGGGGGATGATCCGAGGATAGCGCCAGGTCGTGGGAAACCTGCTCCTGACATTTACCTTCTTGCGCTTTCGACACTCAACAAAACATTGGAGGAGCAAGGACAACCGCCCATTCGGCCGGAAGAGTGCTTGGTTTTCGAGGATAGCGTGCCAGGGGTCGAGTCTGGACGGAGAGCAGGCATGCAGGTGGTGTGGTGTCCCCATCCAGATTTATTGGTGGAGTACAAGGGCAGGGAGAAAGAGGTGCTTGCAGGACTGACGGGCGAGTATAAAGAGACTGAGGAGGAAAAGAAGAAGGCGGAGGAGTTGGCTCTACAAGGAGAGCGACAGATTGGCACGACAATGCAAATTGATGATGGATGGGCACGGTTGTACAGTACCCTGGAAGACTTTCCATACGATACCTACCAAATACAAACAAAGGTGTGAGACATGCGGTGGGGTAACCAAAGAGATACCTAAGAATTATAGCAAGGTACCCCAGTGGATTGACTAATAAGAATACTACTCACCAAACTCTACATTTCACTTTGGAGGCAATATTTCTCTCATTCATGGAAAAAACATGATTCGTATTGTTTTGTCATGTACTGCATGATTTGATCGTCATCTGCATCCACACGCTAAAGTTGTGAAGCAGCAGCGGCTCATAGACCCATAGCCGTACTTGGCCATTTCGGATTACACTCCCATTCATTCCACCAAAGATTGTGTGAACGCCGATCCGTCATGCGCGCCGCCCGCTCAATTTCATGTGGTACAACTCGTTAAACACAAGGATAGTGGCCTGTTTATGCGACCTCCTCAATCTTGGGCTTGTCACCTGATGCAGCGGCTGCGGGCGCCTTCTCCTTGTTGTCCTCATCGTTTTCAAGCTCAGGCATGTCGTCATCATCGTCGCTGTCGTCGCCGCCGGGGGCACCACCGCCCATGTTTGCCATCATTTGGCTCATGTCCATGCCCTCCATTCCAGGCATTCCACCCATGCCACCCATGCCACCCATGCCACCTGCACCAAGCTTGCTGAAGTCGATGCCGCCAAAGCCTCCATCACCACCACCCATGGGGTTCATTGCGGACGTGTCAAGGTCATCCGCAACTTCGTCTTGCTCGTCCTCATCGACCCACTGTAACATGTTAGCTTAGTTCTCGCGGCGTTGTCATTCCTGCCGAGCATACCTTGTCGAAATCAGTCTTGAGGAAGTGCATCTTTTTTGGTTCCTTGAGCAGACGAGGCCAGTACTCCTGCTTGTGCTCCTTCTTTCTTAGTAATAAATCAATGCCACGGCCGTTGTTAAACCATTTGCAGTTTTCGGTGTCGATCTCGGCGTAGAACTCAAGGTCGATGGCGTATGTGGCCTTCTTGGAAGTAGAGGTACCCTTGAAACTGAGAGATTGATCCTTGATTTCAAGCTTCAGGTCTTCGTTCGATAGGTCAGGGGCAACGATGGTAAGATAAACCACGTTCTTGCTCGGTTCGTCGGCGGATGAGCGTTGCGCCCAAAGGACTGTTGCGTATTAGCATGTGTTGGACGGTAAGAAAGGCCCCGGACGCGTCTCCGATAAGTCGCAAGTGGTTTACAAAGAAAAACAAATCGGATTGCATCTCCATGAATTTGAGAGGGTGCGCAAGGCACAAGTGAAGTATCGCTGGAGCTTTGGTGGTAAACAAGGCTGTAACATACCTTCTGGGGTGAGGGTAGTCATTTTCAAGGTCGTGATTGTGTGATGTGGTTTTCCGTTCAAGTCCGGATGCGATTCAACGTGTGTCGCAGTTTATGTAATGGGCGTTGATTGTTGTTCAGTCAAAGTGTTTGTCTGGAGGAAGCAGATTGAAGGTGGAAGAAATGCGGCCCTGTGGAGAGACTAGCGTGGAAAGCAATAGAAGCACTGTAGAATCTTTGGATTCAACGACCCGTTTTTGGTCAATCGATTACGAAATGCAGGGTGGAGGACAGTGTGAACGCGTATGCACCCCGTGAATATGTATTTTCTTGCTTATCTCACTCGCTGTTGCGGTGGTTGACAGACTTGGACTCTGAGGTTAGTGGGCTGCTCGTGCCCCGCGAAGAGCGCAACGTCACCATGGGTCCGAGCTCGGCCTGGAGCCGGTCCAAGGCCGCCATCCTTACAACACCTCGGGCCCTGACATGCAGCACATCCACATGCACATCCACCTGCTGCCCTGTCACATGCTCCCATATTCACCCTTCGCTTGACCTGCTAGTATTCTGTCAATCGCCCCGTCTAGCTGCCGTCACGTGCCTTTTGATTATTGAGTCTGCCAACTCCTGCCCTACCCGCATCCACTAGTGCCAGACAACTCTCACTCCCAATCACCGCGCATCTGGCGCCCTTAAAACCATATTGTGCGCATCCAGATAGACTGATTGCCCACTATGGAGACCATTAAAGGTCTCCTGTGGAAGCCCACGCCCGAAGAGCAGGTACGATAGTGCTACGTCACCACAGCAGGCCTCCACACGACAATCTAACAATCCCACAGAAGCGCAAATGCAATGCCCTCGTGCGCCAGAATGTCCGAAAGCTCGATCGCGATATCCAACAGCTCAAGGCTACGGAGCAAAAAACCAAAAACCTCATCCAACAGTCGTCCAAACGCGCCCAGCGCAACCCAGCCATGGCCAAGCAGGCCAACCAAGACGTCCGCATCTTCGCCCGTGAACTGATTCGCGTCCGGAAACAAAACAACCGTCTAATGACATCCAAGGCGCAGCTCAATAGCGTGCAAATGCAGGTCAACGAGGCCTTCTCTGTTAGGAAGATTGAAGGCAGCATCAAGGCCAGCACGGGCATCATGAAGGATGTGAACAGTCTAGTCAGACTTCCAGAGCTGACAGGTACCATGAGGGAGCTCAGCTCTGAGTTGATGAAGGCGGGAATCATCGAGGAGATGCTCGATGACACGCTGGGCGAGAATGAGATGCTGGAAGGGGAAGCCGACGAAGCGGAAGAGGAAGTAGACAAGGTGCTGAGCGAGGTGCTCAAGGATCGGTTACCGCCAAGCAAAGCTCAAGAGGAGGAGCTTCCTGCTGCACCGCAACCGGAGGAGGAAGAGGAGGAAGACCAGGCAGAGATGCTGGCTCAAATGCGGGGCCGACTCGAAGCTCTCAAGAGCTGAGTCAACCCATGCCGATTGCTTTTGATCTTTTCTTCCATAGAGTCATGATGTGGTGTTACGGCGTTATGGCGCGTTGTGAGCACCCACAATGGTATACGATTTGCATGTTCAAAATTACGGTTTTGCCAATGTGATTGCAAGAACACTATTCATCCATTTACTCATTGGTCAATCGAAGCAGAGGCAAATGCCAATATCGGTCTCTCAACCAGCTATACGTTATCATTTGCAGTACATGAAATCCAAGTCACGAGGAACCATTCTCATATCAATAGCACACTTGTATTTTCTTTTCAGCATTGACGGCTAACACCCTCGACATGCCACCCTAATCCCCTCTAATAATCTTTCCTATAAACTTCAGCTCCCACTCCTTTGGATTGTCACCAACAAAGCGTGCATTCGCCCGCTCATCCAGCATCAGCGTCGTGACCGCAATCCCACTGTACCATTCCCGCACCTTCTCGTCGGCATCCTCGTTCCACACCGTCAGCGTCCCGTCAAGATTCATCGACGTCACCTTGGGAGGGACACCGCGCATCTTGAGCAGCATGTTGAGGATATCACTAAACTTTTCGCCTTGCTGTGAGAATGTAGACGGGGACTTGTCGAGTGGCCATCGGGGATTGCGATAAGGCTGGTTCAGAAGGTCTTGTGCCGGTGCTGGGGGAGACGAAGAAGTGACTGTAGTGGAATCAAGAGCAGATACAAGGTCGGTGTGAGCAGTGGAAGTCTGCTTGCAAGAGTCGTTGCCACTTTCTCTTGTTGGAGTCGTAGACGGGGCCTCCCAAGAACGGAAGAGCCAGCACATTCGCTCTACACAGGCAAGGAGTATGACTGCGACAAGAAAAGTTTCAAACGGATTTGCTTGTTGGCGCTGCAGTAGTCTGCGTTCGAGGTCGTTCATGACAATGCGTGCAAGACATGCCGCCCGCTTCTCTGTCGCGCCCATGAGCTGCATGCTGATGAGGTTGTGAGAAGAGGCATGCTCCAGGAGTGTGATGGGCATGCGAATCGCATCATCGATATCTGCGGCGGACAACGTTGAGGGGGCCAGAGTAGGCGCAAGAGATGGATTAGAGAACAAGTGCCATTCGAAGTTGCGGGATGTGAGTATGCGGGTTAGGTTCCAAAGCTCCAGCGATTTGGATATAAGTCCATCGGGGCTCAACGATGCAATGCTTTTCGCGCTGTGTACCGTTGCCTTCATGAAGTGAGAGTCCTCGGTGTCGGCAAAGTGACTGGCCATCTTTTTCACGTAGTGATCTACTTTTCCACTAACATCATCATCACTATCTATCAGCTCCAAATCTGGTGACGCTAGTCCTGAGAAGATAGCCGGGTCGATATCCGTGGTCTGGGTCGCTGCATTTTGTTGACATTTCAGTGGGGTGAAAGTTGCGAAAGTCCCAGAAGCAGGGAAATGGCTGGCTTCTATTCGTCCTGGTGTCTGATCAAGTCGTATCTGGCCTTTTGCTTGGTTGGTGGCGTGGAATGCGAGAACACTATGCAAGCCTGCAGTATAGAGACCAAACTCCTCTGCTATCCGTGTCCGAATGCAAGGCTGCTTCCAAAGTCGTGCGCTCTCAACATTCTGGCAAGTATTGCATGGGTTTTCTCCGGAACAAGGCTTCTTGAGCATACGGCACCGGATACACGCGCCTCGTTTGCGCACCTCTTGCACTTCCTTCCGCCTGGAGTCGGTGAAGCGCCCTCTGACCTTTGGCTTTGCTGGCTTTTGGTTCATACTGAAGTCCGTTGTGAAGTGCGTTTGGTTTCCCGCGTTCATGGCAAGCGGTCGCTGGTGACCCATTCCTTTGTGGTTGTCATTCATTTGCATATGTTCTTTGCTATGATCTTGCAGCATTGGGTCGAGCGAATTGGGTTGTATAGTCGGCCAGTGCCCACGTCCTTGCGTATGAAAGAATTTTCCGTCTGACATGTTGTGCAGACCATGTCCTGAGAGATTCATATCCGAGTCCATTGACAAGCCGTTGGTCAGCGGCATCAGATCGTTTGCCGCAGACGCCGCCATGACGAGTGAGGGAACCATGTGCGACATGGATGAAGAGTTTGAAAGAGGCATGTGGCCCATGTGCGGGGAAGTTGTCGGTGAGTGATGCAGCGAATTATTGAACTGGTACATAGACGGCATAGCTGGCGGATTTGACATGTCCATGCCATGCGAAAGGCCACCCAAATCGGAACCATCCGGTCTATCATCTTGTATCAGGAACTCTTCCAATAGCCCTGCATGGCTTGTATTATTATGGCCGTGTTGCGTTTGCGAGGGCTGCTTCTCTGCCATTCGCTTTCCAGACAGGTCCAAGTGTTGTCGCGAGACCTCAGCTAGCGTCTCGAGAGCAGAGAGCTGTTTCGACGGTACAAAAGGAAGGTTCATTTTCTGGGCATGCTGCATCTGGCTCGGTCCCGGTGCGTTTGTATTAGTCGTTTGCGTCATGTTGTCGGGGAGGGGCAGCTCGTGCATTTGCAGCAGTGCACGCTGCCGGTCCTGAAGAGGCAGGGCAGGACATTTCTTGACTAGGTGGTTGGTGAGGCTGTCTATGCGACCTTTAGGAAACTGCGTCGTGTGAGCTATTACTCATTTCGCCTCGAGACGTTTTGTCGTGGGGTTACGTACCTTTTCGCCGCACGATTTGCACGTGTGCTGGTAGCGGTTGCTTGCATCTTCGAGCTTAGGGCCGCGCTCGAAGTATTCGAGGATCAGCTGGTTGGGTCGGCGGCCCATGATCAGCCCAGAAGTTGAACCCTTCAACCCTGCAGTGCGTTGTGGAATGTTTTTGCCGGACTTATTGCGCGGTGAGAACCTGGGCAACTTTGGCGGTGTAAATTCGGAGGATGTGATTGGCCAGCCGGTGCTCAAGAACACCTACCCTCAGTCTCGCAATGATAATACAGTGAGGTATCTGGAACACGATCGCACTATTTGTTTGACAAGAATATGTGCCTTGTTACTCACCTCTCGTTTCCCATAGTACACTAGTGTGTGGTGGTGAACCAGATAGCAACTTGGCAGCAGAAATTCATTCACCGCCACAACTTAATGAGCACATTTTGCCCCGATCCTCTCATGATTCCGTGGTAGGCCCAATTCTTTTGTCTTGAAAGAAAAGAAGAAAATACACGAGTAGGTCGCGGTATATGAGGACATGGTCTAAGGTAGCTTGACTATATGTCAGCCAAGTTGTTGTTAGCGGTGCAGTTGTGCATAAACGCAACGTATTAGTAGAGACATTATCGTGAATCAGCAAGATAAAAAGGTATTCATGCATGGAGTTTATTCTCGCCCACTATGGCCCTACTATGACACTTGAAAGTATCTCGGAAAGTGATGACGTCAACGTGACCTTCTCGACGACACACTCGTCATTATTGATTAGGGAGACTGCTCAAGCTCCGAATTATAATACACTCTCCATAGACCCAAAAACCTCTTTTAGATTTCCCATACTTACAGCTTATCACTCTCATCATCTCAGAACCCCTGGGCAATTCAAAACATGTCGTCCACAAAGTCACCAGCAGCAAACCCGAGCATAACGCCTGACCCTGTTCAAAATGGTTCAACCATCCGCAAAGCCTTCGTTCTCGAAGCAGTGGCAAACCTCTTCACCATTCCTCTAATCACGAACACGCGATTCACCCTCTCGCTGCTTCTCAATAATCCATCTCGGGACATCAACCCAGCATCAGTCTTGTTCGCGCGCCTTTTCGGTGGCTTAATTGTTGGCGGACTTACATCGGCACTGTTTGCTGGCGCAACCAACACTAGAAACGGTATCGAGTCTAGGAGGCCGACTTACTTACTGTTGGGTCTAGGCGAAGCTTGCTTGATTCCTATTCTGATGTTGGAGTTGATACAGGGGGCGCCTCGTGCGGCACTAAGTAGGACGGTTGCAGGAGTGAGTATTGGATTTTTGCTGCCTCCATTACTGTGGAGGATGTACGTACTGTTTGTCAGGCCGGACTTGTTAGGGAGATATACAGAAGAGAGAAAGGATAATCGTGGTGCAGACAGGGAAGACGGATGTGAGTACACGCTACTGTATGTGTAGCATTGAGAAGTATGCTAACAAATCCTAGATGGTACCATCAACACGCGTGACGATTGAGATTGACGGTTGAGAGTATAGGCTTTCACTCATGATCGCGCTTGGTCTCGTTGCGGAGTTTTGGTGCAGTTCGCGTATTGATTCGAGATTTCCAAATCTAGTGCTTTTCCGTGTTGTATTTGTCAAGGCCAAATACCCATAAACGCCGCGCTGAAATCAATTGTAATGCTCGGGGTGTCAGTGGCACAGTTTTTTAGTCTGCAAAACCTCCCCACTCCGCTTCCTCATCCTCTTCTTCAGGCCCGCTTGCGACTTCAGTTTCTTGCCCTCTCCAAGCTCTTAATCTTTCATCGGCGAGACACTCTTTGGCCGCATTTCTCAATGGTTTCAAGTTTCCGTTCTTCGCCATACTCTCGATTGGCTGTACCAGCTTCTCCAATGTCTCCTTATTTTCATCCTTCTCCCATTCATCGCCCTCAATTTTCTCAAGCTCATCGACCCAAACATCCATGACATGATATCTGAGCCCGTTAGGAATCCTCATGTTCTTGCATTCCAAAGGCGTCTCTTCCATGATGCTGTTCCATTGTTCTAATAGGCCCTTCTTCCACTTGTTACGACTGAGGAATGCAAATGACGCATTGACGTATTGACGGATCAGGTAGAGGTATTTGTCGAGTCTCAGTGCTTCAATATGGCCCCATTCGCGAGACATGGTAAGGAAGAAGGCGCGGATGAATGGCAGAACTACTGGCGTGCGAAGAGTAGAGACGAGGGATGCGAGGTCGCGGGAAAGGCGCTGCTGAAGGGCGGGTTTGTCTTGCATCCACAAGCCTGTAAAAACTGTCTTAGCCCTATCGCCTGCCTAATCACGGAGCCATCTGAAGTCTCTTGTCAAGGTGACAAATTCCATGACACGTACAGTAGAATAGCCCTTTCCATAGCTTCAGGAGATCGAGTTCCGAAATTTCAGATTGTGCGCTAAGGTATTGTTTTAAGGCATCGAGCGCCTGGTCGCGAACTTTCTTGTCTGTCGCAAACGTCAGTCTGTTGCTAACAGGATTTCGATACGACCTATATACATACCGCTCGAGGCAAGGTTCCTGATAAAAGGATTGTTTTGCGCGTCCGAAGTCATGTTGTGCGAAATGAGGGTATTGCTGGTGTACCTAGGTGGAGTTCAAGATGCGCGCGGAACTTTTTTTGGTGTTGCGGAGCTAGTAACATGGTTATCGATAAGACCACCACTTGTGGATTAGCGCCCTCAAGTACCGGCGGTCGAACTTTGGCTTGAGTTTAAATAGTAATAGAAAAGGAGATGGAGGAAAAGAAGCGCATTTAGAAGTTGTAGATATATTTAATGTGCTACATTATGCAGTGATACAAATTGACAGCCTTCCGTATCGAAACACTGGATTAGTTAGAGCAAAGCGGATGATTTCGGAAACCTGTAATGGGCTGCGCCCGTGGAGTGAAAGCACGTGATTGTATCACGTGCCTATATCACACCGCTTAGTTAGAACTTACTCGTACGAAGAGTAGAGAAGCAAGGTATAAAGAGAGAGGTGTCGTACGACAAATTAACTCTTCTTATCTTTCTTCTTCTGTACTATAGGCTAATGCAAACTCGTTCGAAGGCTTTTTCGCCCATAACAAAACCTAAATCTCTAATCAATCGCTGCGCAACAACCACGCAGAGACGCTCATATGCATAGACGTGGCTTGTAATTGCCTAGTGGCCTACATAGTACATACGTACTTGCTCAAATATTTGCCGTAGATAGGACCGAAGTCTAGAGTAAGGTTACTTTACCGTAAGATGCAACCTAAACAGGACTAGGGTGACACTGGGGTGAGAACGGTAGCGAACGACGCGTTCCTTAAAGGAGATGCATTGGCTAAGGTAGTGAAGGGATCACGCAAGCACAGCTTACTGTAGGTATGTCTATTACAACGCAGTAAGGCTGTAAAAAATTAGAAAATGTCCTATTTCTGTAAAGGGCTGCGCCCGTGATCTCTGTAAAGGGCTGCGCCCGTGATCTCTACTGAAGAGGATCACGTGATCTTCGACCACGTGATATACCTTCTGTACGGACACGTGATCAGAAGCGAGCAGGTATAAGAGAAGTCTGTACTTAGTTATCTTCTCTTTTTCTTATCTTTTAGCTTCTGTACGATAGGTAGAAGCATACTCGTTCGCTAGGCCTCTCCGCCCATAACAATCTCTACTGAAGAGGATCACGTGATCTTCGACCACGTGATATACCTTCTGTACGGACACGTGATCAGAAGCGAGCAGGTATAAGAGAAGTCTGTACTTAGTTATCTTCTCTTTTTCTTATCTTTTAGCTTCTGTACGATAGGTAGAAGCATACTCGTTCGCTAGGCCTCTCCGTGTAACGGCGCAGGCAAGACTACTCGGATCAGTATCGGCAGTAGCGTCACTCAGAGGCATATGGGAGTGCGTGGGACATCAAACGAGCCTTGATTCGAATAGACACCTATAGGCCTTGTACGAAAGGATATCAAAAATCTATCGAGCTACGGTATGGAGAAGGTGGGGTTTTATATCAGCAGATCTGCCCTCGGCTAGTGCGTGCCCATGTTCGGATCCCTTTCGGATGTTAGTTCAGTGTGTACTCGAACCGTTACACTCCGCCCATAACAATTTCGCTGTAATAAGAATAAGCCACGAGCTAAATAACTATAGTATATCTATGGAACGTAAAGCGTTATTTTGCTAGGTTTTCTTGGCAAAGTCGGTTTCTTAATACTTAATAATAATTAGAATAGTTATGCTTCAATGTCTAGATCAATGCGACTGCTGATTAAGCGACTAGCGCAGGGATAAGGTCAACTAAACACGCTAAAGCGTTAGTAAACACACGACACTTCTACCTAACAAACATTAGTCAATTCTAACCTCTATCTACTACACTTTCCACCTTCTACAAAAAACTAATTTTAATATTTACCGCACCTACGGTAAAAAGAAGACTTATTAGCGAGCCTTTCTATTACCTGTAAGTTTGCTTATTCTCTACCTATTACCTTACGGTACCTCTAAGCGTCAGCGTGCGACGTAATCATACCCACCTACAAGACCAATCCTAGAAACAAACCCTGTACACCTAGAGAAGTCTAACGCAATGTAGTCCCACTACTGGAATGCCGTCCATGGTCGTCATACCATCAAATGGCTATACGAGGCGGCGCGTCCTCGTCGATCGCGTAAGTACATCAACACCAGTTTTTTAACACATACTAACAACTCTACTATTACTAGGTTCACTCGATAGTCTCAAATCGTGTGGAAAAGGATGTAAGTGTTTTGTCCTAGATGGTCTATGCGCGACTAGCTGACAGGGTACATCTAGGATGAACAATACCTAGTCCGGTGGAACACCAATAATGCATTGGATCAAGCGCCGCTGAGCTGGCATTCGATCAAAGAACTCTTACGATGTCTCGAGCACGTGCAAGATTACCTCGAAGTGAGAGAGAAGTATTCAGTGCAGCCTAGTCACTTGAAAGACGTCTCTAATATCACCTAGGTCTATGGTATCACTTGAACAAGTGCAACCTACAACAAAAAAGCGCAAAACACCAGACAGTGGCCTGGAGGATGAACGCCGCTCTTCACCGTTTGATCCTCACCTTTACCATGCAAACCATGGAGGCCAGACGCCGTCTTTCTCTCAGTCTCCGACAGCAACACCTCCACCTTCATCTCCACCCGATGTATACAACGGCGTCATAGATGCCGACGAGCATGGGTACATCTTCTGCCATACGTCCACAGGACCAGACGTACCAAAGATCCCTATCCACAGCGTCCCAACACCAGAAATGAAGCAGACCGCACAAAGATCTAGTGTCGACAAAGCACTAGCCTACATCCGCAACGAGTACATCCGCCGACTATCCAAAGTCACAGGCAAAGACAGCAAGCCCATTAAACTAGTCAATCTCGTAGACTCCTCCACCCCCTCCCTCCGCTTTCGCTACATATCCGACTACATCCTCCAACCGGGCGTCATCCGCGCACCCCCCGAGACCCAAACAGGCTGCCAGTCATGCTCCCCACACATGGGCCGGGACATCGGCTGCGAATACACGAAAAAATGCGATTGTCTTGAGTACGCCGCCGTCGACGAATCGCGGCTCGACTCCACCCAGCAACTACAGTACCAACATGCGCTTGAGAACGGTCTCTCCACCATGGGCTTCCCCAAAAAATTCCCATACTACGCCGCAGGCACAAAGCGCGAGCGCACGGGGTGCCTCGTCCCCTTCTACCTCAAGTCGCGCAGCCCCATCTACGAATGCAACGACAAGTGCAACTGCGGGCGCCACTGTCGCAACAAAAACGTGCAGTTTGGGCGGCAGGTTGAAGTCGAAATCTTCCGTGCTGCCGACGGCCGCGGTTGGGGTCTGCGGTGTACGGAGGACCTGTACGAGGGCCAGTTCATCGATACGTACCGTGGCGAGATTATTACCGATGCCGAAGCTGAACGCCGAGAAAATGCTTCTTCGTCGAAAGCTAAGGCTTCGTACCTTTATTCCCTCGATAAATTCAAGGAGTCGGAGGGGCTCGAGGACAAGGATTTGTATGTTGTGGACGGAGAATTCATGGGGGGCCCGACCAAGTTTATTAATCATTCTTGCGATCCCAATTGTCGGCAGTATACGGTTAGTTATAATCGGCATGATGCCAGGGTTTACGATATTGCATTCTTTGCGTGTAGGTTTATTCCGAGGGGGGAGGAACTCACGTTTGATTATCTGGATAAGGATGAGGGGGAGGAGGACGAGATGGATGAGCCGGGGGAGGGCGCGATTCCGTGTCTTTGTGGGACGAAGAAGTGTAGGAAGTGGTTGTGGACGTGAGGTTACGATGGGTTGAAGCTTCTTTTGTAAAGGACTTGCGGGTCGGGTCAGGCGCAGATGTTAGAGGGGAAGGAGTGAAGGAATGCGGCATGATGAACTTTGGGACATGCTTGTGAGTGAGCCAAAAGGGGCAATCCTATTTCATACATGTACTTTTGAGTGTATTTCTCTTTTTTGAAGAATGTTTCTATACCAAAGCGATTGGCTTTCCATTAGATTCTCGCATTGTCTATGTCTATCAACACATCGTTGTAGCTCATAACACTCTTGAAGTCTTGCATAGAGCATCAGGTCTCACAACACTTTCACAAATTCATGCACTCAATCTGTAATAAAAGAAAGATTGGGTGTTCAATTTCTGACGCCTACTCTCTAAGTAAATCTAGTAAGACCGTGATCGGCCCGTTCTGCACCGTTACCATGATCCCTAGACACCTCCTACAGAAACATAGGAAACTAAGAAAGCAGAAGAATGGGGCGTGCTTACAATTTGATATTACAAAAACAAAGGGTTGGAGGGAAATAGAAGGAAATCTGGGGCAGTCTTGAGGGGTATATATCTCTCTCTAATATCCAGCCTTTCGACAAAAAATAAGATGGTGTTCATAGGAAAATCGCATGAAAGCAAGCATTAGGTACATGAGATAGATGGCAGCAGTCTTTCTTCCTGCGCACACGCACAAGGAAAATTGAGTACCAAAAGTATACGTAAAGAAAGGATTGGACGCTCTTACGAGCTGAAACAGGGAAAAGGAAATTGAACAAAGGAAAGAATAAGGTTTATTCAGTTTGAATCAGGTTAGAAACAGGCTCATTGCCTGAGTTCCCTTCCAAAATTGAGTGCCAAAGGCGTCAATTCACCTTCTTCGATGGCGCTCTCGTCTTCGTAAAAGCCGCTCTCACTCCATGGCTCCATGTCTGCATCTTGATCATAGGCCTGCTTCCTCATTAGAGGTGGTGTGCGGGGCTGCTTTCCAAGAACAGGGAAGCCAACTTCAGTCGACGCGTGCGAGCTCATCGAGTTGGAGCGGGCATCTTGTGGGCGCTGAGAAGCGGAAGGAACCTCGAGGGTACGGCGCATGTTTGAGGTTGGCGGTGTCATGAGACCGGAAAGAAAGGACTGTGCGGAGTGAGGTTGGGCCCGCGATGGTGTCTGGGTGCGTTGTGCAGTGGAAGGCTTTCCCGCAAGGGCGGATGTAGCCTCGCCACGGCCTTTGCGCCAGTTGCCAATGGCAGCAGCAAGCTGGACTGCCTTGGGTGAGGCAAAGTTGGACAACGTACTGAGCGTGGGGAAGGACTGTTGTCCGCCAGAAATGAGGCGCTCCTTCTCAGACTGCTCCATCTGCAAGTTTGTGCGGATGCGAATCGCGGCATCACGAACAGTCTCGCGATCGAAAGTTGGCTGAGCCAAAGCGGTGATGAGGTCATTCAGATCGTCCACACGTACACCAAGGAGCTCACGTAGCCAGTTAATCTCGGTTTCGCGTTCCTTGAGTTTGGCTGGTGCCTCGGTATCAACCTCCTCGAGTTGCTGCTCAAGCGACTCGATACGTCCCTCGCGCTCTTGCAATTGCTCTTGTAGAACGGCAATTGATTCGCGCAGTGCTTGGGTAGAAATCTTGTCAGAGCTGCTTAGACCAAAGGAAGAAGAGATTGGTGACTTGGAAGCAGCGGCAACCGCAGCATTGGCAGCTTCCTTTGCAACCTGTAGCTTCTCTTCCAATAGAGAGATCTTGTCCTTGAAGTGGTCGAGCTTGGAGTCGGCCAAAGCAAGCTTGTCATTGTGGAAGGCCTCATCGCGATCCTTGTCTTCACGTGCAAACTCGAGAGCACGAGCATGCTCGTGCTTGACGTGCGCAAGTTGGCGCTCAAACGCACGCTGCTGTTCTTGCATGCTGAGTCTCTGTTTCTCGATCGCTTCTTGAACCGCTTGCTTCTTGGCATCAGAAGCTGCCTCCAAGTCAAGCTCGTGCTTCTCCTTGGCAGTGTCTGCGTCCAGGCGAACTTGGTCCAACTCGGCACGGACACGGTTGATTTCGCTCTCGAGCTCATGGCGAACAATATTGACCTGGTTGTTGGCGGCGTCGATATCGGCCTCCATGAGCACACGGGTGCGGCGGATCTCAACGTGAGCAGCGTCCCTCGCTTCGCGCATGTCGCGCTCGTAGCGCTCAGCATTCCTCTGGTGCTCCACGGTTTCTTTCCTCAACTGTTGGATAGTCTCCTCTAGCCTGGAGTTGTGCTTCTGAGTCTGTTCAAGGTGGAACCTGAGCTTCATGCCCTCACGCTCCTGAGTCTCAAGGCGCTCGAGCTCTCTCTCAAGACGCTCGCGTGTGCGACCTTCAGCCTCAATACGTGCGCTGAGAACTTCATACTTGCTTGCAGATGCCTCCTCGTTCTTCTGCCATTGAGCGCGCTCAGCTGCAACCTGCTGAGAGGCAGCGACCATATCTTGCTGGAGCTTCTCAAACTTGACACGCATAGACTCACGGACACGAGTGGCTTCTTCAGCCTGGAAGCGTGACTCGCCGATAGCCTTGCGGAGCTGCTCTGCTTCCTCGTGAGCTACCTGGAGGTCGCCACGCCACTTGTTGGCAGAGAGGCGGTGCTCTTCCAGCGTAAATGTCAGAGCCTCGTTCTCAGCAGTAACAGAATCCAGCTTCTTCTTGAGGTCCTCTTCAGAGCTTTCCAAAGCAATGTTTGTAAGCTTGAGACGCTCGTTCTCACCGTCGAGTGTAGAGATCCTGTCGCGGAATACATCTTCGTTGCTCTTGAGAGTATCGAAGCTACGGCGAAGATCATCACGCTCTTCGGTCAGAGTACGAATCTTCCTCTCATCGTCACGGGCGGCTTGCTGAAGAAGGGTAAGTTCTTCCTCAGTAACCTTAAGAAGACGAGCAGAGTCGACTTCACGGGCCTCAAGAGCCTTGCGCGCTTCGGCCTCGGTATCAAAGCGAAGAGTAGCCTCCTTGAGCATATCCTCAAGGTCGGTGATGCGTGCATCCCTCTCTTGGATAGCCTTGGACTCCTCGAGCTTGACAGTCTCCATGTTCTGACGCTTGAAAGCATCATCGATGAGCTCACGAACGTCTTCAGCTTGGAGATGATGACTGGTGGTCTGCGCAATAGAAGCCTTGAGGCTACCAATAATCTGGTACATCTCAGACATCTCAAGCGATGGCTGTGGAATATTGACAGGTGCCTCTAGAGTGGCGGCAGGCTTCTGAGATGCCAATGCTTCGGTTACGATGGAGCGGATCATGTCGGGCTGGACAGAATCCGCAGTGTGCGCAGGTGGAGGCGGGGTATGAGAAGATGCAATCGCTTCTGCGACAATGGCCTTAATGTCATCTGGCCAGATTTGCTCAGGAACTGGTGCCGGCAATGGCTGAGGAGCGTGAGTCTCGAACGCCTCCATGACAATGGACCTGATGTCGTCAGGCCTCACAGGCTGAGGAGCATGAGACGCGAGCATGTCGGCAAGAATGGATCGGACGTCTTCGGCCTTTAGAGTCTCGGTGGGATACTCTGGCGCTGTCTTGCTCGAAGCGATGGCATCTTGAACAATGGCGCGAATCTGGTCAACAGAAATAGGTTCCACGTGTTGCACAGGTGGCTGGCGTTGTGTGATGACATCGGTGACAATGTCCCTGATTTTCTCTGGGATGATTGGCTCCGCGACTGGTACCGGCACCGGCAACGACGTGATCTGTGATTGGTGCACCTCAAGTGCATCCATGACGATCGACCTGATCTTCTCCAGCTTCTTGTCTTTGCCTCGAGATCTGTTGCGGTAGTCTGCCTCAGTACCGATCTCATCGTCTTCATCATCTGCATCGCTGTCCAGACGTTCGCTGGTAGACATGCTGCGACGGCCACGTCGCGTGCGTTGTGTCATGGCTACAAGTGCTTGCTGGATACCTTGCAAGTTTTGCTGCAGCGGGCTAAGACGGTCTTGTAGGAGACGACCCATAAGCTCATCAACATGTTTGTCGAAGAAGCCACTGCGCGTCTGGATCTTGTTCTCGTCCTCGCTCAATAGGCCATCATCATCCCAGTCGCTGAGATGTCCGTCATCTACGTTGTTCACCTCACGTACAGGAGACTGGTACGAAAGCGCAGCCCTCTCACTGTCGAACGGATCCAGCGTTGATGCGGTGGGACCGGGAATGAATCCCCTGCGGGGGCTGGGGCTAGGTGCGTCACTGCGCAGCTTGAAGTTTGGTTGCAGGTCGTGGCGCTCAAACACGTGTGGCGTCCTCTGAGGAGAAGAGTGGTCCCAAGATGTCTCGTCACGCTCGACACCAAAGTCCGAGCCCTCTCCGTCCATGTGCTTCATGACTGCATCAATGTCGTTGAACGAAGCCTCGCCGATATTGTCGAAATCAACGCTTTCGCTCTCAGGGTAACGTGTCTGTCTGCCAGACTCCATGGCCGTCTTGAACGAACCGTCATCACTGGGCCGGTAAGTAGTTGCTGGGCTCCTGCTAGCAATCCTTGCAGGCGACAACCGAGCCTTTGCAGGTTCCTCGACTTGAGAAGGCTTTGTAACGTGGAAACCGAAATCGTAGCCAACGTTGCTGAACTGGGGTTTGAACTCGAACGGCTTGGCACTGGCGGAGAGAGTGCTCTTGTGGCTATGATTCTTCGTCGTTGGCTCGGGTTCCTCAGTGGTGGGAGTGGGTATGTCACTGGCATGAGGCGTCTCATCGTCTGCGCCTTGCTCACTTCCGGGAGCAGGGGAAATAGGCTCAAACGGTCTTGTATCCTGCTGCTGTGGCAGCGGTGACGGAGTCTTTGACCTGATCTCGGTCTGCTTGCTGTCGGGCGAGCGGTTTTCCTTGTCTTCAACGGGGCTCTCTCGTGGAACCTTGGCATCCACGGTGATAGCGTTGGGCTCCTTGACTTCCGCCAAGGGCTGCGAGGCGAGGATTGGCTGAAGTGCAAACTTGGGCACATCGTCACCATCAACGCGATCACGACGTACACGTTTCTCGCGACCATCAGCTTGCATGGGCCGGCCAGCCTCATCCACACGATCTTCCTGCTCTTTGGGCGTTGGCTGACGCGTGTTGTCTGGCCTGACAATGGGAACAGCCTTGGAGCGGGTAGCTGGCTTAATGATGTCATTAGCAGAGATGTTGACATCTCCAAAGATCTTGGAGGAGAAGCTCGTTGGTGCAGGAGCGGGCTTGTTGGGATCAAATGCCGACCCTCCAGGACTGAAAACAGGCGCATCGGGCTTGAATGATGGCGGACTTGAGAAGTCGAAGCCACCAGACATGAATGAGGAGGAGCCATTTGAAGTAGGCTTGAACGCAGGGGCGTCAGGCTTGAAGGCGGGCGCAGAGGCATTGAAGTTCGCCATTCCGTCCATACTCGTCTTGTTTGTCTGATGGACAGTTTGCTCCGCAGGTGGCTTGACGGCGGGTGCGAAGCTGAAGCCGGACGAGAAGGATCCAGGGCTGAAGGACGCTGCCGGGTTGAACTTGAACTCCTTGGCTTCGACATTGAGCTTCGAAATGGAAGAGCGCGAGGTATGCTTGCTGTGCGTGGAGGATGCAGGCTTGTTAAAGGCAAACTTGTTGTCTTTCCAAGAATTGCTGACTTGCGAGGGCGCCTTGGAATGCTGCACGGAGCCCTGGTCGGCGCTGTGAACCTCTCCATCTTCCAAACTGGGATTGGTGTTTTCTGAAAGGTTCGTACGCGCGCCATCGCTGTCGGAAGCTGGTGTCTGTTGTGTTGGGAACGAAAAGGAGACAGGGTTCTGCGCTTGTGCGAGCGAGTGAGTCCTGCTATGTGGTTGAGGCTGGTGCAAGATTGGTCGAGAATCCTCCCACTTGGGTTTAGCCACAGCATTGGAATGCTTCAATGGGACATTAGTCTCTGGCTCCGTACTGAAGTCTCCACCTTCGGCAAACTGCTTGTCAATAGCCTCTTCCAAGTGATACTCTTCGTTAGCTGCCTCGCGTTCAAGGTTCTCGCTAATGTTGTGACGATGACCGCGGGGAGTGGGCACAGCAATCTCAGTCTTGGTTTGAGTGGCGTGCTTCATGGGTGGTACTTCGTCTTCCTCATCCTCATCCTCAGGTACTTCAGCAAGCGTGGATGCGGGTCGCATACCAAGGGCCTGTTGCTGCTGTTGCTGCTGCTGTTGGAGAAGCTGAGCCTGGAGTTGCTGCTGTTGCATTTGCATCTGTAGCTGGAAATCGTGTCTCTGCGTCGGCGTGATAGGCATCTGCTGGCCCATACCAAATGGCGAGCGGGGCGAGATGAGATCGGCCAAGTCTGGACGGTTCATTGCAAGAGCAGGAGATGCGGTGCGACCATCCTGAGCATTGAAGTAGCCACTTGGTGACCATGTGCCCGAAGGTGAATAACCATGCTGAGCGAAGTTGGCGGGTGATCCGAAAGTGGAATGACGATGCATATGCATGTTTGCACGAGGGTTTCCAAAAGCCGCAGGAGAAGCAATCGACTGCCGTGACATGTGTCCAGGAGATGGGATGTACGGGAAGCCGATTGATGCGATGCTGCCAGGCCTGGCCATACGGGCGCTACCAGCAGATGAGGTAGGCAGAGGTGGAGAGAAGACCGTTCCTGGATGTTGTTGCGAGGATGTCTGGCGTGAAAGAGGAAGAGCTATGTCTTCCTCGCCGCCCATGCTGACACCGAGTGCTGCAAGCTTTGCCTCGAGCAAAGAGTTCTGGTAGTCTTTCCATTCCGATTCCTTGGACACGCGTACTCTGAATTTCGAACCCGAATTGGCACGCTCTGCTCGTACATCAGCTTCTGTTGGCCAGATGGCTCTGTTATGTGTCTCCTGGCCGCCGGTACTGAATCCCCGAATGTCGTAGCCTTGCTGCTCGAGTTGCCTAAGCTTCGCGTTGACGGTTTCTTCATTCATTGGCTTAGGAGGATAACCTGGGTTGCCTCTAGGAATATCACGCGGTATAGAGATGATGCAACCCTTGCCTTTCACAATCACCTTCTTACGCATTCTCGGATGCGCAGGCGCAGCACTTGGGGGAGCAAGAAATGAGCTTGCCTGGGTACTGGAGGCTGGCCTGCTTGTCGATAGTTCCTGGTTTGGCAGCTTTGCAGCATCGCCATTGCCCATCTTGGTGGGAGTCTCGTTCGCTGGCTTGCTTGCCTTTGAAGGTGTTGGAATTGGCGACTTCTCACTCGATACACTGTGTCCATTTGTCTGGGAGCCTGAAGTTTGCCTTTGGGAACCCGCAGGCTCAGCTTCCGCGTATTTGGAGGCCATCATTTTGCCCAGTGCTTCCTTCTGGTCCTTGCTAAAGTGGCGCCAGAAGTCCTGCTGGTTCAGTGTCTTGTTTTTGTTCCTGGCTTGGTGGCCTCGCTTCGGTGGGGGAGCGAATGGTATATCCTGATCGTCCGCCGATCCTTGAGTGTCACTGTCGTTACTCCGCCAGTCGTTTGTCTCGCGGTTCCAACGCTCCTCGAGAAACCGTTGAACCCACTCTTCCGATGTAGGATTCGAATCGGATGGCCGAGGAGTGCTGCCAGATGCCCGTTCTTCTCTTGTCAGAGGGTCGAGGTTGGGCAGGCGAGATCGAATTAGATGCTCGAGCGTAAAGCGGTTAGGCGATACGTTGCGGTCCAAAGAGGGGATGAGATACTCGAGGTTGAACCTGTTGGGCGAGTCGGCCTCGAGATCTAGTCGCGACGGGAGCAGATGGTCAAGGCCAAACTGGAGACCAGACGGTTCCTCGTCAAAGTCGTCGCTGCCAAAATTAGCCGAGACTTGACGGCCAAGGTCGAAGGTTGGCGGTGGGTGTCGGTACGGACTGCCCCAGCTTGCCGTGTAGTACGAAGTGTCGGTTCGCTCGCGCCTCGCAGCGGTGGATGGTGTGCGGGGGTGATTGCCTAGTACGGAGAAGGAGGGAAGGAGAGGCAGCTCTGGGCTCGAATGCCCTAGCGTGCGAGACGGGGATGGGGCAGTCCAAGTCGGCGAGACTGGTTCACGGTCGTCGGACGGAGACGTGGGCTCGCCTAGGTAGTGGGGAGCTGTTGGGGGAGAGGAGGGCGGCGGCAGCGAAGGGGAGGGCGTCCGTCTAGCTTGCATTCAAGGATCTCTCTCTCCAAGCGTTCCCGCAACTCGGGCGAGCTGCCACTGCTGCTGTTTTTGTGGTTTTATTTTTCTTCGTCTTTTCTTCCCGAATCCAAACGCGTTGAAACAATGGGTCCAAGTGCTCTATGGGGCGGTGGTCGATTGCCCGGGGCAAAGGAACGCGTACCGGGGAGAGTCTCGAGCGCAGGAGGGGGGAAGGTGGAGTGGAGGCAGTATGATTAGGTATATGGAACAAGGAAAGGGAGACGGAGCAAGGAAGCTAAAAGAATGACATGAGGTGGGCAAGAGCGGGTCTGGAGACAACAGGAGAAGAGAACATCCCGTGGCAGCAGGCAGACGACGGATGAAGAAGAAGAAGAAGAAGAATGGCAGTCGAAGGCGTGCCAAAGTTCGTCGTCGACGAAAGTGCGGACACGGACAGACGAGGACAGGAGAGCGACGAGACTAAGGCCAGGCTCGAGCTAGCGGGCGGAGTGCCAGTTGGCACAGTCGCATCAGGGGCCAATGGACGGTCCGCTCAACCCAACCCACATGTGATGAACGCGCCCCGACGCCTGCAAAGCCTTTGTCCGTGCCATTCTATACTTATATTGCGCCCGGTAATTAGCAGAAATGCGCACTGCTGGAGGCGTCGGCAACACCGGCTGGCTTCATGCAAACACCTAGTTACTAACTACTTGTTTGTACATGGTGATACACGTACAAACATGAACATACCAACTTGGATAGAACCCGTCCCGTCCCGGCCCACAACCCAGCAACAAAAAAGTCACGACGCGTCTTGAGGTCATCCCGTGGCCACTAGGACAATTAGACGTGTCCCAGCAGCAGGGGACTTTGGGACTTTGCACTATTGCGGCCAATCACGTGCCCGAATGACATGACTACTGTACGTCAGCGGGCATTGGGAGCGAACGACTGGGCAGTGGGCAATGGGCTCCAACCTCAACCTCGACCTCTCCAGCCGCTTCACTTTTTTTTTCGCCATCGGCACCACCAGATACACCGTCTGACCATTAGTTCTAGCGACTATCTCAAGCTCCTCTTTCAATCACGACTAGCATCCATTATGGGCACTCAAATAGGGGACCCGGCTAGTGCTAAGACGGCGACGGGAGCTAGTGCTGCTATGCAAGGATACCTGGGCCGCTGACGGTGCTACCAAAGCCTTGCGCTCCAAAGTAGTACCACTTGCTTTTTTTTGCAACCAAAGTATTGTTTGGGCGCTGGGGGCCTTGGCACCCAAACTCTCAACATCCTCTAGAACATGCTCAGACACAAAAGCACTTTTTTGCAGATTCCCATGTATCAAGTGCGGGCTCCTGTTCCCTCCCAGCTCACCACATGTACAATGCGAACGTCCAAGTCCGCATGAACAAAAAAAACAAGCCATTCCACGCCGGGGCAGCTATGCATGCCTTCTATGTTCTACACCCCAGATTAATCAGGCCTTCCTAATCACGAACATCCTCGTCATAAAAGGACTTTTTTCCTTCGCGGTCCCGGCGCCAGCTCCAGAACCATCATCATTCTTCTCAGCCCCAGCCGCCAGCTCTTCGTCCTCGCCAATCTTCCATGCTCGCACAAACCACAAGAAGACGGCCGCACCAATATACATCCACCCAGTAAACATGATGGCACCGGTATACGAGCCACCATTGAACTTGACGATTTCCAGGCCAATGGCTTCGGAGACTACCCATCATCATTAGTCAAGTTTCCCTTGGGAAGAAAGGGGCAGACTTACAAGTAGTAGGCAAGACCAGTACCAACCAAGTTATACTCAACGCACTCGGCAGATCCTTCAATCCCATAACTTCCGTCGTGATCGGGCCAGCCACAGCCCAATACGTCCCCGCTACCATTCCACCCACCAGACTGTAAAAGACGAGCACGCCAAAGCTCTTAGCAAACATCCATATGACCAGACAAAATAGCCCACTCAGGAACGTCATGCTACTCGCCATATTCAACCTCCCGATGGAATCCGAAAAGTACCCAATAGGCGGTCTCCCAATCGGCTGCCCCAAGTTGAACGTAGCCCCAATAACACTCCCTTGCTGCGCACTCAACCCCACCGTCCGCGCATAATTCGGCAGCGAAAACAGCAACACCACATACCCCAGCATCGACAAAAACCCAAACGCCAACAACCCCACAAACTGCACTTTCCGGAAAAGCCGATAGTCAAACCCAATCTGCCGACTCCCAACCTGCTGATTCCGATCCCGAATCAACAAAGCGCAAACGGTATTCACAACGAACGCGACCAGCCCCAGCGTGCGGAACGCCCAAGGTAATCCTATACTCCGAATCATCGCCTGGGCAGCAAGCGAGTACACCAACCCGCCCAGGCCCGATCCCGCCGCCGAACACCCATTCGCAAGCGACCTGCGTGTGCTAAACCACTGCGGCGTAATCCCCACGGACCCCACGAACAGGAATCCGATACCCCACCCAAAGCAAATGCCTTGCGTGAGAAACAGATGCCAGATCCGCGACGCAAAGCTCGCACCAATGAACGACACCGTTTCCAACGCCACACCGATGAACAGAGTAGTCCGCGTACCAAAGCACCGTGTAGTCAGTGTAGCAACTGGAGAAACGATGAGAGCTTGCGAAATGGAGAGGCCGCCGACGAAAGCGTATTGCAGGGGAGTTGCGCTGGGGAAGATGTTATGGGGGAGGTAGTGTGCCAGGAAGACGCCGTAGGAGGAGTTGAGGCCCCAGGTGTGGCCGTTGAGAGTGGCGATGGCTGCGACGCAGATCCAGCCGTAGCCGCCGTTGGGGGGTTCATCTTCTTTTGTCTTTTGTTCGCACAGTACTGTGGTGGCTTCTTCATCATTATCTTCTTCTTCTTCTTCTGCCTTTTCTAGCGTCCCGTTTGGTGTTGCGGTGGTACCACCGTTGTTAATATGGATTTCGACCCCCAACTCCCCAGCATCATCATCCCGTCTCTTTTCCGCCATTTCTCCCCTTTCAAATCCTCTACTCTTTCTTTTCTCTCTCTTTTCTTCGTTACCCTGCAGTCGTCCTTGACCCGTTTATTCCCACACCTCCTCGGCTCCGGAAATAAGTGATCGATCCTTGCAAACAAAGATTCGCCGCGGTTCGGCCCTCCTTCGAGAGATACCTACTCGGCGATTATTCGAGTGAGCGCTAATCGATTGTCTCCAAGAAACTCGGACTGGAAGAAAGAGAAAAGAAGGAAGGAAGGAAGGAAGGAAGTAAGCTTAATCATGACGGTACGAGAAAAGGAAGCAATCGAGTCATAGCCAAGGGCAGCAACAGCTTCCTTCGAATCGTTTGCATAACCTACCTGTATACAGTAAAAAAGTGGAGAAGCACCGGCCGTTTCGGTTACGTTATTATCCGGGAATAACCCCCCCAACTCTTCTGTTAGGCTACATACCCAGGACTGGGAAATGCAAGCTTCCGCCCTATGACCTCGTTTCTGACTAGAGGCTTTTTGTCGTCGAGGGCACATATGTGCTTGTGATGTTTGTGATAGTAATAAGAAAACATGGCTTCAAGCATTAAATTCTCAAAAAAAAAAGTTTATATTGATTGCAGGTATTTAGATTTCGTCAGGTACAAAGGAAAGCAAAGTAGGTGTGAGTTCAACGTCCATGTTAGCAGTCTAGGCCAAAAAAAAATATATATGTCATCAGTCATTCATCGCTTTCCCTTTAATACTATCTATCTCACCTCGCAAAGAGGCGTGTATCTTTCCGGAAACTCCATGCTTGCTTCCAAGTCCATCTCCTCAGCTTCGCTCGTGTGCAAGCTCTCGTACCCGGAAGGCGATGAGACTGATAGCCACGGATTGGGCTCAGTCATGAAGTCATCCACCTGGTCGTAGCTATGTTCCGATGGTGTCGAAAAGCCTTCTGAATCTGTCACAGAGGGTGAAAGCATATTAGCCCAGTCGATGTTGGGTTGTATGTGCTGGCGGTCGGCAACAGGCTTCTGGTAGAAGGAGCATTCGGAAGGAGTCTGGCTCGGCGCGAATGGGAAGAGCAACGCCATGTCAGACCCTACAAACGTGTTGAAGCTTTCGTCTTCGTGGACTACACCCCGGGTGACTCCAAAGTCATTGCATATCGTCTCTACCGTTTGCGCATCACAGCCAGGGAAATGAACCTTCAATGCTGAGTCTTCGTACGTTATAGGTAAATCCCCTAGTGCAGCTAATCGTTGCAAGTCTTTCAAAACTGCAGCCAGTTCCTTGACCGCGCGTGAGAAGTCGACAGAAAGTGTGTCCAAAAGACCCTCAGTGTTAAGGGTCTCCTTCTCCTGAGCGAAGGTGGCAAAGCCCTTGACAGCCTTGAGAGGAGTAAGAGCAGTGACAGTAGGGTTGATGTTGAAGCTGATGTAAGAGCCAGGGCTAGTCTTGGGGACCTTGTTCAAAGTACGATTGACTTGATCTTGAAGTGCCGAGACAGTCTTGAAGCGCTTCTCGCCGTTGTGGGGATTTACGCCGTCGAACTGGGCCTTTTGTCCGCCGACAAGGAAGGCACGCACAGCTTGGGAGACATTGTTGATGACCTGAGCAGGCGCAGCAGGACCATGCGAGAAGTATCGGGCGCCTCCGGTCCTGCCGGAGCCCCATCCATAACCACCTGCGGTTCGTCCCAAGGCACCGCCCGTGAGGTTAGGGCGAAGAGTAGACGCAAAGGGCGCACGACCAGCCTGTGCCATGACAATACTCCCGATACGGGATTTCGGGAACGAAGCCTTGTCATACTTCACTCCCGAATTGCGCGCAGCCGAAGTAGTGAACCGTCTAACGGCGGCGCCAATAAGGCTATGGGTAGTGTACCATCGGCCCTTGCTCTGCTTGAGGTAGGCAATACGGTGAAGAGGATGCTTTGGAGCGTTTCGAGCGAGTATAGGTTGAAGAACTGCATCCGCAGGTCGTGCGGATTCAGGTAACTGTTTCTGTACGAGTTTCGCTGCATGTTTCCAGGCGGCCCTTGTATCTGTCAATATGTGATTGCCTTGTAAGATGAGAAGAAACTTACTTGAACGCTTTCGCGTTCTTGACCACCAGTCTATGCAGATGCACCACGGCCGGTGCCATCGTGTGTTTGTGTTACCAAGAGGGGAGAGGGTGGTGAGTCCCTGAAGTGTGGGGAAGACAACGTTAATGAGGCGCAGGGCAAATGTCGCCACCGCCATCGGGGCTGATTGTCTGAAACGCCGAGCCGCCATGACGATGGTCACATGCCATCTCACTCGCCAGCTTGTCTTCTTCCCAAATACATATAGTTATACACAACCTAATATTCTTAGGTGTAGAGGCCATTTGAAGATAGCACCAACCGCTGGGATAGCCATTATTCAACAACTTCTCTTCTGTACCAGGAAACACCACCCGTGATGCATTTCGGCTTCATGTCCAGGGATCTTGACTGAGTCATGAGAACCTGATGCAGCTTTACGATCGGGTATTTTAAGGGCCCGAACAACTAGCGACAGGCAACAGCCATTGTATGCGTATACTTCACCTGCGGAACATTAGATGCGCCCGAGGAACCTGGACTACTTATTTTTCTGCACACGTGAGACAACAACTGGGCTAAAACCTTCCATTTCATACTTTTACAAAGCAGAAGCCTACTCATCCGGGCTTCGCCAACCACCTTTTACAAAATTTGCTCTAGGGGATAATGGATCTTGGGAGCCCACATCCGCACATAAGGAAATGAAAGAGATCGGTGCCGCGATATCGGAGGGGAGAAACACGCCTTCTGGGGCTTGTATGCGGGGCTGGTAAAATGCAAGAAAAACAACCACACAGTACGCCAACTTTCAATGCTATAGAGCCTCCGTACAAAGCCCGTAGATCCAGGAGAAGAGGGTGAACCAGATCCGTTGAAGGGTATTTCGTATCGTGCTGGAAAATAATCGTGTGAACATTAAGGGAAGCCAAAAACTGTGTGCAAAAGGGGTCTATCGGAAAACATGTGACGGACCGCCGACCGTAAGAAAACGCCAGAACATGAACTTTTTGTTAATGTATAAAAGAACCCGAGAATTCGCAAGGACAGTTGGAAGCAACGAGACCACAGCTTGAGGAGCAAGCGTAGAGAAACACCATCCCTTGCTCGTCCTGCATGACCCTGCCGAGGTCATCAGATACAATTAGACAATCATGATGTCAATCGAGCCAATGCCTCAGCATCAAGCAAGTCTCTGATGCGCTTCCAACTCTCCGGATTGATGCCACCATTGCGGACAGCCAATTGTAATTGGTCGAAAGCACGACATCGGTCCTCGGACTTGATCAGCTCGACGTAGTCAGAAGCTACTCGCCACCGGATTGTTTCGTAAGGCGATAGTAAAGACTTTCCGTAAAACTTGATCAAATTCGAGATTCCGACATCCGCACACCTACAGGCAGCATCTTCAAAAGCCAGATAGCGGAATTCATCGTACATTGATTGGTTGAAATTCCGAATCAGGAAATGTGACCAGAATTGGTAAAGAACGTTCATATCATAAGGAGTGGTGCCAAAAGAGGCTCGTGAGCGCTTGCGGAGAGCCTTTGACCGAAGATGATAATACGACTCATGCGAGGAACCAGAAGGAATAAAATGGACTGGGTCGTCTTGGTCCTTGACCCAGTAAAGCCGAATTGAAGGAGAAGTCGATTGTAGTGAGCACTGTTCGACACTATTACTCTGGACATTAGCTTTAACCTCAGGCACAATTTTGTAGCGAATGGTAACGTCAAGGGCAGGATGTCGAGCTCTATGCTTTACAGCGTTTGAGCGAATCGGGTAAATATAGAGGATGCGGAAATCGCTAACATTCGTGCTGCGGGAACGGTTGAGGCGCCGACTTACCCGTTGAGAGAGCTAGCATCATCGGCTTTGAGTTGACATGCGATCGACTTATTCAGTTCGTCTGGCGCGCCATTTTTACTATTGATGGATCCATTAGAAAATGTTCGTGGAAATAAAATAGGCGATGCTTGTTGTTTCTGAACTTGCTTGCGAACAATTACAGTCAAGCCGCCAAGTTGCCGGTCAAAAAATAAATCGGGTTCTGCACTCACAGCCTTTGTTGAGCTCTCGACTGGGGGACTGGTCGAAATGGCGGTACCATTCGCCTCTTCCATAGGCACACCGTTCACCACAGTCTCCGCCGGTGCTAGTCCAGCGTCTTGAGCGACGGGATGAAATCCATTCATCTGAGGGTATGCACTGTCGCCTACATAAGGAGCCATGGGAAATCCAGGGGACATTGTTTGCCACTGGGAAATGCTCGAGGGGTCAAAGCCTGCGGGATGGGTGATTTGGGGCTGCTTGAGCTCCTTAGGGCCCTCATTCTGCGCCGATGGGTCACGCTCCGCCATGTCAAGCACCCACTGCGCCCAGCCGTCCTTACGGCGCAGGCGGTCCTGGCCATCCTCACCAGTGCGGTATTCGATGGATTTGGACTGCTGGCAGACGAGCTTGATCAGATCAAGATCGGGTGACAAGTGCTTGATACGGTTGAAACCAGCGATGAACTCAAGCGAAACAAATCCCTGAGAGTCCATGTGGCGACGCAGATACATGTCTTTGAGCAGGTTATCAACAGAAAAGTAATATTCTCTTGTGTCTTGTTAGTAAAAATTGAACAAAATGATCAAGGAAGACTTACACTTGGGTAGTGAGCAATGAGAAGAGATAGGACTGATCAAACCCATATGGGCTAAATGGTGAAGCGGCACTCATCGGCTGGACCATGCCATAGGAATACATGTCATGGGATGTCTGCAAGGGAGCGACTGGATATCCATTCTGGTAAGACGGGAAGCGGTAGGGGTCAGTAGAGAGTGACTGCGACCGGTGGCTGTTGCGGCCATACTTGCCCTGGGAGGCTGGGAAGAAGCTGTTGCTCTCAGGCACAAAAGTCGTAGGTGATCTTGGACCCAAGGGAAAGCTCGTCGAAGAATGTCCGTTGGTGAAGTGGTGGCCGTTTGCATAGCCGCCACGAGCACCGCGGCCTCCTCCACGGCCACGTTCGCGTCCACTGGAGAATGAACTAAAACGCTTCGAATGGCCGTGTGGGCCGTCTTGTTGAGCGGGCGCACGTCGTTCACCATCTCCAGAAGCATCTGCCTGCGTTCCAGCAGGAGTCCAGACACCATCCTTTGTGGGCGACGACGTACCGTCTTTTCTGCGTTCTCCAGCACCGTGGAAATCACCTCGCCTGCCCTTGTGGGGCTTATTGGGGTACTGGCGGGGGTAAGCGCCATTTTGGTGCGGTGCCTGGGATGGCGTTGAGCTCTTGGCGTTTACATCAGACTCCGTGGTTCCGTTAGCATGCGCCTTCAAAGCACCGTCTCCGTTGGCTGTAGGGAGCTGGTTCTTCAAAGTCGGAGATGATGCATTGCCAGTGCGCTTAGTCTTGACCGAAGTGTCTTGTGCTGCAGCCTTGGTTTGTTCACCATTCGGTGCCGAGCCGTCCTTCTCAAGCTGCTCGGCGCCATTGCTCAAGCCAGCAGGTCTGCCACCAGTCTGCGCTGCACCACGTCCTCCAGGTCTGCCACCTCTTCTCGCATTCGCAACGTTAGGCAAAGGTGTGTTGAATACAACAGAGGGAGTGTATGGGATTTTCACCCATTCCTGCTTGCTAGTAGGAGCGCTGTCCTTGCGTTCTTTCTCTGGCTTATCGCCCTTCTCTTGAGCCTTCTTACGCTCTTCGTCGATAGCGGTATCTGGTGTTGGCCATGACTCCTGATCACGGTGCGGCGGTGGGGGAAGCACACTCGACGTTGATTTTGTGTCCTTGTCAGAGAACCTGCCCTTGGCACTGTTTCGGGTCTCAGTGTCACCCTTGAAGTCTTTTCGACCTGTAACACCTTCGTTCCGGCTCTTATTTCTGCTCTCGCCGTTGACGGCCTTGTCATGGGATGCTGAGTCTTTCTTCGCAGCAACTCCATTTGGCCCTTGGGAAACACCATTCAGAATAGGTGAAGGAGCAGCTTTCTGAACCTTTGACTTCATCTCGTCAGCTCGAATCTTCCATGGGTTGACGGTCGGGACGGGTGCCTCATGAAGGGCCTTGGCAACTGCATTCTTGCCCTTCTTGACCTTCTCCGATGTCTTTTCAACTGGCTCGACCGACTTGTCGACCGAGGTAGAGGCTTGAGACTTGTTATCCCAAGTGGTTGACTCAGACGCCGTGTTCGGTACCGAAGAAACATCGTCATCCTTAGTCACAGTAGACGAGGACGAGGCGCCGAGGTCTGGTGAAGATACATTTGAGGCATCCGCAGGCTGTGAAGATTTTGGTGCAACAGAAGCAGGCTGCTCTGTGGTCACCTCACGGGCTACCGGGGGCTGCTCGGAATGCGACTCTGCCTCGACGTCTTCAGCCCAGTTGGCTTGCGAGGCGTTAGCGTCTGGACCAGAGACGCTGCTTGCGTCCTTGGCTGGAGTAGCAGAGCCGGATGCTGGCTTGCTCGTGCTGGTTGGCGTGGAAATGCCTTTTGCGGCTTGCGCGTATGAAAATGTTGATGCCATCGCGAATTTTCTGTCTGTGTCTCGGCTAAAGTCGAACTGGTAAGGCGAGGAGAGCGCTCAGAATCCCTGGTGGGAGCGCTGCAGAGAGGTGATCAGCAGGTGTGGGTGCTGGTATGTCCGGAGAGGTATGTCTTGACCTCCCCGCACGCAACCTTTTTTCGCTACTACCAAGACTGGGGTTGGCGATGGATCGAAGGTGGCGAGTAGTAATCCTGCAGCGGCAGAAGACTATATGGGGCCGTGGGCGTTGGCTCGTAGCCGAGGCGATCACACACGCAGCGGGGAAAGTGAATGCTTCTGGGCACAACTTGAAGACTTGGGTGGTTGTTGTGCGCGCTGTGGTAACTGGCGTTAGCGGATTTTTTTTTCTGTGATCGAATCGTATAGTGACAGTGACGGATTGCGGGATACGAAGTGTTAGTGAGCAGCGCCTTGGGCAGCAGTGCGCTGTGTTGTGTGGCGGACGGGCAGGCGTGGGTGTGTTGGTAAGGTGTGCAAGCGCACAGCAGGTCGGAGGGATGACTGCTTGAACCGCGAGTGGCTGGGGAGGGAGAGAGGGTGCAAGCAGCACACGAATAGCAGCTGGTCAGAGACCAGAGCACATGACGGAGGAAAACAGCAGAAGAAAAAAAACAGAGGGCGGGGTTGCCAAACGGAGTCCGGTCGCGGAAGAGGAAGGTAGCAAGCATGCGGCGGACGTGATAGTGATATGCGCAAAACTAACCTCTGGTAAAGTCTGGGAAGACTGTATGAGCGAGTCCGGGGCGGGGCGCGGACGTGAAGAATGAGGGGCAGATGGAGAGGGAGACAGTGGTCTCGGGAGCGTGGGCGGTGGAGGTAGAAGTAGAAGTAGAAGTAGAGAATGAGGGTGGGGAGAGGCAGACGAAGTAGGTAGTGGGTAGTGGGTAGTGGGTAGTAGGCAGGGACGCCGGGCACCACACGAGAGGGACGGATAGCACAGGCAAGTCTGGCTGGTGGGCGACGAGGGAGCGGGCTGAGGCGGCGTCTGAGGGTCGTATGCGACGTTGTCAAGGCAGACCGGGCGCCGGGAGACAAAATTGACTGTCGTGTGTGCGGGCGGAGCAAGCGCAGGTGGGAGGAAGAGGGTCACTTTGAAGCGCGAATTTTTCTCTAGTCAAGTTGGTGCTCTAAAAAAGAAGCCGACAGCCAGCCCACGCTCACCCTCATGCTCACGCCCACGCTCCCTGCGTGTCGGCGCATTCACCCTCGCTCACCCTTGGCTTTTAATCCGCATGCCAGGTGATGACTTCCAGGTTGGCGGCCGCCCGTCCTGCCATCAGCCTGCACCCTCATTACGGTGCAGTGCCGTGCGATGCAGTGCCGTGCTACCTGGCAATTTCGGCCACAGCAGTTTGACGCGCTCTCTGCACGCCAATGACGTCTCACGAGCATCTCGACCCCTCCCTCCCTCGCCCACCTTGGAGCCAGACCAAGGCGTGAACATGGAAAAACACCTGCACAGCACGTATGCGCCGCGCATCCTCTCCAGCTGGCTGCCTGTTCGCGCCGTCTGTTATGCAGTATGACTTGCTGTGCTCCTGGCGCACGTACATGCCTGATAAGTAATTCTAGCATTGCCTGCTGCCAGACGGGGCCCAATTGGCTTTGCATCTCGGGCTCTTCGTGTGCACCCATAATTAGCGGCAGCACGAGCGCCCGCCATCCGTACATCCTGGCGCCGTACGGAAAAACGGGATTGCGGTCATTTATGTCTGTACTAAGCCTTTGCAGTATTGCCGAGAGCACTGCCGTCTTATTACTTGTCTGGGATACATGGCGGACATATGTACATGCTGCCATTTCTTTTATGCCATCAGATGCTGCTTCCATCCATGGTGCTTTGCGGCCACTAGTCCCCAACTACCATACCACCACTTACTATCTATCATACACATCCACCCTCCTTGTTAGAGTGCCATCGTCTCATTCCCTGACACGCGCTGCACCGGCTCTGATGGCCTAATAGTGCTCATCTCACCTCATTGCCTTTTGGAGGGCTGTAGCCCCCAAACAGAGTCCTCGCAACTGCACGTGCCTGTCGGCATAACCGCCTCACCCAACACTGCGAACACCAACTGGCTCCACAATACCTAGCCTTTGCGACTAGGCTCTGCAAACCCTCTCCATAAAACCCGCCGGTCTTAGTCACATTATATGCTTATAGTTCCGGCACCAAGGCTCTCCAATTGGGCATCTGCCCTGAATCTATTTTCAGCCCCTCGCCGAATGCGCCTTGAAATACATACCGAATATACGTATGTAGTACCTTACGTCCGGTAGATAGGCTGAAGACTCCCGGCCGGAACTGCGACCGAAAAGCAACAACGGCCTCAGCCAGCATTCGCCGCGTTTTTTCCATACTCACCTCCGACGACCCTTTGTTGTTTTTCTTTATCCGCGGTGCCTTGCTCCGGCCCGCTCTACTAGCCTCGGAACTTGCATAGTACCGAGCATGACTATGTACCCGAGTATGTACTGTAAGCCACGTGACCAGCTCGAATGCACTAAGCCATACGACTATTCAAAGCATCGAGCCATGTATCTATACATATGTTTATGCGTCTTGAATCATGCACCACCAAACATTAACTACTCACAGCTACCATGCAAAAATTGGCGTACAACATCTCACTTATCAACCTTGTGTTATGCTAAACTACGTCAATGCCAACCCATTGTCACTGGGGCAGTGGTAGCTTGCACCTGCCGCCATCTCTCCATTTTCATTCTTGCCTTATCATCGCTGTTCGCCCACCACCATACCTCCCACTGGACCTTCTGCCATTCCTTCTGGAATATACTATTCATGTCCTTCAAGCCTTCCTGGCACGACTTGTCCTTTTCAAACCCACAAATCACTCGATGAACAAGGTATATCATCGCCCAGTCAGGAACATCTAAAAGCCTCTGTCCAAGCGGGTAGTAGGAGAGCTGCACCATATTCTGTACGCGAGCCATATGATTAACATCATCGTGAATCGAAGACCACCCAATCCTGTGGAGGTGACGAACGCAGACTCGCAGTACCATCAGGGTCATGTATTTATCACAGAGGTTCATGTAGGGCGGAGAGTTCGTGGACTGCGGGTGCCTCCATTCCTCACTTGACTCCGGCATCGTCATAGCTGGGTAAGGCGGCTGGCGGCTGAGTCTCGAGCGAATAGCGAGATCAATCAAATCAGGCGGTTGAAAGTGGGCTTGCGCTGCCGTCAGACATGCCTGGAGTAATCTTCGAATGCAAGGTCAGCCAGAAACTCATCAAAAACTCCTCAGCTTGAGCTTGGTACTCGAATTTTCCATGTCGAGAGTACCGCCTCAACGCGCGCTGCTTCTAAGTGGCTGCAGAAAGCAATATGCAGGAGGTAAAAAATGCCAAAGGAGAGTAGCTGGTACTTACCTGCAACAATGGGCATTATCCTTGCGGAAATCTGACTCGAATGTAAATGGTAGCTTCGATGAGTTCCTATCCGCCAAGAATTTGATGTTTCTCGGGAGTAGATGATGATACATAAAGGCAAAAACGGCGCATTCATCCAGTCCTTCAACCAGAGACGTATCCTGCACGTTGTATTTAATCATCCTTTTGCAGGGATCCAAGAGCTTTTTGGTGCAGTCGAAGTTCGTCAGCATCCATCGAACCTCGTTCATAAGCCAGATGCGAATAACAGTAGCATAGAATCGAGCTCTTTGGTCGGGGTTCATGCTCTTGTAGAAATGAGTGTGCTTGTCTTTCGGGTGCCGTCTTTGTAGTTGTCCCTCTGCGAACTCATCGGCACGAGCGACAAGGGTAGCAAACTTACCAGAGAACTCCTGGTGATCTCTGACATCGTTTGTGGAAAGGTAATCCTGTTCTTCAAGTTGCCTGCTCAACCAAATGTCCTCTAATACGCGCAAACCTTGATAGCGAGCCAGGACATCACATATCGCCATATCCGACCAATTAGCTTGGCGAGGATTCAGATAAAGAGCCTCTATAATGCTCACCTCGTGGTCATTCAAAGCTGACAGTGGATGTTTGGTGGCTCGCAACCCTGTTGTTTTTCCCAAAAGACAAGCAACGAAATGCGCATGGACGGCTAGTATCTTGTTTAACTGGTAGTCACGTCTGTGCTGTGGGGAATGATGAATGATAGAACGCATGATGTCGAGATAGACGTTTCGCTGGCACGTGACACGGGATGTTGTCCTGCATGTTCGAATCAAGTGGTGGACGTCGTCAATACTTCCAAGAGCGCGGTATATGAGCTCCAACACTTCGTTGGGTAGGTCTGTGAGTTGGGCCATTGGGGGCACCGGTGAGTATGCGATAGTGTTGCCAAAGAGCACGGGATTGTGCCGTTTATAGCCTGCATATTTCAGCAAACGTCCCGCTTTGCTGGTTGGATGTTTGTAGAACGGGATGTACCTAAGATGTTTGTGTTTAACGAATGTACTGCCTGGTGTAAGACAGAGTAGGAATGCGCAGCGTCAGTTGTAAGAGTAGAATGCTATTGGGGTGGGTAGAATGTAGCCCTGCTACAGCTCCAGGCAGCTGACTGACGACTACTTGTATTAGGAACTCCATGCGGCTGTCACCGATAAATCACCATGTTTGGGTAACAACGTTCAGGTGGCATCAGGCTGGACCTTCTTCATCTTACCGGCCGCCAGCCTTGTTCTAGAGCGCCTTTGCAGCCTTGGTGGTTGGAGCGATCGCATCAACCTCGCACAGAGTAAGAAATAACACGATTAGCGACACCCAAATATCAGAGACTTGTACTTTGAATTTGTAAATAATCGGATCCAAGACGCGTCGTGGAATGGTCAGGCTGCGACAGCTCTGGTTGGCTGCGCCGCGCCTCCCGCTCCCTAATTGCTTGGCGTGCCGTTCTCTCACCTCCGTGTCGTCTCCGCAACCCGACTCAACCCCACACGTCATACTATCCACCTTGTCGCAATACCTAAGACTTATTCTATCATCATGTCCGAAAACAACTCTCAGCCCCTCGATACCAACATGGAGGTGAATGATGAGCTGGACCGTACCGTCGATGACGAGATCAAGCAAGACGCGACACAACTCGAGGCCGACGCCATGAATCTCGACGGCGCAAACGATACAGAGCCTTCCGCGATAAACGGCGCGGCAGACCCAGTCACTAGCTTTGAAGCGCGGATACCTGCCAAGAAAGATGCAACATTGCGCGAGTTCCTGGGGAAGATGGACGAGTACGCGCCCATCGTATGCTCACCCAGCCTTCAAGTAATATAACAGTGCACTGATGAGGTTGCTAGATCCCTGACGCAGTGACCAACTACTACCTCACCCGCGCCGGTCTGCCACCACCACCTCAGACATCACAGCATCTTGCGCGCCTCTTAGCGCTCGCGACCCAGAAGTTCATCGCGGACATTGCAGCCGACGCTTACCAGTTTTCGCGGATCCGTTCCTCAAACACAACAAGCAACAACCCTATGGGTGGCGCTGGAGGGCCGCCTGGAGCAGCTGCGCCAGGCGGAGTGCCAGGCGGGAAGGACAGCGGTGCTAAGGCTAAGGACTATAACCTCGGTATTCAGCGGCCCGGCTATGGCGGAGGCGGCCAGGGCGGCAGTCAGGGACGCACTGTACTCACCATGGAGGATCTGGGCATGGCAGTTGGCGAGTATGGCGTCAACATTAAGCGTGGCGAGTTCTACCGCTAGACACATGTCTATGCAATCTCTCGACGCCCCACTCGGTGTCCGCTTTCCATTGGCATATGCGAAAGATGGGTAATGACGGACGCAATCATTTGCTATCACAACAGGCATTCTCGGCGTTGAATTGGCATCGCAGGCGCAGGGGTTTCTGATCAGAATATTTTGCCCAGCAAAGGGCTCATTGCAATTGTACAATATCAGTACGTAGTGGCTTCCGCACACACTAAAATGATACCCAAACTCCCATAAGATGCACGTGCGACCCGTTCTTCATTTGTTCTTGGTCTGCTTGTACATGAACTGCTTCCGTGTACTGGAGTTGGATCGTCAGCCAATGCTAATTTTGTCGGCTCATTCCAAGGAACGTACGGTGCAAATTCTCCCAACTTATGACCTACCATATCCTCGGTGATGGTGATGTCCAGGTAGCTCTTGCCATTGTGTATTTGGAACTTGAGGCCGACAAAATTCGGCAGTATCGTGGCCGAGCGGGCTTGTGTCTTGATCGGCGGGACCCGTTCACCTGCTTTTTTCTGGACTATTGGGAGGCTTGGACACAGTCAGAAAGGCCTGGTAAGGGCTTCATGCGGAGGCTTACGGAACGATATTGGGTCCTGGTGGATGATTAGCATTTTTTGTCGCCTCTGGGTTCAGGAGCGACATGAGTAAATACCTTTCCAGACCGACCGGGCGCACAGCGCGCGTGTGGGAAACATGGCGATGGTGAGCGTGAAAGATGTCGTCGGCGAATGTTTTCAATTGCTTCCGATGGACGCTGGAAACCCACGTGAGAGCGCGGGGGAGATTGTGGAGCTAATGGCTTGGCTGGAGCGCGACGCGAAGTGCAAGTGATTGCTGTAAGCCGTTGCTCTCGCTGAAAGAATCTATTGTGTGCCAATTGTGCAGCGTTTATTTGTGGCCTGCTGCGTGCTTCACCAACAGTGATAGTTCCAAGAATCCATCTTTCCAGCCACGCAGCTCGTCCAGTATGCCGCCACGAGCACGCGGTGCGCAGCGAGGTAGGCGATAGTGACAGGCTCCAACAATATGTCTGTGCTAACACAGTCTGCAGGTGCAGACACCATCCGTATACTTGTCGCTACAGATAGCCATGTTGGATACAACGAGCGCGATGCGGTGCGAAAAGATGATAGTTGGAGGACTTTCCACGAGGTCATGTGCCTGGCCAAGGAGCACGATGTGGACATGGTACTGCACGCTGGGGACCTATTCCATGAGAACAAACCGTCGCGGAAATCCATGTTTCAGGTAATGCGTTCGCTGCGCATGAATTGCCTTGGAGAAAAGCCATGCGAGCTGGAGATGTTGAGCGATGCGAGCGAGAACTTCGGCGGCATGTTTGACCACGTCAATTATGAGGACGAAGACATCAATATTGCGATACCAGTCTTTGCCATTCATGGCAATCACGACGACCCTTCAGGTGAGGGTTCCTACTCTCCACTTGATCTACTGCAAGCGTCTGGATTTGTGAACTATTTTGGTCGTACGCCGGAAGTGGATAACATAGCTATCAAGCCAGTACTGCTCCAAAAAGGCCGTACCAAGCTTGCGTTGTACGGCCTAAGCAATGTGCGAGATGAGCGCTTGTTCCATACTTGGCGAGAGGGCAACGTCAAGTTCTTCCAGCCAGGTACGCAAAAAGATGAATGGTTTAATCTTATGAGCGTTCATCAGAACCACCATGCGCATACGCCAACCAGCTATCTGCCCGAAAACTTCCTTCCTGAATTCATGGATCTTGTGGTATGGGGTCATGAGCATGAGTGCTTGATAGATCCGCGGTACAATCCTGAAATGGGCTTTCATGTCATGCAGCCAGGCTCATCAGTTGCGACATCTCTGATGCCGGGCGAAGCCGTGCCCAAGCATGTGTGCATCCTAAGCGTCACCGGTAAGGAATTCACCACTGAGAACATCCGCCTCAAAACAGTGCGGCCTTTTATTATGAAAGAGATTGTCCTGGCCGAAGAAAGGGAGATCAAGCAGAAGGAACTCTGGCGTGTCAGCGACAACCGTGCAAAGATTACACAATATCTAAATCAAGTCATCGAAGGCCTCATTGAGGAAGCGAAACGAGACTGGCTCGAACTTCAGACAGATCGTGAAGAAGGTGACGATCTCGAAGTTCCGCTGCCGCTTGTTCGGCTGCGCGTTGAATATACCGCACCATCGCCTGGCGAATTTCATTGCGAGAATCCACAGCGAATCTCAAATCGCTTCATGAAAAAGGTAGCGAATGTCAATGATGTAGTCCAGTTTCATCGGAAGAAGAAACCAACAACCAGAGCCTTGAAGAATAACATCGACGAACCAGACGAACAAGTGCTGGCTGAACTATCAATCGACTCGATAAAGGTCGACAAGCTAGTCAAGGAATTCCTCACAGCGCAGACATTGACAATTCTGCCACAAAATTCATTCGGAGATGCTGTATCACAATTCGTCGATAAAGATGACAAACACGCTATGGAGACTTTTGTCAAAGAAAGTCTCACAACTCAGTTGAAGCATCTGATGGATGCTAACGAAGTCGAGGAAGAAGAAATCGTCAAGGAAATGACAGAGTACCGTGAACAATTAGAGGATTTGTTTGCCTCAGGACAGCTGAAGAGGGTCCGTAAATCCAAAATTAAACCGAAGCCAGATGGTTGGGACAGTGATTTTGAAGGTCCTTGGATAGATCAACCAGGTGCTCTTATACGCTCAGATAACGAGGAAGAGAAGGAAGATGAAGAGGGCCTTGCTTCTATACCGACGAAGAAGGCTGCCCCGCGTGGCCGCGCAAAAGCAACCGGTACAACTCGTCAGACAGCCACAACTACAAAGAAAGAAGCACCTGCTGCCAAAGGTGGTCGAGGCAAGAAGAAAGTAGTGGAAGAAGAGGAGGATGATGAAGAGGACGACAATGATGTTATCATGCTTGATGACGACGATGACGAGGAAGACAGCGCTGAAGACCTATTTGTAGCATCACAAAAGAAAGCTCCTGCGAAAAAGCCTGCTGCGAAGCCTACCAAAGCCCCAGCACGAGCAAAGTCCCCAACTAAGAAGACACCTGCTACACGAGCCAAGGCGCCGGCCACGCAGACCAAGTTGAACTTTTCCCAAACACCAACACAGCGCAGTCAGACAACACGACCCACTGCATCGCGCGGAAAGCAGCCTGTGCAGGAAGCTGTAAGCATTCTTGGGCTAACTAATATGATATACATATGCTGATGAGCCACAGAGCGATGATGAGATTGAGTCTGATGACGCTTTTGAGTCAGCGCCTCCTGCAAGCACTCGTGCTACTCGCAGAAGATAGACTACTGCCCTAGGAATTCAGGTAGCATGGCAAAAGCGACAAAGGAATCGAATAAGGATACATCACTTGTCGGAAATGGTTGCACAAAAGTGGCATGTTATGTGAAGCGTATGTTATAGCGAAGGCGTTCAGGTGTTCGAGATGAGCAGACTGCATCTAGCTGGTAGATTCAATGGCCTTAATCATGTGAAAGAACCATAGGGCGCTGCGAAATTATAGTGACTACGTGCACTCTGTTCTCTCACTGCATGTTGTTCATCTTAGTCACAACTTCCACGCTCTCTCTCACGTGTGTTGTATGCCAACCGTCCTTTCCTCATCAACTGCGCAAGGTGGCTGCACTCATGCCATCTCTACTGCTTCACAAACTGAGCCCTCCCTCGCGAAGCCCTCCTTGGCCGATCCGTCTCTCGTCTCTTTCCTCATCTGCAGACACTGGTGGATCAGTCTATGGGTAATTGCGATAGCATGCAAGCTATAACCACTTCCTCAACCGCCTATTCTCTTCTTCACCACAACACGCACAAACGTTCTTTTTGGTTCCATTTTCTTGTTCCATCCCATCTTCTTTCGCATTGCTGCGTCCCGGCCTTTTGGTTAGCCGTTGCTTCGCTCGTTGTTCACGTTGCCTCCACATCGATCAGCTTTGAGGTATGTCAACCCACTTCCTACTACAATGGCACACCTATCTAGGGGCACACTCAAGCACATAAACTTGAAAGTCAATACTAACGATGGAAGGATATTTGCATCACACCATCTCAACCTCCTTCACGTGTTCAGCTCATCGTCTCCATTGGTCAAACGATACCGACGGCACACTCAGGTCAGCGGCACCCCGCCGGCGATACCCATCTAGGGTAACGGATTACCCATAATGTCTCTCGCATACAAAGTGGATGAATTACTTGCGCTGCGTGATTCGGTTTCGGAATCAGCCGTGTCGATCGAGAAGTTTCCTGATGAGGATGTAATCAGAGGTCGGTGCTGGTCATGCCCTTCTTCACCTCTCACCGTTCACACTCCCCACACAAAGAAATCTCGTCTGCTAAAAAAACTCAATATCCCTTAAAATTAATAAAAACCTGTGCCATCACCACCTCGCCGCTGCATACCTTCTTCCACCGTCGGCCGTTGTCTTGATCTCTGTACTTGCTGTACATATAGACAAATACTGACACACTTCCCTTTAGAACACGTTCTGCGTCCATCGGCATCTGCAGCAGCAAATCTAAACAGCAGATTGTCGAACAGAAGCCTGCGGGTTCCTCATACGACAACTCCCGCTCCACTCGGATCTCAGAAGAGGCCATCGCCTACACCATCGTTGAAGCGAGGAAAAGCCGAGAAACTTCTCAAGGAGCACGGCAGTCCACCTGGTCTGCGAGTGACTGCAGGAGGCAGAATTGTTCCTAGCGACCTTCCACCCCTTGGCACAGCTCGATACGGCGACACCGCGTACCGGCCGCAACAACCGTTGCGAGTCGCTCCGGGCAACATCATACCAATGCAAGCCCTATCGAACGGCAATAACACTGCACGGATTGAGGTTATTAGTGGCCAGCCTGTCATCTTCGTTGGCGATCGCATGTTTGCACTCCCGGCAGTCAGCACGACCAGCTCTACACTGCCTCCTAGTGGTTCTGCCGCCATGGATTCAGCAATCAAGCGAGGCCCTGACCCATCTAAATCAGCTGTACATGGTACCGTGCCAGATGCTTCCTTTGGCCCGCCACGTTCTAGTACTCACGCTCCGTTTGCTGGCATGGACCTTGCTACACTGAAGGCACAACAGACCATGAAGAAGCAAGAGCTCCGAACTGTCGAGCAGACCGAAGTGCTACAGTCGAGCCACCAGAGTGACGCATGGCGCGCGGCTATGATCGAGAAGAAGCGATGCCTCATTGTCGAACTCGATGCCCTCAGGAAGCAGATATCAGCACTGGAGTCAGGCGCCATTACAGCGCAGCCCGGTTCCTTCTCCAACGCAGTCGGCACGTCCACACCACCCGTCCCCTCATTTGGAGTCCAGAACCAACAGCCGTTTGCTCCTGCTATGTATCCCTTCTCCACTGGCAATCAGTATGCACCCATGACGATGTATCAGTCGCAGCCGCAGCCCTATGGTGGCTTCCCTAGCTTCCCCCCAGTGGAGCCGGCAGCGTTTGTACCTAACACATCTAGTCCACATGTAACGCACTCTCCTCCAGGGTCAGCCAACCGCCGTTCACGTGCCATTGAGATCAAGCCTCCTCCGGAGGCGGAGGGCAAGAAGCCTTCATCTCTTAACCCGAAGAGCCCCACCTATGAGCCAGCTGCCAAGTCCAGTGGTATGCAAGGAACTGTACCGCCTACGCCTTCGCCAGAGAAATCATCGCTTTGGCATGTCCAAGAAGATTCAGAGCCTAGCAAGCACGATAGCGGAGCACCGGCCCGAAAGCATAGTGTATCCAGCGTTGATACCATGGATTTCTTCCCTATCAATACACACGAGCACTCTTCTACACGGATAGCGCCACCGAGTAAGGACACCAACCAATCGACTGAGACACATGCTGCTCCATTGACACCAGAGGAACATTGGCCTGCCAGCCCATGGAACGAAGGGCACCCAGGTCGCGCTGGCAAGCATGAGCCCGCGCCCAAGCTTACCTCATGGCCAGAAGCATTTGGCAAGCAGCCTTCACTGCCCTCCCTGCGACAGAGCACTGCGAACCAGTCTTTGTCGGCCCCAATCGAGCGTATACCAGGCATGGACACAAACGTAGCCAGGACTGCTCAGAGCAGTAATGCAGTCTCGCGGGTGAACTCGGCCCAAAACAGCAGCACTGGCCAGAGTTGGAAGCTCTCTGACAAGCCCGTCGTGCACGTTCCAAGCACATATCAAGAAGGCTACCAGGCTGGTTATGATCACTTTGGTATTCCGGACAGTCCGGATGTGCTGCAAGGCTATATTCAAGGTCTCCTGCATTTCCTCACGGATGAAACCAAGAAGCGCCAAGCTGAGTACCAACGCAGTGCCAACTCTAGCACCCATTCGCTCCGAGGACTGGTTGCTGGATCCTTACCTCACAACTCTCCTTGTGGCATTGGCGGCTTTGGTGGTAGCCAAGAGAATATTCGGTTGTCAAAGCCCAACCTGAGTGACGATGCTCGTCGCGATTTCGGACCTGGCTCCCAAGGAGACGTCCAGGGAGGGCTTGTCCCGTATAAGATGGGTAATGAAGTGATGAAGGGCTCACAGCAGCGTATCGTCTCAGGCGCGCGTTACCTTGCACCCCCTAGTCTTTTCCCACTGAAGGTGGCATCTGGACATGGGCAAGCTATGGTCCCAAACACTCCAAACGATGCGAGCAAGGAGATTCGGGACAAAGGTATTGCACAGTCGAACGGTGGAACGCTACAGCAGTTCTTGGATATCCAAGTGCAGAATCGCAACTTGGGCACACCATTGACCATGCAATGCTACTATACTACGGCCAAGGAACAGGGCTCTCAAGAACTTGGTAGGTATGGCACGCTTTCTGGCAAGGCTCTTGCTGACTCTGAATTAACAGGACTGGATGGAGCTATGGATGACCTTGCGGAGATGATCAACGATACGCATATTGACGACTGTAGCACGTCCATGGCGGAGGAGAAGCGACCTGCCGAGACAGCCAGCACTACGGAGTGCGAGGAGAGCGATGCATCCTGTTTCAAGACGTCAAGCGGCAAAGGCAAGCAGAAGGAAGCGTCTTCGCCAACCAAGACGAGTGACATGGAGCGCGAGACTGTGACATTTTCGCGTACCAACACTTCCGGATCGCCCAAGAAGGCGGGAGAGCATTCACCAGCAAAGGCGAAGCTGGAGCAGGTGACGAACAAGTTCCGACGTGGCAAGAAAGACGACGTTCGCACCATGTCGCCTGAGGAGAGGACGAAGCGTTCGGAGAAGTGGCGCCAGCGCTTCCAGCAACTCAAGAGAACCGAGATGGAGGAGATTGAGGCGTACCGTAGGAACTCGCGCACTTGAAGGGTCGTGGAATTTGGGCTCTTTGTCGAATGTGACTGGATAGACTGGATGCCATGTTGCCTGACCCTGGCAAGACTTGGTCAGTGGCGCATGGGTACAGGGTGGATAATGTTTATTCAACAACCAGGCAGTGCAGTTTGTATTGCAGTTCTACTTGGCAGGTTTTCTTTTTCTCAGGGTATTCAACAAGGAGGACTGTGTGTGGGCGGCAGACGGCAAGCGGGAAGGAGAGTAATTGCACGTCTTCTTGTGGCTCAGACCTTTAGCAGTTAGGTTGTATAGGAGGGCAGACATTGTATGGTTAAGTAGGCAGCATAGTCAGCCGCACAGGCAAACAGAATAATGTAATGTAATGACTTGATTATGGCCATGGATGGCTGAGGAGGCTGTGTTTAAGTGAAGTCAGGCGCAAGGGAAGGGGATGGGACTAATATGCTATGCACGGGCGATGTAATGCTATACGGTGGAGGGCCGGGGCCGAACGATGGACTAGGCCCAAAGGGGAGGGTCTGGAACGGATTGGCGCTGGACGCGGTAGAGAAACAGTGGTCGGATGCGTTCATGGATGTGGGAGGCAACCTCAGATGTCTTGTTTCGAGGATGACATGGGGGGCAGTGGTGGAGGTTGTGCGATGACGTGGGCGAGGGAATTGCACGGATAGCATTGCTGATAAATGGCGGTGCTGGAGGCATGAACGGACGATTGGGGGAAATGCTTGGAAATACACTGGCCGCGCGGTAGTAGTCGACAGTCCCCACTGGCCTGAGCCCTCTCGCCCTTGATTCGCCGCCCTCGCTTCTGCGTCTATCCGGCACGGCTCTGACTTCCCAACCCGCCCATACTCTAAGTAGCCCTGCCTGCCCTGTCCTGCTGTACCCTGCCCTCCGCCTCCGCCTCCGCCTCTACCTTCACCTCCACCTCTCCCATCTCCTCTTCCTCCTCGCCCGCTGCTCCCGCGTGGCAGTCAATTGTCTTCGCTGCTTGCTTGCCTGGCCAGCCCCTTGTGCCCCACTGCCAGCGTCCTTCTTTGCCAACTCCCGTTCGACGCTCCAGCCACACGCATCGCGATCCCGGCACCTTGGCCTTTCCCGCCGTGCCATGGCCCACTGACCGTTAAACGCGCAACCGAATACTCCTCCCTGAGTTCCTGTCTCCGCCTCACTAGCTGCTATCCGCTAGGCGTATCACTCGCCTGCTGCGCGTTTTCCATCCCTCCTGTCCTCCCACGGCTATGACGCAGCTTTTCAACTCGTCTCCATCAAGCCACTCCACCATGACCGAGAAACGCACCTTTTCGGGCAAGGCCCTGTCCATCAACAAGTCGGTCAATGGAAAGGACGGCCAGGTCTCGCAGCGCATCAAGAACTTCTTCCGCATCAACAGCAGCAATGACGCCCAGAAGCTCTCCGACGACGCCACGGGCGGTGCCCCAAACCCCAAGAATGAGAAGTCGGGCTTCCGCCAATCACGATTCATCCCGCACATCACTCGCAACCGTTCTCAGACCGTCGCCAGCGAAGGCAATCCCCTCGACGACGGCCTCTCGCCCACCGCCCATGCCAACCCGTATTTCGCCCACCAGGGACCCCCTGCACTGCGCCACCACAACGATGGCAGCGTGCCCCCATCTCCTACAGATTCACAAACCATACCCAAGACACAAGTGAACGGTGGCAACGGTCCCGAGGATGATCATGCCACGACGGCTGGAAAGGAGGAATTGGCAAGGAAACTACGGAGGGTAGCTTCTGCTCCCAACGCTCAGGGCTTGTTCTCATCTGGCAAGTCTAATGAAAGGCCACAGACTGCTGAACTCGGCAAGCAGCCCGTCCTGCACCACCCGAACTCATCCACCCTGAGCATGGTTGAAACGCATTCGCAAGACTCGACCCACCTTCTACCCAGCGACGCCAGCAAGCCTATACCGTCTCCGGGCCAGATTCGCAATTCTGTAGCTTTCAGGAGGACCTACAGCTCGAATTCCATCAAGGTTAGGAACGTTGAGGTCGGCCCAGGCAGCTTCGACAAGATCAAGCTGATTGGCAAGGGTGATGTCGGAAAGGTCTATTTGGTGCGGGAGAAGAAGTCTAGCAGGCTCTACGCTATGAAAGGTAAGGTAAAGATTTGTTGTTTCTGGAATTCATGCTAACAATCTCTAGTGCTGAGCAAGAAGGAGATGATCAAGCGAAACAAGATCAAGCGTGCGTTGGCTGAGCAGGAAATTCTGGCGACCAGCAACCACCCATTTATCGTTACTCTATACCACTCTTTCCAATCCGAAGACCACCTCTACCTCTGCATGGAATACTGCAGTGGCGGTGAGTTCTTCCGCGCTCTGCAGACACGACCAAACAAGTGCGTTGACGAGGACGCTGCGCGGTTCTACGCTGCTGAGGTTACGGCTGCATTGGAGTACCTGCACTTGATGGGCTTCATCTACCGGGATTTGAAGCCAGAAAGTAGGATAAATTCTGCCTCCCTTCCAAAAAGACCGTACTAATTTCTATCAGATATCCTCCTCCATCAGTCCGGCCATATCATGTTGTCAGACTTTGACTTGTCGAAACAATCGGACACTGGCGGTCGCCCAACCATGATTCTCAGCGGCCGAAGCGGTACTTCGTCGAACAATCTGCCAACCATTGACACCAAATCTTGTATCAACAATTTCCGAACTAATTCCTTCGTTGGTACCGAGGAATACATTGCGCCAGAAGTTATCAAGGGCTGTGGACATACGAGTGCGGTCGACTGGTGGACCCTTGGAATTTTGATTTACGAAATGTTGTACGGAACCACACCCTTCAAGGGCAAGAACCGTAACGCAACTTTTGCCAACATTCTTCGAGACGAAGTACCCTTCCCAGAGGGTTCTGGTGCACCGCAAGTGTCAAAGTAAGTTTATTTACAGACAGTTTTCTTGTTTCCTTTGCTAACATTTTGTAGTCTTTGCAAAGCCATTATTCGTAAGCTGCTCATCAAGGATGAGACTCGCCGCCTCGGTTCACGCGCTGGTGCCTCGGATATCAAGAGTGCGCCATTCTTTAAGACCACGCAATGGGCGCTACTGCGTCACATGAAACCTCCTATAATTCCCCACCAGGGCCAAGGCATAGAAACGCCTAATTTCCGAAACGTCAAAGAGTCGCAGAGTGTGGATATTGGTGCTGCGAAATCCAAGGGTGTGCCGCTAGACTCTGGTCTTGCTACACCCATGGGCGAGGTAGCAGATCCATTTGAGGAGTTTAACAGCGTCACCCTTCACCACGATGGAGATGACCACCACGACCACCATCACGACTACAGCGAATCTGGACACTCTGAGTACTCGCAGACCAACTCGCATCGATAGGACGAGTGGTGATTTGTACACTCCAGACGGGGTCTTAGGTAGGCCATTTGTATCCGATGCTCTTCTCGACTCTGTTTGTTTTGCTTTTGACGTATGATAGAAAAATGAGTGTCTTCCATGTCATTGGCGTTTCAAGGGTACTAAGTTCTTTCTGTCATTCGAGCATATTTCTTTTCAACTTTTCAAGCCAGCATTTTTTCAGCTCCAAAATCTTTTCGGCGTTGTTTGTTTGTGTTTTAGGGGCATGGATGTCGAGGGACATGAAGTATAACAGTAGGTAGCTTGGACAACGGGCTGCAGGACAATATTGACTGGGTTTGTGATCTTAGGAAAAGAGGAATTAATCACAAGACGTATTTTTCTGCATAATTTGAAAGCATATTGAGTGTGACCCTTTAAGACGAGTATTACACCCGATATATGATGAAAGGTATATGTGCATGGACCACTTCGGAGTTTGCGGGGAAGACGCGACAATCGATTCGCAGACTCGCAACGCGACAAGGATTCAGATTCAACCAGGGTAGTTTGCACCGCAACCCAGGCATTCTACTACGAGAAACGAAGTCTCCAGCTGAAAACAGCGCCCCTAACATATACACGATTATCCCAAAGCGCAGCTTCCTCTCTCCAGGCAAATCCAACAACCATCGCACCCACGCCCGACCCCACCACCAGGGCACGCAAGCGCAATCCCCTTGCACATCACCAACAACAGACCCTCCCACGGACACTGCCGAAGAAACGAAACAAAAAAAATAAAACAACCAAACACATCCCCGTTTGTCCTAAACGAAGAAAAAAAACAATGGCATCAGTCGACCCCCAAGACACAAACTTCGCCGACGACGAAGAAACCCTCACACCACTCGAACAAGAAGTATTAGATGAATACGCTCGGTTACTCGAGAACTTGAATACCGTACGTTTGTTCCCCCCCTCCCCCACCACCACCTTCCCTCTTTCCTCTTTCCAATCCATACACACAATAGCTAATCCCTCAAATGAAACGTATAGATGTCCTCTCTCCTCCTCACCCTCTCCAACAACCCCAGCGCCGTAATCCTCGACGGCCTCCGCGGCCTCGAACGCAAGACATCGCTAGTATTCACGCTGTTGAAGGCGAGTGTGTATAGTATCGTTTTGAATCAGCAGATTGAGACGGATGGCGGGGAGGGGGGGGCTTGGGGAGGAAGGAGGGGAGGATGATATGTAAGTGAAAAGGAAGAGGAAAAGGGATAGGACGGGAGGATGAGGAGAATATGATACCCCAGGTGGATGGATTGTAAGAGCACTGCAGGATATAGAGACAAGAGAGAGAGGGATGGTGTGAGGGGATTAGAAGAGGTGGGGAATGGTATGATGTACATAAGATTTCTTCTACAAAAACGCTTATATCCGCATGCCGTCCAGCCCGCTCCAATGCATCTGAGTATGGTACATTTATCACCATGTCTTCTCCCCTTCTTTTACATTGAAATATTCATACATGGTGTCTGTCTAGTGTATGGAACCTCCATAGTACACCTTGCGTACATCGACCAGCTTCTTGCCGCGTGCTCTGGCAATTTCGTCGGGCAGCTTCTGGCTGGTGAGGGCTTCCCAGGTAGCCTTGATGACGTTCATTTTGTTTCTTGAGCGGGGGGTTTTGGCAGAGAGGTCTTGGAGGCCGGCTGCGCGGGCGAGCTCGAAGATGAGATGTTGGACGCGGAGACCGAAGCCTATTTGTTATGTAATTAGCAATTATTCGAGAAAAAAAAGAAGAACTTAAGAAAGTTCTTGGAACTGAATAACTTACCTGGTGGTCTTGAAAAAAGCTGCACCTTTGTCGCGCCAACCTTCTTCTCCAAATCTCCAAATGTTGTCCTGTTCTCGTACCGTGGGACAGGCCTCATGTTCCTGATCGCACTCATGACACTCTGTTTCCTGCCTTCTTCGGGTTCGACGGACTTGCCTTCTCCCACACCTAGTAGACCGTCTTGGTTCCCCGCAATGGTAAGATAGTATAAACTCCTAATCTTGCCCATGCGTGTCTGATTCGTAACACCGTGAACAACCAGTGTCTTGACTCGGATGCTGCGCAATTTTTGCTTGTCCCAACCCAGGTATTGCAAGAGGCGCTTCTGCCGTGGATCCTCCTCCTCTTCGGTGGAGAGTCGGCGGGTTTGGCGTGCCATGCGGTTTTCTACCCTTGGTAGATCGGGTGCAATCACAGAGTGACGTTCGTCGCCGAGCGCCTGGAGTGCGGCGGGGTTATTCGATGTATATGTTGCGCGCGGGTCAAGGGCAGCCTGGGTAATGGCCGCATCCATGGCGTTTTGCAGGCCCGGGTCGTCCTCCGGTATACCATCTGGGTACATTTTTGCTAGGTTCTCTGATGCGATACGGGAAATGTTCTCATCTCTTTCCACCTCGTTGGCAACCCGAAATGTCTTTGGCCCCTCGATGTCGTCTCCGGTCAGCTTCTCAGGCCGGTCAGTGACTGGATCGACTTCCGCAAGATCGTCTTCGTAATTGAGCCTCCAAAAATCGGTTCTTCGCTGACCCTGCGTAAGGACATCTCGGGCATCGATTGTAGTTTCTGCAGCTTTGATGGCGGCGATTTGCGAGGGTGTATATTTTTTCTCGAGGAGCGCTGTTTCCGAGGTGTCGTATTTCGGGTACTCGGCCTCGGCAGCCTGGTTAAGAAGCTTGAGTTCGTCTGCCTTTATTGACGGGTAATGCGGTCGCTTCTTGCGGGCTTGCCGGGATGCGGAGGCATGGAAAGTGCGTTGCGGAGGTGGTTTAGGAAGGGTTGTTGAGGCGGCCTTGGTAAAGAGACATCTTGCGGGGCGGCAGACGCTCATTGTTGCCCTTGAACCTCGTCGCGGGGGCCAATTGAGCGTGGAGAGGCTGTAATAGCGGGTAGTCTGCGCGCTTGGTGGTGCTTGAAAGTGAAGTTCGGAAAGTTCACGGTGACTAAGCGGCATGGGCAGTAAATGCTGTAGCCAATCACCTCTCTTTCCAACTGAGTGACTAACATAACTTTTCTCGACTGTGAGACTTGGTGCATGTACTCCCGAATTCTTAGTCGACCACTTCGGACTCTGCTGAGCAGTAGCCGGTATTCCCAGATTGCCAAGCGCAGTATGGCCTCTTCCGCAGATAATGTTGCTCCCATCGAGAGTAATGGCGCAAAAAGACACGCCGAGACGCCTTTGCGTAGCGAGGAAGGTTCACGAGGAAATTACAGATTCAAGAACAAACGAATGAAGAACGGCCATGCCGAACAAAGCAAGATACTGAAAACAAACGGCACCAATGAGGAGGTCTTGTTGGAGGATGTCACTGAGCTCATCAAAAAATTCAAGCTAGAAAGAGAAGGGAAAGAGACATCAACACTATTGCCTGAAAAGTTCAAAGAAATTACTGTCGAGATCAAGGAAATATCATCTACTGGAGATGGTCTTGGATTTCAGCAGGGTTCAGATTCAGATCAAGTCTTTGTTGTACCTTTCAGTGCGCCAGGAGATGTTGTCACCGCACGTCCGCACAGGCATTTCGAGAAGGAAAAATATTCCATGGCCGATTTTGTCAATGTTGTTACGCCCTCAAATCACCGCGACTCGTCTCTGGTAAAGTGCCCCTACTTTTCCAGCTGCTCGGGTTGTCAATTTCAAATGCTCCCCTACGATTTCCAGTTGGAACACAAAAAGTCCATCGTTCAAAAAGCTTACAAAAACTTTTCCAACTTACCACCGGAGCTCGTCCCGACTATTGGCGACACAATTGGCTCGCCCCTGCAATACGGATATAGGACAAAGCTCACGCCGCATTTTGACGGTCCACCGGATGCTCGTCGAAGCGACGGCCGAAATGGCATCAGACGTACATTCAAAGAAGTACCGCCGATTGGCTTCATGAAGAAGGGAACCAGAAACACCATCGACATAGAAGACTGTCCAATCGGCACGGACGCCGTACGCGCAGGCAACAAGCGTGAACGCAAGCGCGTCGCTGATACCATCGACAAGTACAACAAAGGCGCCACCATCCTCCTCCGTGAAAGCACCACCCGGATACCCAAATCCGAATACGATGTCACCAAGGAGGAAGACCCAGACGCAGTCATCGAAGACCGAGGCGACTACATCCACCGCAAAATATGCATAACAGACTCCAATGCAAAATCAACTGAATACATTGACGAATTCCAATTCATCAACCCAGCAGGCTCTTTCTTCCAAAACAATAACAGCATCCTCCCCATTTTCACCCAGTATATCCGCGAGCACATCTTACCTTCTTCTCCCGATCACAAAATCAGTCACCTAATCGACGCATACTCCGGCTCGGGCCTCTTCACAATCACACTATCGAGCCAATTCAAAACATCGCTAGGCATCGATATTTCCTCGTCAAGCATCGAGTCCGCAACCACGAATGCGCGTCTAAACAATCTACCCGAAAGCTCCGCGCGCTTCATCGCGGCAGATGCTGCACGTCTCTTCGCTTCGATCGAGTCTCCTGCCGATGAAACAGTCGTTATGATTGATCCGCCACGAAAAGGTTGTGATGAATCTTTTCTGCGGCAGTTGGTGCAATATGGCCCTGCAAGAATTGTTTACGTGAGCTGCAATGTGCACACGCAAGCCAGGGATGTTGGTGTTTTGGTTGGCGGCATGAAGGGCGTGGATGGTGGGTTTGGAAAGGGAGAGGGACGCTATGAGATTGAGAGCCTGAGGGGCTTCGACTTCTTCCCTCAGACGGGGCATGTAGAGGGTGTTGCTGTGTTGAGTAGGAAGACAGTTGGGTCAGTTGGAGAGACTAATGGGGCACAGAGTGGTGAGGTGACGATGGAGTAGTGGACCTGCATATCTCTGGCGTTTTTTGGGGTGAGACATATGGACAGACACAGTATTTCTCTAGCCGGCGCATAAATCAGCATACAAACGTCAAAAGTTATCACTGCCTTTGCTTGGTTAAACCTTTAGTCAAACTACACTCGTGTTTTGGCATATACATCACGTTTTCACAATCATATGGATTTCATGTTGTGATGTCAATCTTGGTATTCTCGACAGCTTTGCACTTCTTTTATGCTCGCTTAGTAAATTCTTCTCACATATACGCTTGCCTGATATTCTCAAGTTTGGCCAGTTACGTGCTTCCGGGTCCACCGAGCAGGGCGAACCGTCTGACAATGCTGGGGCCGATTTCATCGTACTCCGCCTTGGTGTGGCAATAGCTCTTGAATTCGGGCGTTTGTCCGAGCAAACTGCCTCCGAACCAAGGGCCGTGTCTTTGTCTCTTGTGAGTAATGACCTGCACATCCAAACCACCACTCTTTGCGCCGCCACTTCGTGCTTCCGAGGCCTTGATCCTGGCATCAACCATGTGTCTAATGTCACGCTGCAAGCGGCGACCAAAGTCTTTGTAGAGTGTTGAACCACCAGATAGGACAATGTTCTTGTACAGTCCCCTACGTACATCAATGGGTGAGGACTGAATGACGGTATCGACAATGGTGGGTAGTGGGGTCAAGAAATCGGAGGAGTAGATCTCAGGGTTGAAGAAGATTTCAGGTGCGAGGAAGCGCTCGTAACCAACATCTACAGAGGCGGTCCTGCCATTGGGGTAGTTGACCGTGTACTTCTTGAAGCGGTCGTCTGATTCGCGGTCGAAGCGTGCAAACTCCTTTACGATATCGGGGCAGACGTAACAGAATTCCTCTTTGATGCGCTCAGCGGTCTGAAGGGATGAGTCAGGCTCGCCACGTTCTCGGAGGAGCGATTGGACAAAGTTGGTAATGTCTCGACCGGCAATGGGGACACTCTTGATTGAGGAGCCAATGACGTAACCTTCAGCAACTGGGATAACGTGCGTAACACCAGCACCGGAGTCAATGACGGTACCCGTGAGGGATCTGTCCTGCACCTTGGAGCTTGTCCATGACGCGGCCAATGCAAGCACAGCTTGCACAGCAATGTAGAGACCAGCGACGTTGAAGGACTCGAACATGATCTCGGCGGTGGCTTCGCGGTTCTCTGGGGGGTTCAATGGCTAGACAGCAGTCAGTATATGTGTTTCCTGAGTTATCAAAGGATGGCATACTGGTTCAGTGAGCAGGAAGTGGTGGTCTTCAGGCTCTACTCGCAGGTACTTGAATATCGAATTGGACCAGAAACGCTCCATGAGATCCTGCCGAGCATCAGTTTTCGTCCTCATCCTTCGTAATGACTCGCCATACCCAGTTGTCTATCTGGCCGTGTCTAATTGGGTAGTTGATGCCATAGCCCGCGCCTCCTGCTGCGGCCAGAGCTTCATCACCAATGAAGAAGTCCAGGTCTTCGGTGCCTCGTTTTCCAGAAAGATGCCCACCAGGCCCAGCACCACCAGTCAGAAACGAGGGTTTGTTCGCGACAGCTGGGCGTCCGGAGCCAGATCCGCCGGTACCGCCAGTTGGGCCCTTGGTAGCTATCGCGGTGGGAAAGACGAAGGATGGGGAGTCGTTGCCGGCGAAACCTGGGGTTGGGCGTTACTAAGAGCTGAAGAGAGTGGAATTAGTGTCTAGCATACCGAGCTTCGAGTATCCCGTACCGCTGTGTGCCAACGTTAGTACTCAATTGGGAGTGGGGATGCCAACAGGCAGCTGGGAGCTTACTTGTCCATGACAACGGCGGGGGTTTGGGACGCCATATTTACTGCTGCTGCTTGCTACAAAAACAAATATGCAAAAGCAGCTGAGGAAATCCCGGGTGGAGGAGAAAAGCGAGAAGCAGGTGTGGAGGTGGCTTCGTCAGAGAGGTGATGGCGGAGGTCGGCGTCGGGTGCATGTGGGCTGTCGTCGAATCAGGCACCGCCCCGCTCCGCTCTTGGCAGCGGGAACTGGGAGACAATGGCGGGGGCCGCAATTACTTGTGGGCGAGCCACGTCCCAGCTCACTGCAGCTCTGTGTTTGTAAACAATGTCGCTCCTTCTTCTTCTCAGACTGCCGTGCCTGTCTTTTGTCGCGTCACACATGATGATTCATATACCACGCACATAGCTTCAACAGACGCAAAGGAAGGAGCCTTTCGCTAACAAAGCTCTGACATTACCTACTGCTAACATCTCCTCCTTCACTAACCGTAGCCCTACAGCGCTCGCCGAGCATCTCTCTCCGACTCTCATTTCTTCACTAGCCCGTGCCGAGCAATCCCTTCACCGTCGCCTCGATTTCTTAATTTATTTTCCCTTCCTGTTTCTCTCCTTTCTTCCTCAGTCACCCTGTACTATTTCCATACCCTATCTATTTCACCATTGATTCTGAGGCCATCGCCATCTTGCATGGCCGCCTGAAAACCGCTCCTACCTACGATTTACAACAATTGAAGGTCTCTACACCAACTTGCGCTGAACACGTGCTCAACAGCCTGTACATTCACATATTCGGCTTCGTCCAAACAGCACCCGGTGGCAGTTGTGTCATACGCTGGATACTTTCGCCCCTCACTTTCGACATATACGCCAGTGCTTTTCGATGCACAAAGGCATGTCGGTTCCTAGTCATCAATTTGCGCCTGTAGATGGGGTACCCCATATCGATACACAAACACGCAAAGCGGCGCGTAGTCCGCCCCACGACGACATATGCTGCATCTATGTTCATGCCGGGGCTGGGTACCACAGCCACCAAAACGAGAGGATACATCTAGAGGCATGCAACGAGTAGGTATTTCTGGCATTGTGATGTCCTACTAAACTTTTGCTCATCTTCTCTAGTGCTGCACAAATCGCCATGCTCATTCTCAAGAACGGGGGCTCTGCATTAGACGCTGTTGAGATTGCCATCAAGACGCTCGAAGACAGAGAGATTACCAACGCTGGGTACGGAAGTAACCTTGCTATGGACGGCGTTGTAGAATGCGATGCCTCCATCGTAGATCATTATGGGCGTAGCGGGGCCGTTGGAGCAGTTGCTCGTAAGTCATCGGAGATGAAGACATGTTGCTCCTTATTGACCATTCTTGACAGAAATCAAGAACCCCATATCTCTAGCACGTATGGTTCACGACCATACCATGGATCCGCTTACACTGCGCCGAGTCCCTCCAAACCTTCTAGTCTCCCAGGGCGCTACCGATTTCGCCATCGAAATGGGCATGCCAATTCTGCCGCACGATGCACTAATCTCACCAGCTGCCAAAGACCGCTGGATGCGATGGCTCTCGGATTTGAGATCCGCCGAACGAAAATCGAAGAAGAGCAGCACACACCCGTCATGCTGGAAGATCAGGGAGAAACTCGAATCAGAAGATGAGGCTGAACGGCAACGGATGCGCGAACAGCACACCCAAAACTTGCTAGCAGCCTGCACATTTCTCTCGCAATCACACTCACCCCTATCTTCGGACGACACAATGTATGACCAAGTTGAAAGTAACCAGTCTGATTCTCTGCCTCTGTCAAAGCGGTCTTCGGGTTCTTGGAACAGTGATGATCATATCAGTACCCCGGAATTGTCTGAACAAACATCGCTGATTGACAATCCTGCTCGTAGTGCTTTCATCAATAGCACGCAGACGGTGCCTACCCTGAGCCACTGCAGAGATATCCCCGCGGGTCCTGACTTGAGTTACAATAGTGTAATAGATACCAGTCCACAGGAAGAAGTGCACGGGGCTTTTTCACGCAAGGCTTGGGCTGATGGCTCGAGCGATGATTCCGATTCCGGATCCAGCGCTCACACAGCGAAGGTCCATTCTTCAACCAAACCTCATGAAAAAGCAGCAGAGCCTCACCTACTCGAAAGTATGGGCAGTAAGACTACAGAGACCAACACAACTCGGCCAGCCCCACCCGGACCAGGTCCACAACAACCCGAGGAAGATCACATCACTGACACTGTTGGAGCCATTGCGATAGACAGTTGGGGCAACATAGCTTGTGGGGCTTCTTCTGGGGGTATTGGTATGAAGTACCGCGGGCGTGTCGGCCCCGCAGCTCTCGTCGGAGTAGGCACTGCAGTCATTCCTGCCGATCCAAACGACCCCGAGCAGATATGTGTAGCGACTGTTACTAGCGGGACTGGTGAGCATATGGCAACAACTATGGCTGCTACAGTTTGTGCCGAGCGACTCTATCAGAGTACGAAGAAAGGACGTGGTGGAGAGTATATCGAGGTCACCGAAGACGAGGCTTTGAAAGCCATGATCGAGAATGAGTTTATGGGTATTTGGCTTTCCAGGACGCTACTCTGATTGTGCTAATAATCTCTAGGCCATCCAAGTGTCAAGCACAGTAATTCTGCCGGAGCTATTGGCATTTTAGGTGTCAAGAAAATGCGCACTGGCGTGTTGCTGTATTATGGGCACAACACCGACTCATTCGTCATGGCTTCCATGTCCGCTTCGGATGAACACCCAGCCTGCTCGATGTCACGCAGCAACGGCAACGGCCAAGTCGCTCAGGGCGGCCGCATGATATCCATGAGGCGTAGCAAAAAGGCAAAATCTACATCTCGTCGACAAGTGTAGTAGTCTTACGAGAGAGCCCGGAACCTATCTCATCTATCTGCTACTTTGCCTCCTCTTTCCCAAATCCCTATAGCCGACCCTACTGTTAGAGTGTCATTCTTCTGTATGAATATGAAAGGTTGAAGTTTTTCATGGTTGCCTGGAAACAGCTTTCCTTTTGTTCTTTTTCCAGACGACGAAGATGAAAAAAGAACAATGTACATTAGATCCGTGGTATTCAGCGGTCCTGTTGAAATATCCTCGAACCCCCAAAAGATGCAACCGACACTCGAAAATACCATCATGATTAAAGCTTATATCCTCACCTCCCATCATACCCCTTAACCTTCCCATCCCCACCACTCCCCTCCACCTCCCCCTTCGCCACACCCAAACTCCTCTGAAACGCCCCCGTAATGCCAATCTGATCGGTCAAAACACTCATCATATCAAATCCCCTCTGCGCATACCTCTTCGCATCCTCGCCCGAATTACAATAAATCGCTACTTTTTTCCCTTCAGCATGCGCTGCCTCTTTGATCGCTTCAATCGCCGCGTCAAGTTCTGGTGCGATTTCGCCCGTGAGAATGGGGTGCCCGATGTTATTGCCTAGGTCGAAGGGGCCAATAAGAAGGACGTCTACGCCCGGCAAGGCGGCGATTTCGCGGACGTGCTCGAGGGCAGGGCGGGTTTCGATTTGGAGGATTGTTATGAGTGTACTAATATTTTACTTTTTTATCAGCAAGGAGATGATTGGAAAAAATATATATATTGGGTCTTGGTGTTAATTGGGGGGGTGGGGGTTTGGAAGGGAAGAACTAACGAATTCGCATGCTGCAAATAATACGACATTGCTTCATTCCCAAAACACTGTGTTGGCAACGGCGACCCAAACCCGCGTGTACCTTGTGGTGGGAATTTCGCAGACGAAACGAGGCGTTTGGCGTCGTCGACGGTGTAGATTAGGGGCACGATTATGCCGTGAGCGCCGGAGTCGAGGGCGCCTATAAGTATTTATTTCTTTCATGTTAGATACATTTACACATAACACTAAGATTTTCCTTGTATTATGTAGGTTTTTTTTGGGGGTTGGGGTTGGGGTTGAAGGGAAACTTGGGTAAGGGTTTTTATACAGGGGAAGGGGGAGAGTAATGTAAAGGACTTACGCTTCACCATCCACGCCTCGTTCGAGGCTATTCGCACGAGCGGACTTACGCCTGAGAGCGCAATAGCGGTTACGGCTTCGTGCATTTCGCTGTCGGATATGTTGCCGTGTTCTGTGTCGACGCAGATCCAGTCGACGCCTGAGCGGGCGATTGAACGGGCGAGGTTAGTGCCTGGGAGCATCTGCATTCATGTTTCCTTCTCTCAGTATCTATTCATTGATAGTGTTTGAGGGGTTTATTGTTGGTGGACGGACCTGCCATCCTCCGAATGTCGGACCGGGTTTCTGAAGGGCCTTGTATATCCGGCTTGCTTCTTGGAGGGTGTTCATTTTTCTTGTTGAAAAGAATGTGAAGCTGGGTTTTTGTGAGGAGAAACTGAGGTTGATTGGGACTTGTTTTGTGAGTAATAGGCGTGGTAGAGTTGCTCGGCGGAGAGAGGGTAGCATCGTCATAGCCTATGTACGTATGTATGCGTAGGAGGGGTAGCATGGCGGTGGAGCGCGCTTCCCCACATATTACCCCCACGCCGCGGTAGAAGGATGCGGCTCCGTGGGGATTCCAGATAAAGTAAGCCGGAAGGTGGTTGAGGGTTGAGGCACAGAAGCTTGTTTCAGGGTGATGTATAATTGGTTGAGATTGGTGTTGATTATGTCGCTGCTATTGAAAGCGCGTAAATCTTTATCTAGTTGTAGATGTGTTTGTCTTGAGCGGTTCAGAATCTTCATCAATACAGGCATGTTGGAGAGAAATGTGTGGATGAACAAAGTACAGTCGAAGAGCGAAACGTCGGCAAGAGCTAGTTCACCAAAACTGATCTCCGGCTGTAACGTTACACTGCATATGTAGAAGAAGCGTGTTGCTACAGTACGTAATGCGCACATAATAGTCGTTGGGATATTTGCATACACATGAGAAAAATTGGAGCGTTAGTCAATGGAGAAGTTCAAGTCCAGGCTATAGTGTGTCAGAAGCATTCGTGTATAGTGTGCAGATGTTGGGGGTAAGTAATCGCGTTATGACTGTATAGTGCATCACAAAAGTAGTGGATGAGAGTCAATTTGAGTGACCTGTTCTTCTGCTATTTATCCAGATATCGTAAAGTGACTAAACCCAGTGACGAAAGAGTTTTGAAAAGTCTCCCGACCTAGAAGTTGGTTCTCTCAACCAGGAGGTAGTGTAGGAGATGTCGCCATCTGGTACGTAATAACTTTCGTTCTTTCATCTTTGCTCCCGCCACGAACATTGAGCTGCTCCTTGCCATCCACGTGGTTGATGCTGTATTGCGATTAGCACAACCATGAGTCTGAAAAGAAAAAGAACAAGACACTCACTAGTAGGCGCCATTTTGTTAGACCGAAAGAAGAGGTGAAAATTGAGATGATAGTCTATCTGATCTATGAACGCTTCAGCTAATATACTGATGATGAGTGAATCGCGTGATAGGAGTCTACAAACAACAAACAACACATTTCCGGCGTGCGCAAGCTTCCAGCGGATTGAGGAATCTTTGGGGGGAAGGAGCTGGGTCGTGACTACCTTACTCGTGTCTGTAGACTTCGTGTTAGGTCATTAACTTTCTAGTTGCTGCTAGCGGATTCCATTCGCAATACCATGAGCAGTAACGTAGAGACCAGAGTTGACGGGAATGATAAAGTACTCGTGGTCGCCCTTCTCAGGGTTACCGCCGACGCCTCCAGCATAGACAATCTGGAATTGATGGTTTGGTGCATTTGGGGTTTTCTTGCTATCAATCCGTTAGTTAGACAGTTTTCGAAACATAGGCAAAAAGGATGGATATGATAAATGGATAATGTACTAGAGCTCGACTTGGGTGTCTTCCTTCTTTTCACCTTTCCAGATATCGAGTTCCATCTCAGGGGCGTGGAAAGGAGAGATGGTATAGATGAAGAAGAAGCTTAGGTATGATGATTGATTCCAAGGAGACAGGTCGAAGGGGTCTATATAGACGATTTAGACACAGAAAAACCTCTGCTTCGGTATGAAGATTCCCATGGCCAATTGAATCTAGAGACATTACTCAAACATCAGATGTGTACGTATGCAAGGCATGCACATGTATGTAACATGCATCTGCCTTTTCTGACACTTGATGAGCGTTATGTGAGGGGAGTGCGTATGCTGCTATATACTAATTACTCTCCAGATCCCGTTCCAAGGTGGCTCTCGTTGCGCAGACTTGAGTTTGGCCTCGTAAGGAGAGATCGGCTTAGATTCTCTGAGGCATATGAATGTATCACGATGAGTAGCTGATTGAATTAACTCGAGAGTAAATGCTCATAGAGCGAGTGTGGAGAATATTGCAGCATGATCATGCGGGGTCGGCCCGAGCCTTTCATGTTCGTTTTTCCTATGTAGCATTAGTTGCATGCATATCTAGGCTGTTACTTGGCCTTATATGATATTATACGTTTTTGACTTTACTCAGTGATTTCACAAGTAAGAAAGACACTGAGTTGCAGATACAATCTGCAAGTGAACGATTATTCCATCAGATACAAGTGCCAGGACGACAATAAGAACTTCTCAGATAACATCAAATGCTCTGTAATGATTCCAGTGATACAGAAGATGGTCGCTTCAACGATGCAGCTGAATGCAGCTAGTGTGAGAAGCCAACTATTACGCCGTTCATCTAGCTGGTGGCTGCAAGCACATTTACCGTTCTTGTTCAAAAGGATCAGTGGGGAAGGAAAATATTCGTAAAGGATGGCTACTGGAGTAACCTGATTTGATGATACGGGATTGAGCATAGGGATGTCCACATGAATACCAATTTTCTTTTCCTTGTTGGTCATCTCCAAGAGATGTATTCATCGTGATCTGTGTAACGACTGCATCAAGAGGTTCATGTAATATTCGATGTGAGAAATGAACTTTTAATAATATTGGGACAGAATGAAAAAGGAGCAAACTGCATCCAGAAATGATTAGGTTGTGGGTGTGCAGCCTCAAGCTCGCTCAGCCTGATCCATCAGCTTCACGACGTCTTCTTCCTTGAAGCGATGCATGAGCTTAAGCGATGATGCTGAAGTTTCTTGAGATCCAGCCTTGTCGATGTGGATCTAGTCGAACATTCAGGTACTCTTCAGGAAAGTATATATAGACAGAGATGGTCCAGGTTGGCTTACCACTGGGGTATCAAACTCGTACAAGCCTTTCCACTTGTCCTGGCCCTGTTCCATGACATTGATCTCGTGGTACTCGAGCGGTCGCTTTGCCTTTACATTATGAACAACAGCTTTTGCATCGTCGCAAAGGCTGCATGGGGTTCGCGTGAAGAAGGTGATGCGGCAGGCGAGTAAGCGAGAGGTAGCGCGCAACATGGTGGGCGGCTGCGGCGCGAAGCAAAGCGGCCGAGAAGCATCCAGCAACAGTCGTCGGACCCCAGATGGAAGAAATGCAAAGTTTGGTTGCGCCTTGGCCGAGCACCAAACGGGGACGCCTCATCCACCAGAAGCAAGGTCCGCGCTTGGACCCCAGCCTATGACATGATGGGGTGCAACGTTCCAGAATATTCCGACGCGCGAGGTGAACATCTGGGGTTCACGACACCAACGTAAAGAGCGTGCACTCGACGTCCTGTACACACTCGGTTTTGTGCAATTCTGAGAATCTTTAACATGGCGAAAAAGTGCGTTCACAAAGGGTGCGGCAAGACATACGAGGACGAAAACGAAGAGTGCATCTACCACCCAGGCCCACCAGTCTTCCACGAGGGGCAGAAAGGTAGGTCAGCATGAGGCGATGCCTTTGGGTTGGGCCAGATGGACTGATTCATGGTAATTTAGGCTGGAAATGCTGCAAACCTCGCGTCCTGACATTTGATGAATTCCTCGCAATCGAGCCTTGCACAAAGGGCAAACATTCCGATGTAGACGACACGCCTGCGCCCGAGCCTGTTGAGACTCCTGATGTCCCCAATGGCACACCAGTCAATCTAGGATCGCTCGACGAGTCTCTTCCCCCGCCTGCACCCCGAGTACCTACTGCACAAGCTGCGCCCAAGCCCACAGCCTCGCCTGCCCCACCCCCAGAGTCCGAAGACGACGACCCAAGCATAGCGGTGAAGGAGGGCATGACATGCAGGAGGAAAGGGTGTGGTGCTGTGCACAAGGGAGGTGATAGACAAGGAGAGAGCTGTGTACATCATCCTGGTGCGCCAATCTTCCATGAAGGCAGCAAGGGATGGAGTTGTTGCAAGAGGAGAGTGTTGGAATTTGACCAATTCATGAACATTGAAGGCTGTAAGACAAAGGATAGACATTTATTTGTTGGCAGTGGCAAGAAGAAGGAGGGGGAGGAGAAGCTGGAGACAGTCCGGTGAGTATGCTTCTTGATAGTGCTCCAGCGCGGGCTGCTGACGATGTCGCAGACACGACTACTACCAAACGGCGACTTCAGTGGTCGCCTCTCTCTACCTCAAGAAAATTGACAAGACCACTGCAAGCGTTGAATTCCAGCCGTCGAGTGTGAAACTAGACCTGCCTACTAGCGACAGTAAGCGCTACCAAACCGAGTTTCCCCTATTCTCGACGATCAAACCGGAAGAGAGCAAGTTCCGGATCCTAGGGACCAAGCTTGAGATGACTCTTGTCAAGGCTGATGGGGCGAGCTGGCCAGTGTTGAGGAGTGACGAGAAACCTACTGGTGAGATGATACAGGTCGGCAGGGCCGGAAGGGCCTAGGAACATGGCGGCAGTGCTGGTGACGAGGACATGGTTAGCGTAACAAAAGCATAGCATTTACAAGCACGAAGTTATGACCATCAAGGTTTTGCCCAAGTCTCCATGTGTTTGTGTAGATGGATGTGCATAGTTAGTTAACGTGTTCTATCAGTAAGCTGGCCGTATCAGTAAGCTGGCCGCCCCACCAAAATTGACGCGACGTTTTACGCAATTGAGCCACAACAACGTAATATTTTTGGAGATAATTAAGAGATATAATTCATGATCTAGTCCTGCATGACGTCCGAGTATGTCCTACAGTGTGGCATTTCGTGCACGTTGGCGGCGCGCGCTGGCGTCGCTCACCAGTCTGGTTCTGGTCACTGCCCATGACCAACCTTTCTGCCTCTGCAGTAAGCTGCTGAGCCTGCTGCACCTGAAGCACCCCGCCAGAGGCGATATATTGACGGCGCCGGTCTTGCTTTTGTTGTTGGCGCTTATTGACTGTACGTAGCTTCTTATTCTCCTCTGCGAGTATTGTTGCTGATTGCATTGCAAGCTGAGC